AAAATGAATATGTTATTCATAAAAAAGCACAAGAAACATCATAGCATTACATAGCATTTACAGTTTATGGCAAACAATAAATACAATTTAAATGGCTACAAAACATAACATCATATAGAAAGCGAGAATGTCATCTACTGTAAACAAATGCAATAAAAAATAACAAATGGTTCTTCTGGAAAACTAATGTTTCCTGGTCAATAATCGTGAACTAAAAGCCATGCATGACCAGCCAACAATTAAAAAAATAGTAAAAAGCAAAAGCAAATTCACGTCATCTTTTTTGAAATATTAGCTAAACGCTCATTGGTTCTCATTGGTGGTCCTGCAGGTAAGCCAATGAGCGTTTAGCTAATATTTCAAAAAAGATGACGTTTCCTTAGGCGGAGTGACCCTCGGATAGTATTCTCAAAATTCCGTATGAATTCCTGTTTTATTTCGCTAATTTGAAGGCTTTAGATGTTGTTTAAAACATGAAAACTGCAGGATAATGTAGATTAATCATCGGTGGTTATTAGGTTGTAGTTTTTGTGGCGTTTCTTCAAGTAATTTTTTAGATAATTATACATTTACGAAGGTATATCTGTCATATTTTGATAAACTCTTTCCTACCTTGTCATAATATATAGACGAAGTAAACAACGTAAGCGCGACACGCGTGCGAGTATCACACGCGCAAGTCAAAGTCTGGGCTGCCTATGCTTTATTTCAACTTTTGTCATCTTCAGACAAAAAATGACTTTAACATAAAGTCAATATTTACAGTCTTAACCTATGTCTTGTTTAATGATGAACTAGGTTGTGCAGAAATAATAATTGATCTGTGCAAGGACCCATTAAATCTTAGGAAAATATATTGGTGGTGAAAATGTTCTCCTGCCTCTTTAACCAAACCAGCCAGTCCAAAAATCATAAATTCACCCGGCTATTTTGCTCAATTGGCAGTCAGTCAGAGCATTCAAAATATTTGAATTATTGTATGTAAAAATGCATTGATTGCTTTTAAATTAGGGGTTCAGAAAAACAAAATATTGCTACTCTGTATACAGAATATTTCTACTGTGTTAGTATTAAGTATCAAACAGGGCACAAGTCATTTGTTTCATATGAACAGTTTCATATAACAGGAGCACAAGTCATTATGCCCAAGGGGTATTCTGTAATTCAGACAATATTGAATTGTGTGCCGGTATATATATATCGAATGGTAATAATATTTCAAACCTTAATATTCTTCTCTGGTTCCTTATTGTCAGCACTGGTCACATCTAATCACCCCCTCTTGGTTTTATTATCAGAACTGTTATCATGATCACATAATAAATTCAAGCCAAATTTTCATCAACTCCTTTTTGTTATCTGTGAAAAAACACAAATGCTCGCTTTATAAAATGTATAACTTGTATATATAGACAAATATTTTAACTATACACAACTAAGTATGATGAGACATATGTTTGGAAGACAATATGTTTGATACAATGTATTTCTAGCGAATATGTCAGTATGTTTTGCCTCTTTCTTTGCTAAAATTTACACTACGATTGAGGAAATTTCCCAGTTATCACTACTAGTGTGTATCAGCGAAATATTTAGTATTTATACGAAAATGAATGATGATTGATAAGTTGAATAAACAATCTGATTACAAATCAATGCGGCCCGAACTTATAAAATAACTAGTGTGAAGGTATCCGGACATTCGTCCTCACATTCATCCTGATATTCATCCTAAGATTCATCCTAAGATTCATCCTGACATTCAAATCGCAAAATCGTTAAAAACAGCTAAATTCACTGTTTGCAGCTAAAATAACACTTTAGCAATAACGTGTAACGCTTTGCCGACATAATAAACCCCAAATACTTGTGTTATCTACCATAAAAGCTGAAAATTATAGCTGCAAAATACGACGAACTTACAGGTAAGTATCTTCCTAAATATTTCATCATTTTCACGTAAAACACAACAAAGAGATTCCCCAATCTTTCATTTACGTGTACGTAAAATTTCAGATCCGGCACACCTTTATTTAAGAAGAAATTCAAAAAATAGTAGAGGTCGTCAAAGCCGTCAAAATTGAAACGGAAATTGAAATTATCATACTGTCACAATATTCAAACCCAATTTTCCATCACACTATTCGTCATACATACACCAAATGCTATTCCACGCTATCGTCGATTTTCTCAAAGACTACGCTTGACCCAAAGCCGAAAGATACTGTATTTAGTACTGTTTTTACGTAGATTTTAAATATAATAGTTTCCAGAGTGGCACAATAGACCTTTATTTCAAACTTTCATGTATAGTATCCACGGCGTGCGCTATTGAATGAAATTAATTATGCTATCCTCACATTCGAAGTTCCGCGGATTTTCTAAAAAACTACGCTTGTGCCAAAGTCGAGAGATATTGTATTTAGGACTATTTTTATGTACATTTTAAATATAAAAGTTTCCCGTGCGGAGCAAAAAAATTTATTTCAAAAAATGTGTTCGTCTCTCTCCCCTATATACTCATTAAAATTGCTGACTCAGCTATCCTCACTTTCAAGGTTTCGCCGATTTTCTCAAAAACTACGCTTGTGCCAAAGTCGAGAGATATTGTATTTAGTACTATTTTTTATGTAGATTTAAATATAAAAGTTTCCCGAGGTCACAAAAGACTTTCATTCAAAAACATCTGTTCATCTTCTCTCCCCTATATACTCATTAAAATTGCTGACTCACGCTATCCTCACATTCGAGGTTTCCCAATTTCTTCAAAAACTACGCTTGTGCCAAAGTCCAGAGATTTGTATTTAGTACTATTTTTTATGTACATTTTAAATATAAAAGTTTCCCGAGTGGCACAAAAAGACTTCATTTCAAAAATCTCATTTCTAGTACCCACGGCGTGCGCTTTAATGAAATTAATTATGCTATCCTCACATTCGAGGTTTCCGGATTTTCTAAAAACTACGCTTGTGCCAAAGTCGAGAGATATTGTATTTAGGACTATTTTTTATGTACATTTTAAAATAAAAGTTTCCCGAGTGGCACAAAGACTTTCATTCAAAAATCTCATGTCTAGTACCCACGGCGTGCGCTTTAATGAAATTAATTATGCTATCCTCACTTTCGGTTTCCCGGATTTTCTAAAAACTACGCTTGTGCCAAAGTCGAGAGATATTGTATTTAGTACTATTTTTATGTACATTTATAAATATAAAGTTTCCCGAGTGGCACAAAGACCTTCATTCAAAAATCTCATGTCTAGTACCACGGCGTGCGCTTTAATGAAATTAATTATGCTATCCTCACATTCGAGGTTTCGCGGATTTCTAAAAAACTACGCTTGTGCCAAAGTCGAGAGATTGTATTTAGAACTATTTTTATGTAGATTTTAAATATAAAAGTTTCCCGAGTGGCACAAGAGACCTTCATTTCAAAAACATCTGTTCATCTCTCTCCCCTATATACTCATTACAATTGCTGACTCAGCTATCCTCACATTCGAGGTTTCGCCGATTTTCTCAAAAACTACGCTTGTGCCAAAGTCGAGAGATATTGTATTTAGGACTATTTTTTATAAAGATTTTAAATATAAAGTTTCCCGATGGCACAAAGACCTTCATTCAAAAAATCTGTTCATCTCTCTCCCCTATATAATTAAATTTTGTCAGCTATCCTCACATTCGAGGTTTCGCGGATTTTCTAAAAAACTACGCTTGTGCCAAAGTCGAGAGATATTGTATTTAGGACTATTTTTTATGCAGATTTTAAATATAAAAGTTTCGAGAGTGGCACAAGAAAGCTTTTGTTGAAAAATTGTATGTCTACTAGTACCCATAGGTAGCGTGCGCTATAGTTAGATTAATTATTAATTATGCTATCCCCACATTCGAGTTTTTGCCGATTTTCTAAAAACTACGCTTGTGCCAAAGCCAAAAAACATTGTATTTATACTATTCTTATGTGATTTTAAATATAAAAGTTTCGAGAGTAGCACAAGAAATCTTTTGTTGAAAAATTGCACGTTTACTAGTGACGCATACACTGTTAATTTGAAGGTGTCAATTTAGCACCAAAAAAGGTGTTGAATGAATATGGCAAAAATAACACCCATGGAGGTGCTATTTTAACACCATGGTATAGGTGCTAAATTAGCACCCATGCTCGGTGTCAATTTAACGCCTATTTCGGTGTCAGAATAACACCTTTGGGTGTTCAAATAGCACTAGATATGGTGTTAAACAAGCACACTTTTAGTGTTATATCTAAAGATATTTTTAGCTACTACAATTCCCACATCACTAATCAGATACTGACATAACATTAATTAATGACACATACACAGGAAAATTAAAAAAGATTAATATATTAAACATGGTCACATTTACATATATACAATTACTGATCATGCAGGAATACATACATAAATATTTACATATTTCTACAATCAATACCAAGTTCCTTGACGAATTTTTGGACTGAGACTCTCTTTCTGGCCTGTTGCCCATTTTCCATGAGCACAGCCTCAATAAAAGCGTAAATGTTTGATGCTCCCGGTTTGTATTCCATATTTAGGATATAGAAGCTTCCCACTAATAGGGAAACTGCCTTTAGGATGTTTATTTTTGACACATCGGTAAAAACTTGTCCTTCAACTGCGATTACCAGGGTATCCAGGCCTTGTATATCACCAGATCCAATCAGCGTTGGGTATGTTGCTTTAGTGATTTCACAATCAATAGAGTCGTCATCCTTGAAAAAAGAGAAATATTTAACTAAGTATTTATTTAAATATTTGACAACAATTCCTTAGTTGAGTTACTTAACCCATAGACTCTTCCATTGACAGTACATAAAATCACACGGTGTATGTACGTAAGACAAGAGTATCGCAATAAAATAGGCAGCATTGCAATCTATTTGTTTAGCCATTTTCAGAGATAAGAGTCTTTTCTACTATATATTATTAGGGATGCTATAATCGGAGAGTGGGATAGCCAAGTTTAAATTGTAACAGCAATTATACTTACAGAGCATATCATCAAAAGTGGGTTGTTGCAACTCTTGTCCTTTAGATGATGCTGAAGCAGCAACACTGCAATTGTGCTTTCGATGTCTATTGAAAAAACACACAATATGTTACAATTAATATCTATACACTACAATTGCATATAACTGATATAAGTTGCAAAATCTAAATTTCTGTAAAATTAAACTGTAAGGGTAGTACCTATAAAGTAGCAAAATTTCAACATAATTACCTGCTTGTTTACTTGGCTCGTCAAGCACAGCATTCTTCATTTCATTTAGCAAAGACTTCACAGTCTTGTTTGAGCTGTTTTCTGCCAACTGAAGGATCTTTTTCTCAACAACTTCGAAATTTTGAACCATTTTCTTGACAATTTTTGGGTCTTCCACAATTCTCCCAAATTCTGTCCTTACCTATACATAAAAAAATCATTTTATGCTGCAGGACACTTTCTATGTCAAATAAAATTTCTAACATTAATGGGATTGGAGATAATTAAAAGAACCCATTTAGACCCATATACAGGGTATATGTATAGTACAGTGCTATAAGTAATGAACATGGGCGGTCAGGTAAGCAAAATATCATTGAGCATTAGACACAGTGAAATCATTAATGGCAAACTCCGGCACTCCTTATTTGGGCTTTTTAATGACAAGGGGACATCACTACTTATTGATGGGTAAAACAATCACAATACATATTTTTATACTGACCTCTGACACAAGTTTAAGTGCAGGATATTCCTGTAGCACATCTGTGACAATTCCATTGATTATCTGCTGGCGCCTGTATGGGTAGGTCAGCTGCATCAACTCTTTGATAACGCTTGCATTTCTTTTTGATTTTGCCATCTCTGCTTTCATATGCTTTGTATGTTCCTTGCAAGTCTCTTCAGTTTCCCCATCAGCTAGCTCTGGAATGTCATCCACTTTGCGCTTTTTTAGCATTGGTTCTTGTATAGACCTTGCTGGCTGCTCCTGGTTCTTGACAGCAGGAGTCCGTGGTTTCCTTCTCATGTTTTTGAACCTATTATGGATTGCCATTGACCAAGAACCCTATTTTGTAAATCATGATTAGACCATATGAATTAATAAGATTCACCATTGTTGACAGCATAGAACAGAACCACATTTATACCTTAGTACCACTGAAGATTAAGGAAATAATACTTACAATGCCTGCTCCAAGTGAATCAGCCAGGAAGGGGTATGCCTCAATTATCATGAATGCCACTTTATCCTTTTCCTCTTTGGTTGGGTACATTGTGTGCTGCTTAATTGCATCACAGCACTCCCTAGTGAAGTTATCTCTCAGTTTTCCTGTTAACTTCCCTAACTTCAACTCCTCATTTACAGCAGGAGAAAACTGAAAAGAGAATAGTATAGAATAAGCCCATTAAGTGCCAGAGCTTTGACAAATGCTTATTATTTATATCCATTAGTCAGTCCATATACTACAATAAATGCTTTTAGCATAATTATAAAGATTAATACTAAGGAGTAGGTACTACATACTGACCTAATTCAATCAAAATATTCAATAAATACATGAAATGATTTACATACCATAGAAGGAAGTCTAAACTCTCTTATCCAGTTAACATTTGCAAGTTTTTTCTCTTTAATTGCAAAGCCTGGGATAGATAGTGGAGAAGCTGTCTTTGCCATGGGTGTGGTGGGTGTAACAGTGGGTGTATGGGACGTCTTTGGGGAACAGGTGGGTGTTTTCAAATTGCTTAGAGTACTGGTGGGTGTGTGGAAAGTGCTCAGGGCACTGGTGGGGGTACTGGGTGTTTTGGAGGAACTTGGGGTAACAGGAGGCCTACTGGAACATGTTTCTAATTCCTTGGGCAAATCAGGTGTCTTTGGGGCTATAGGCATAACGCTTTCAACCTAGTCATGCAAAAATAACTCACATTTAGTGTTGGTAAAATTATGTTCAGAGGTACCTAGTAGGGAGCTAGTCAATCAGACAAAAACACTATTGTCAAACCCCTTGTTTGTCCATTACAAAAAAGCAGGACACAATAAAATTAAAATATCAGATAAAATCAAATATACAATATAACATAATAACATATGTAGTTACAGGTATGTATTTTGAAGATTCTTACTGTTATCTGATTTTTTTCATTACTAAGCGGTGCCAGAGCGCTGCGGATTCTTGATATTTGGCCTCCTTTAATGCCACATGACTTCAGTAAATCGTCCGAAGTGGAACTGAGGATATCAATGCTGTCAAACTGTTCAACAGAAAATAAATAGTCTTGTTAATTTATTTCCTAGGTAGTTCGGTAGAATAAACCAGTTGCAATAATATATATTTGCACTGGTTAGGATCAAATTTGTTGTGTAAAGAAATTATCATACGAAATAAAAAATATAGATTTTGCTATAACAAATATCGACTCAAACGACACAGTATTATACCTCTTCATCTTCCAGAATTGAAATTACACATTCTTTGACCCCGGCATTCTGAAGCGTACTCAATAGAGCAAGATCCATTATCTATAAAAAAACGATAAAGGTTATTAAACGATAAACGTTATTTCACAAAAAGCAAAGAAAATTTGTCACAATGAAGCGAACACGTGCGATCTTGACTAGACGAAAATATTATGACGAAATGTCAATTGACGGTGACAATTATACTAACCAAGTATAAAAACAGAAACAATTCTTCCGGTCTTCAATGTTTGAGATTGCTTCGTTGATTAAAACGATAAAAATAGTCTTTCCTTTGTAAGAAATATAAGCGATTACGGTGAGTCTGTCTCTGGGGACGATGATGATGCAATTTGAACTTGCCGCGCGGATCGAATGGAGATTGAAGGATCCTCACGTGATTCCGACGATCAGTAAACTGACCAATCCGCAACGATTTTGGTTGAAGAATAAATTAAGTATGAATTAATCATAAACATTCTGTCAAAGCTAAGAGTAGATAATATGTATATATAATTTATATATACTCAGTATCAACTCTTTGATTCTGTCTACTTTTCCACAAATGAGATATTCTACAGCCAAATGGCCACGCACAATAATGGTGGTTATCACTATCGTTGTAACATATGTCTTGAATTCGTCGCCGAATCCATTCCGCTTTTACTAAAGCATCTTGGACGTGTTCACCGGAATGAACCAAATTTCCATGTTGTTTGTGGCATTGATGGCTGTGCAAAGACATACAGAATATTCAAATCGTTGAAAGCTCATATAAACAACAAGCACAACGTGGTGACCAGACACGAGGAAAATCATTTTGAGAATGAAGACGTACAAGAGATCGAAATAAATGGCGGAATTAACAATAAAGAAGTGGAACATTTCAACTTTGAAAGAGAGAAGGTCAATCTAGCCAAATCTAATGCACTGTGCCTATTAAAGTTCAAAGAGAAAGGACGCGTCCCACAAACTGTTGTGGATTCTTTTGTTGATAATGTCACCCAAATAACTCAAGCCAGTGTAGATTTATTGAAGTCTGGTTTGCGAACTGCCTTCAAATGCTGGGATTAATCTTCAAACTGTGCTGGATTGGGAGTCTGTTCAGTGAAAACAACCCAATCTCCCAACCATTTACTGGTATTGAAAAAGAGCCACTTCAGTACAAATATTACAAGGATAATTTCAATCTTGTTGTAAGTATTTTACACTCTATATTATATCAAGTCAGGGTGGATTTCCACTTACAGAGCCAGAGGAATAGTTTGCTAACCAAACATTTGCATATTTTCTGTTGAATTGAAAACAGCCAAGTTGAACTAATGTATTTATGCTGTTAAAACCCTAAAATGCTGTTAAAAAGTTTTTTGGTCAAAGCCGGTAACAAACATACATCATATTAACTACAGCTAACCCAGATGTGCATCCTACTCAATTATTACAACAGATAAAATGGGATTTTTATATTGCAAACAAGGCTTTTATGGCACACATATAAACCATGCAGAGGGACATGCAGAGTCCAATGACATAATATGACAGTGAGTTGATAATTTTATTTAATTAGCTATTTATTTTTGTTTCACCAGGAGCCACAAAAGATAGTTCTTGGAAAGCACCATGTCAAAAGAAGGAAAGGGAATAAACTAAAGAATGTTGAAAAAACAGATGATGCTTATTATATTCCAATACTGGAAAGCCTGCAGCAACTACTAAATGATGAGTCAATTCTTTATGAGGTAACAATTGCACTGCCATTAACCATAAGTTATAGTAACTGAAATACTAGATCATGCAAACAAAGACTATTTAGGTATATTATTCATAGATACAACGCCTTCTAGCCCATATTTTAGTAGCAATTAACTTTTAAATGGACAAGTGGTTTAATAGGTTAACATTTTCTTTTATTAATTTTTTATTACAGGTTGAGAATCCCCATCAAAAAAATGATGAAACTTTGTGTGATTTTTGTGATGGTGAAGTTTTCAAAAAACATCCACTGTTTAGTAGAGACCCAACAGCTCTGCAGCTCTTGGTTTACTTTGATGAAGTAGAAGTATGCAACCCATTGGGATCGAGAGCAAACAAGCATAAACTTGGTAAATTCTTTGCTTGATTACAGCACTTAGAAGTCCAAAAAATGGATGTCTAAGTTTCATGTTTCTTGACCCAGCCTTTTACTTTCCCAGTTAATAAATACCTAGTTCTCTAATTTGAGAAGGGCAATGATACTGAAAAACTATAACATACTATAGCTTTTTGTCCTTGGTTGTGTGAAGGCATGTGGTTATGTGATGTATATTTTAAATTTTTTTTTTAAATTGCAATTTTTTCATTTAAATATAGCCGCTTTCTATTATACCTTGGGAAACATACGTCCAGAGTATCGTTCTCACATAAACTCAATCCAACTACTTGGCCTTGTAAACAGCAAGCATCTGAAGACATATGGTGTGAATGCTATTCTTGATGTTTTTATGAAAGACCTTAGCAAATTAGAACAGGTTTGTTATTAATTACACTGTACATATAAATTATTAAACTGACAGTATTTCTATTTATTGTAGCTTGTGTGGTTCAGTTTTAAATGAATAAAAATGTCTTATTTCCACTATATTTTTTTAGAATGGTGGCTATGAGTTTATTATTAAGGGGAATCCAAGAAAGCTTGCTGGGACTATCTGCTATTTCTCAGGGGACAATCTTGGGTGCCAGTGTGTTGGTGGGTTTAAACAAGGTTCTCAATCACATAGGAAGTGTCGCGTCTGCATGGGTGTTGCTGCAGAGATAACTGAATGTGTACGTATTTTTTTGGCAACAGCATGTGATATTAATGATTGATATATGGCTAAGAGCTACGACAGTCTTATACATGGATTCTTACTATTTAATTTAGTTTCACGAGAAAGACTTTGTACTGCGAACAAAGGAGAGTTACAATGACCAGTGCCAGAGGCTTGAGCAGGGTGATCATTTCAAGAAAACATATGGATTAAACCAATCCTCCTTGCTTAACACTTCAAGATATTATCATGTGATTGGTGGGCTTCCTGCAGATGCAATGCATGACATACTTGAAGGTGTTCTACAATACATTGTCAAGGAGTTATTAAAAGTTTATATAATTGAAAAGAAGTATTTCAAATTGGAAGACCTGAACAGAAGAATTGAAGTTTTTGATTTTGGCTATCACAATGACACCAATAGGCCAGCACCAATTTTACCCCAGAGGTTGGTGTCACAAGACAACAGTTTGAAACAACATGGTATGTAATTCAATATATAGTGATATATTTAATGCCTAAGCTGCATTACCCTCCCATGACAAGTAAAATTATCTAGTGTTAGACAAAATAGGCTACAATGTTCCTAAAATGACTCTTACATTTTACTCTTTTAGTACAGAAAATTCCTGTTTTCTTAAATTCTGAAGTCCAATTGTTCATAATTTTTTGTGGTTTTAGCAAATCAAATGTGGTGTCTTGGTCTACATTTGCCTTTTCTAATTGGAGACTATGTCCCAGAAGATGATGACCACTGGGAGTTGTTGTGCATCTTACTGAACACCATTAGAATTGTCTTTGCACCAGTTGTAAGTAAGGATCAAGTGGCATATCTCCAAGTGCTAATACAGAAACTCCTGGAAACATTTAAGGATCTCTTCTCTGACTGCAGTATAATACCCAAAATGCACTACATGATTCATATGCCAAGAACCATGCTGGAGTAAGTTAATTTACTAGTAAATATTTAGTAAAAGAATGTTTTGATTGAACCTAATTACATATTTAGAAAATTGTTACACCTAGGTAAATGATGTACACTTGTGTGTTAATTAATATCTGTTATTTTTATTAACAGACTAGGGCCCCTTGTTCGAAGTTGGTGCATGCGATATGAGGCCAAACACCACTATTTTAAAAGATTGGCTATAGTTATTGGAAACTTCATCAACCTACCATATTCACTGGCAAAAAGGCACCAAGAGGGTGTCTCCTATCGACTTCAATCTGCTGAAGGTGGTTCCAGCTCATTTATTGATAAGGGAATTGAAGTTGGTCCAGGTATAATTATTGTGATTTAATATCTTATTTGAATACCTCTATTGACCTCTATTAATTATCTTATAGCGCAAATACTCTTATTGTACTAGATTTTGTATTATTCATCCATGTTTTCCTGGCATTTTACTAGGCAAAATATCCTATGTTGGTGATGTTTTACACAATGAGCTTATAGAAGCCAAAACTTCTGGAATTAATAAGCAAACACCTTTATATGAGTAAGTTTGACTGTGATATTCATATGTTATACTTGAGATTTTGTGCTGTTTTCTCCCATAACTATTGTATATATTATCTCTCCTGTTATAGGGCTAAATGGATAACAATCCATGGCACAAAGTACAAAGTTGGTGCTATAGTCCATATTGGATTTGATGAGGATGAATTTCCACAGTTCTGGGCAATAAAGGAAATTTTTATTGTTGATAACGATGTTGATAAAGCATTGTTTGTCGTCAACAAGAAGGAAAGTTTAACATTTTCTGAACATTACCAGGCTTATGAGATTTGTACTCCAAGAGAGAAGCACATTGAAGTCGTCAACTGGGAGAATTTCACTTGCTATTTGCCTTTCAATGAAATTAAACGATTTGGAAGTAATTCAAGATATATTAGTTTGCGATATGAATTAGATAAGCAAAAGTGTAAATAGTGAACGAAAAGCGATTAAAGTAAAGGAAAAAAAATCACTCGTGATTTGTGAATTCCGCCGCCATTTCGTATCTTGAAACATTTGGTGTTATTTTTACACCCTATTAGGAAGGAAACATAACACCGTTTTTGGTGCTATTATAACACCTCGCACTTCACTCTGAAAATGGTGTCAATTTGGCACTTTCGCTATTTCGATGGTGCTAAATCAGCACCCGAATCGGTGCTAAAATGACACTTTCTGCTTAACACCACCTTATGGAGTTAAATTAGCACCAATGAAGGTGTTATTTTAACACCTTCAAATTAACAGTGTAAGCTCAGAATTGTTTTTATCGCCCCACATTATATCAGCATAATCGAATAGTGGTAAAATTGCCGCGTATATAAAATTTGTCTTGAAAATTTGTCTTGCATCCAGCAGTAAGAAATATTTCACACGGCGCAGCAATCCCAATCTTTGGCTAATTTTCCCCATTAGGTTCTCAATATGTTTATGCCAGGTATTTCAACGATTCATCTTGTTTTATAGTACGATTGCCAATAGAGATGATATATAGAACCTTACGCCAATAATTAGAACAATATAGAACCAATATAGAACCTTACGCCAATAATTAGGAACATTAGTTACAAATACATCCAAAATCTCCTGAGCACGAGTCGGCATCTTCGCAATCTGAGCTAGAGAGTGATAATTCAAGAGTGACTTAATTTCCAGCGGATTTATGTCCCCTGCAATAATTAATTTCGCATCCGGCACTGACAATTCAGAGGAGTGAGGGTAATATAATGCTACTACATAAAATAGAGAATTGTCAGTAGAAACGTTCGTCCACAAACATTCAAACGGGCTGGAAAACTCTTCTAACATCGCGATTTGCCAGTTATTTCTACAAAAAACAGCTACTCCGCCTCCTTGTCTACTAGGCCTGTCTTTTTGTATGCCACGTAAACCGTCAGGACATACGGCCTGATTTGGAATGGTAGGTTTCAGCCACGTTTCTGTGACAATAGCCAGATCAACTTTATGATTCTTTAATTCTAAATAAAAAGCTGAGCTGGCATCAGGTTTGGCTAGCGACCTAGCGTTTATCACAATACATATAGGAATAGAACGACGCTTTTGAGGAATTATGAATATTGATTAAATTTTTTAAATTACGCGATGACAGGTGTTTAGTCCGTCGCCTTATCAACGTGTTATAGACTAGATTGAGATAACTTGACCAATCGAATAAAAAACCCCGCGCAGTCGCAGGGAACAAATAATAATCCCACAATTACCGCATAGAGCAATGTCATCGAATATACTAAGCCTTCGGCGTTTGGAGTCGCATCGACTGTGTGACACGCCAAACTATCGGTTCTCGCTCTCTTGTCCTGTTTCAAGGAAAGAGGCTCCTCTTGCAAGTTTGACTATGACGCCGTAGTTGCATGTTGGCTTATCGCATGTCTTAATTATAAGCGGAAGGATTAAATTATGAAAGGAATGTTTTTCATTATGATGGTTCGAAAACTTCAGGAAAAAGATAAAGTAAATTAAATAACCATAACTGTTGAGCACAAGATCCGTAGTCTAGTGGCGAGGACAATCGGTGGTTTGAATCCTACCGCAACCGTTTTTCATTATATGAACTTCGTGAAAAGAGTAAAAGTAAATTAAATAACCATAACCGTCCTGCAGAAGACCTTGTACTTATTTAAATTGTTTATTTCATTGAGAACCTACCAAAAAGATATTAAATAATAAAAAAGTGTAGCTTTTCACCGCAGGTTCGTGTGGTCTCCTGGTGAAGACAGACCTCTCCGAGTTTAAAGGCGAAGGTTCGAGTCCGAGATGGGAATCTTTTCTTCTATTTCATCAAAGATCCTTCCAAAAAGGATTTTAAGTAAAATAAAAAAGTGTCGGATTACACCATAAGAACTGGTGGTGTAGTGGTGAAGACGGTGATCTGCCAAGTATACAGTCGATGGTTCAAGTCCTGGATAAACCGTAGAAGAAGAAGGAATAAAGACTGAGGGGGGTTGTCTTTCCCCCGCCTTTCCTGACTTTCAAAGCAAGCTTTCTTTAAACATTTAATTGTGTTAGGGGATAGTTAGGGATATCTTGGAATAGGAAAAAGTAGGGATAGATAGGAGTAAATAGGAGTAAAGAGGTTTAAATGAGTACAAAAAAACTTAATCTTTTTATATAGGGTTTCTCACCTATACCCTCCCTCCTGCCCACGGGAGCAGTGGCCGCCCAAATACTAAGTCTTTTTGTATTCATATACCCCTCATTTACCCTACCTATCCCCAGATTTCCCTAAAGAGTAACTTTGATTTCCAAAGATTAACAAAGTATAAACTTCGCCCGAGGAACATACCAACCATTTCGTACCATCCTGTTCTTGGTACCTCGACCTTGTACTTGATAGTCCACGACTTTACCACAAGGCTAACTGGTGATTGTTGGAAGCCTGCACTAACTTATTCTCCTTAACATTACCATGTAATATTAATGACGAAAATTTCCATCTAAAACGAGATGCGAACCTTGAACCGTCGACACATGAGACCAACATCTTGACCACTAGACTACAAGATCTTCTGCTGAGCGGTTATGGTTATTTAATTTACTTTATTCTTTTCACGAAGTTCATTATAAAAAAACGGTTACGGCAGGATTCGAACCATCGATTTACCGCTGGGGAACCCATTGTCCTCGCCACCAGACTACAAGATCTTGTGCTAAACGGCTATAGTCAATTTACTCCATAGTTTTCACGAAGTTCATAATGAAAAACGGTTAATATGGTAGGTTTCGAGCCATAAATTTACCACTTGTGGCATACCACTAGACTACGAGATCTTGTGCTGAACGGCTATGGTTATTTAATTTATACTTAATCATTTTCACCGAGGACATAAAAAATAGGCATACGTGTATTCGAACCATCGACTTAGCATTTCGGAGACCATTGTCTTCACCACTAGACTACGAGATCATGTGCTGAACGGCTATGTTTACTTGATTTACTATATCTTTTTCTCGAAAGACATAATGAAAAACGGACATGCTTGGACTCGAACACACCATTTGAAACATGGGAGATCATTGGCATTGCCTTCCCAAGCAGAACCTATGGCTAATTACTACACTATTTTATAGTTATACTCAACCTTTTTTCAAAGGATTTTACGTAAAGTTTAATTTGATGATAATGATTTCTTTTGTTGCTGTCTAAAACGCGCAAAACTGAATCTTATTCGTACCTTTAACCTAACAAAACTGAATCTTAATCATACCTTTAACCTAATAATATCAACATTTGTACGTGCAGACGCTAAAATATCACAGCCTTTTTCACAGGTATGGAGTCCCTTAAGGAAACGGGAGCGGCATGACCTCGCCATAAGCTAGTTATATGCGGCCCAGGTGAAGTTAATGGTTATTATTTAAAATATCATTATTATTAATATTTATTTAAACACGGTAGCCCTTCAGCTAAAGCTGATTTTCAAGGGCCATTTATGCTATTTTATTATATGGCACGCGGTCTCGTGACTAAAATGGCGTGCGCTGATTGGTTCTTTGCCGGTCAGGGGCCGGTTGTTCGAAAGGCGTTTAGCTTAAACGGTGGATAAGCCAAAGTTTCAAATTACTCTCATACATCTTGTGAATGACTAAATCTGCATCGTATGCATCAAATATGTACTTTCATTGACAATTAAGCTATTTACATCAAAATATTTCAGCTCAGTTGTTCAATAAATATATAGTTTTGTTTTCCATTTTGAACTTATCCACCGTTTAAGCTAAACGCCTTTCGAACAACTGGCCCCTGGAATCCCCCAGTATTAGACCGTTGCCGTAGTAACGGTCCAACTCTCATATTTTTTAACAAAAACAAGCTTGCACTTTTATTTTTGACACGAAAAATATCGACGGAGAATGGACGAAGAAGAGCATTATTTGGTACATGTGAATATTATATTTATTCATCTTTGATTTTTGTTTATATTACTGTATCATTCTTATTTAACGAGTAAAAAACAAAGTTTTGGAAGCCACTTCAGTGCTTGCTTGGCGACTTGCTGGCGAAAGAGCCGGCAAGAATGCTGCAGCGCATTGTATAAATCAATAAACTAAATACTGTATGCCATTTAATAAATCCCTTATTAACCGAATACGTTCGGTCCGTACTGGAAAAATATCAGACCTCGGTCTTTTATGTATGGACCTCGTTGACCTCGCTATTGCTCGGTCCGTACTGTCAAGACCTCGGTCTGATATTTTTCTAGTACGGATCTCAAATTCGGTTAATAAGTGGTATGTATATACGCAATAAAGGTTTATGTAGAGCATCACTAGCAGCTTGAAAAAGTTTGTTTGTAATATTGTCTAGTCCAGGCGCTTGGTTTATGTCTAATTGATCGATGACAGCAATTAGTTCTGTCTTCGTAATTGGTCATTGGTGTAAAATTAAACTCTGTATTGCTCGATTGGACAAACGTTATTGGGTCAATATCCGATGAAGGGATATTTGATGCATGTTTGGGTCCTATTTCAGTGAAGAAGTTATTAAATGTATTTGATATGCCTTCGCTATCAGTAATGTTGGTTTCCCCATTTTTTAGGCTATTAATTGTGGTGGTTTTATGTTTTTTTATTGAGAGGTTTATTAATAAATCTCCAACTTAATTTGCCGTGCTTCGTTCCTGCATTTTTTGTATGCACATTTTTTATATAGATCCGGGGCTCTATATAATCGGCCAAGCAGTGCTATATTTGATCCCGGGGGTTACGGTGCGATTGTTTTGTATTTTAGTCTGATAAAACAGGTCACAAACTAAAATTTGAAAATGTTAATTCAGGTTCATTAGAATGTTTTAACATTTGCCGCTTATTTCACAGCTGAAATTGTACTCCAAATCTGAATCTCCAAGTAACGCAACAGATGTTAAAAATAACTCTACTTCTCTCAAGCTGCGTTTACACGGTACCATCTGCTCGTCACAGCATCTTTATTTCCATTATGAAGCAACGATTAGTAAATGCTTATTAACTTGATAGATTTGCCATATTTATTCAGGGCAATTTTGGCCTAAATCATATTTTTGAATTTTTCATTGCTCCAAAACAAATATGCTCAAAAACGACATAGATTAGCCTTAGTAAATATTTGAAGCCATTTTTAGCATGTAACACATTTTAGAAAATTCTCGAAAATCGTTAATTTTGGTTGAAATTTACGATTTTTCTATGTAAAACAAATCAAATGCGCTTAAAAACGAAAAAAAATTGTCTCAGTAAGTGAATAAGTATGATTTACGAGGATTTTAAAAAGGTGAAATACATTTTTGTGTTAGGGGCACTTTAATGCCTTCAAAAATACTGCTTTTCTTGATTCATTTCGTGGAAATTTTATGGAAATTTAAAAAAGTTGTTTCTGGGATTTTTGGTCATGGAGATTTCAAATTTGAAAGTGGAGACACTGACATAAGCTCTTACTTTTATACAACACACCAGAGCAACGGAGCTAGGCCCTGGGGACGAGGATGACAACACACGTGAAATCTCGACTTTTCGAGCAAAGTCTTATCGTATGTTATAAAACTCTAAATTACGAAGAGTCTTTCGCTCGAAACGTCAAAGAGAACCTTCGTACAACTTCAATAGGACGAAGGGACTTCGCTCGAACCATCGAGAAGCGGTTTAGTTTAACTCTTTTATAGGCTTGCAAGAATCGCAAAATAAGACATTACACGCTACGCGCATTTTATGCTAAACAACTAAGGGAAAGGTTTTTATACATTAAAATATAAGATGTGGATATGGAGGAAACATATCATTTATGTGCAAATGAAGAAAAAAGAGAAATTCTAGGTAATTTGCGTTGCTGGAGGGTCAAATGAGAAGTCTTGCACAAATAGTGGCGACACACCAGGTATTAAATAAATGCATACAGGTAAAATAATAGCTCATATTTATTTCTTTTTGTTTACATATAAAAATATTCAAAGGCTGTCTCATTAGCTGGCAACTGCCTTTACGCATTCATTTACTCTTTGGAAGAAATAAAAAATAGGTGTTCACTTCATATTATGGGTTAAATTACAAAGGTTACATTCACTGAAGGCAAACTGTTCTCGTGACGAAAGATTATTTGATTTACATATAATTGCATGATTTATATATTTATGACGTTATTATTATATATGACTTTATTACAATAGACTATCTATTCAGTTACGAGGACTACAAGTAGGCGTTCATTTATGGCCGCTGGTATATTGTGCGTGGGAATACTGCTCGAAGGCAAGCTGAAAAGAAAAGTGTAATATACTTATATAAAAACATCATTACACATGCAGTATACAAGGTTTATTACAAAAAAGATAAAGCATATAATTATTTAATTTAATTATCTATTCCTTATGTAAGTTATTTAAATTTCGCAATATTACTTTTTTCAGTTCATAACAGCAGGAAATAATCAAATAATTTTAAAATAAAAATAAAAATGAGTGATCAAAATCAAGCTTGCCCGATGGAAGGCAAAACGAAGCAAAAACAAATTTATTATGACCTTAAATGAGTGTATGCGTGAAAGAATGTGGTTTTCGAGCGGCACTTTTGTCAACACACGATAATTTGGTAATTTCTATAGCCATTATGGCATAAAAAGATATTAGAATTCTAAATAACCCGTCTTTCTTGCTATGTAAAAGTTGTATCGTTGGACAGCAATAACTACTAAAATAGCTTTTGCACCACACGATAGATAAAGTCGAATCTCTAGTCTCGCAACATGCAACATTTTCTTATAGGGCTGGGCAAATTAAGGGCAGTGAATATGTCGCTTGCGCGTAACGATTTGCAAAGTTGGTAAAAAGCTTCCATTTTGCTTTGGCAGTATAAGCACAATCTTTGCAATGACCATGTTTAATGTTTAACTTCAAAATATTGAATTCTTGATAGGAGTACTTAAACTACATACCTCGAAGGCTTGGCCCAATGTCATAACAATTTCGTCAGATATAGCCTATAATATAAAAGATGTACCATAAAGTATCGTTATTGCACATCGTTGCAGAAAACAATGAAGTTCTATAAGGATAGACACACGAACCATGGCAGATGTATGCTAGTCATACCATAGCTAATACATACCGGACTATTAGCTTTGAATACATGACAGTAATGTGCATTGGCTTTCTGATCTTTGGCGATATATGCGAGCACAGAACGATCTTCTAGATCTTGGGTACAGTAGGATATATTGTGCACATAGTGCGAACTGATTGCAATCTGGAAAGAGATAAGGGTATTATGTCTGTAATTTTGCTTCATTATATATAATTTACAACAACTGTCAATACAACCTTTGATTTCCAAATTTGTGCACGATTTACAGTTTGTTTTACAATATTTATGTTTTTCATCTCAAAGGGAATAATTATTCCAGTAATTCCAAGACAATGAAGCACTGTTTATTAACAAGATGACTCACCCTAGAGCGAGCGTCAATAAACCTAACTCCTGTTACGGAAATTGATAATATCACTGCAGGAATTTTTTGTAGTTTTTGTGTTGACATCTGCAAAATATATGATAAGTTACGATCATGCACAACAGTTTAATACAGCTCCTTTATCAATACCAGAATTAGATCATTTACAGCAGTATTTTATATGCAGCAGCCTGTCAAAGTTGAATTCAAATTACACCCCCTATAATAATGCATACCCTCATCTTCCTGCAGGCTTCTATCGTTGAAGATTCTCCGATTACGTCCTTGATAAAGTGAGAACCCAAGTACTAAAACCATAAAAATATATACTGTAACAATATCGACGTCGTATCGACTGCAAAGCCAAAACTAAAAAATTGTTTTTTAAAACTTTCTTTGCACATGAGATATTTTCATTTGAGATTTCATTTAACTGGATTTAGTAATATAGATCTGATTTGTTGCTGCATCGATTGATCTGATTTGCAGATGGATTGATTTGATTTGAGGACGGTTTAATCTGATTTGAAAATAGATTAATCTGATTTGAAGATGGATTTACCCGGGTAGTGTAGTTGACATTTCCTTTAAGCAAAGCTTCGGGAGGATGAAGCCAATGCGGAGGTGATGGAAGACTTGGTTGCCTCTGAATATTGGACTGGTCATTTTTCTAAAGATGGTAAAACCAATTTTATAGAACTCATGAACTCAGAACAACTAGAACTCATGAATGTTTTGACTAAATCAGAAGCGGTACGCCCATTATTTAAAGGCCTGCTTATCAGTTATCCCTGCTCTGAAAAAAGAGCATCTTGTATAAAATTATTATTGATTATGATTGATTTTGTGTCGTTGTTAGTCATGTACACGAAGTTTTGAAATAATAAATAATAAAAATGCTTAATTAGAAATCTTAGGAAGCGCATTGGTTTGCTTCAATTTATTTTCGTTAGTAAGATATTTAATTTTCTTTGAATCCTGCATGTTACTAAGACAAAGGGCTCGCGCTTTTTGAACTTTTTTTTCGAATTGCCAAACATAATTTAATTTCTAAGCTCTTCTACAAAATTGGGACAAACTTTAAGTAGGCTACTTCTTGTAAAATAGAAGGAAAACTGACGCCATTTAAGGAACCACAACATGTTTCAGAATGCGACTTTGTTCGTGTAATATAATATACTAAACAATGGACATATATAATTAGCGCTGAAAGCAAACATTACTGTTTTAAATAGCTTTGTATAGTGCACACAATATGTATATTTTTACGAAAGTCAGGTTCATCAATCTGGCTGGAGAGGCATGTTAGGACACAAAAACCTCCGGCAACCATATACAAATTGCAAAAATTGGGGCTTGCGTTAGGCCGGGTTAATATTAAATTTTCTGTAATCACAGTGGAATTTTCAAGCAACAAATCCTAAATTTTAAAAGATTTGTTCAAAATACTGGAAGTAACTGTAACAGCAATTAATACTAAGTTATTTCATCCTAATATTCAGTACAAAATATAATATTTAAAACTTTGGATTTAACAACGCAAAATTGCAACTGTGATCACAGAAACTTTGACAGTGTAAACCGGGCGTTATACACACTAAGTGTAGACAGAGGGTGAGAGTCGTTGCATACTCAAACAGCTCACCTGATCTTGGTTTGCAGTTTTCTGCTTGGATTTTTTTCGCCTAGGAGGCGCTACTGGAACAGCGCCGTCGGATTGTTGCAGCCTTTGTTGTTGAGATTGTTGTTGGTTAGATCGTTGCTCTTCATTTCGAGGCGGTCTTTCTGGCTCCCGCTGTCCGGACTGTTGAACTTGCGCTTGATCGTAGCTTTGCGGTCGTTGGCCTTCATTGAGTAGCGCTTGTTGAATCCTCAACGCCTCTTCCTGCTGAATCGAGGTTGATTCTGGTGATGTTGAACCCCTATTTCTCCATTCATGCATTCCTGGACTAGGATTAAACATGTCCAAAGTGTCGCGGCGGGGTTCTCCACCAAACACATCGATTTCAGCAAGGCGATCCTTGATATCCTCCGCGGATACGACCTGAAAAAGATAAAGCAACTGTCAGAAGTAGGAAATGACATGTTCAAATAATTCTTTCTATGAATACGACGTCATGATCTGCATTTGGGCGCCATCTTGTTGGATTCTACAAATTCTTAATCGAAGCGAGACAGGTGATGAAGATTTAGTTAAACGCAGTGGTTTTTTAAAGTTCCAGTTCAGTTTTTCTGGATAGCTCTCACTGTTCCGCCCTAAGTAACAGCAAAACATTTACCGATTGTTACCGATTCTGTATTTACAATAATAGCAAATGTTCTTCCGTGCTGAGAAACTTAACACCCTCTAATCCCGAGAAAAAGGAGTTTCGAGGTATAGTATTGAAGTCTAATCTGAGAGTTTAGTCCTTATTTCACATAAGAAATACATTTTTTACGCAGTGTTTTGTAAATTTGCATCCCGATCATTATCGCCCGCCGTCAATTTTGCTTCAAGGATTGGCGACATGTACAAGTTGTCGTTATTTACAGTTATTTTACAGTTCAGTGGAACAAAATTCTGCCTATTCTTAAATAGCCGATGGAGCCCACCGTACTGTTACGGGGTTATTTTACTACCGCTACGATTAAAATTTTGATCACCACCAAAGTGGGGGCAATTGAATGCAAACGTAAGCGTTTCATGTAAAATTACATCATGCTCAAAAATATTGTCATGTATATTTAAAGAATGACGGAATGATAAGCCCTAAACCGACGGTAATATCAACATCAATTCTTGATAAGAAGAGTAAATTCTACATACAAGCCATAAGAATAAAAAAATAACGTACCATGGTATCCCTGCGTTTCACTTGTGGTAAGGAAGCCAGAATTCGTTTTCTATGACCAAGTGTGTGTATCGCTAGTACCTGAAAGAACGGCGGAGCTCAGAAGCATGTGTAAAAGACCAAAGGAAATTACGTTAGTTATTGAGAAGCATTCCTTAGGCAGATAAACACATTGATCGAGCATAACATGACCTTTTTCGCATCGCGAAAACCTATAGACAGTGTTGAAAACAAACATAGGCAAGTGTACAGTGGTGGACTTACAGACTCCATCTCCAATTCCCACATCTGTTTTATTCGGTCCATTTTGTCATAACCTTTCTGATGAAAAATATCTAGATAATCATCTAAGTGTAACGTATTCAACCATTCTTCTACAGTCTTTGGCTCAAACCCATTTTGACCCACACGTGGTGGTAAAGAGAGTTCGCCAACATGGTCTATAATTGTTCTGGAAAAACGAGAATTCGAATAACGTTGTTAGTAATAGAGCCGAAGCCAAATCCTGTATAGTGTATACAAAAAATTGCAATTAAAACGCCAGTTCAGTGGTGATAATAGTAGAGCGGTAGCAATAATAGTCGAAAGATCTGTCATTCAGACGAATGGGAAGGAGGGATGATGCCACAATATTGGTCATTCGCCGAATGTGAAGTTTGAAACATATATGATGTTCGCACGCATATTTATTCGTTCACATCCTCCAGGATAATAATAATCGTTTCAGGTAAGTGTTGTTCTTTTCCCCAACCACGACAGGACGTATCCGAAATTATGAGATGTGATTATACTTTAAATAAAACAGATTAACTCAATGCTTAATTAATCTATATTCAACTTTTCTTTACATCTTGAAATTTTAGAATAGATTTGTACAGGTACAGTAGTGTTTTTTGATGAAAACTTTTATTATATTATTATCAACATTATCATAAATACTGATCAAAATATATGCTAACAAAGAATGATGCAAACAAGAAGAATGAATTTTCCTATATACATATCATATATGGCTAAACGAGGCAAACTATTTTATATCAAAGTTTGATTAGTACTTCAGTACTTACTTTCTATAATCAGGATCGAGAACGCCCATCTCAAGAAGATCCTGTTCTTCGAGAATCCCGCCAGCCTAGAAAATTATTTTTGCATTTTATAAAAAGTATTTTAACCGTCCGAGTTTCAGTCGATATCAGGTTCTAGCTAGATCATTCTTAAAATGTGAAGGCTCATTTTCGATTGCTATATATATATTTCAGACTCACTTTATCATAACTATGAACCGTGCTAATGTCGTGAAGACATGTTAAGCACTTGTGATGTTAATTCGGTTAGTTTTGTAGTACAAGAGATTAATTTAAAATCGGAAAAAAATAAGAAATGGTTCGCACGTGCGTGCTTGTCTCAAATTATCGACACTTAATGAATCATCTTTATGAGTCGACCAACTTTATACAAATAATGAATGTTTATGAGTGCAATGGTAAAAATATTTTCACGAGGTGAAAGATGGAATGTTCCATTCAACGAGGCGATAGCCGAGTTGAATGGAACATTCCATCTTTCACCAAGTGAAAATATTTTTACCATTGCACGAATGAAAACATTCATTAATTGTTTTATATAATACCAAAATAGACTGTCTCATTTCAAAAATATAATTTATTAAAAAACATACTGTATGGATCAACAACCATATGTGCAAGAAGCATTTTGATAGATGGTATTTACTGAAAGCATTAAGAGTGCAATGGAACAAAATGTATAGTACTATTGCACTCTGGAGAGTGCAATGGAACGCTTTCCATTGCACTCTTGGGAAATGGGGCTTTCTATTCAATATCACGTGATCGTCATCAACCAATTAAACGCTCTAAATTTAATGGGGTATTATATAATATAAATTATCTGACTTCTCCCGAAGTTGTTTCTAGTAGATACATGCACGTTGTTACAACATTAACATTAATTTTTGTGCTTATCAAGCTTCATGTAATTAGATAATTATTAATTAACACGTGGATTATAAAAACTCACCAGGAATTCTAGATCGTCAAAACCATTTGCTAGCAGATATGATTCGTAAAGTCCAAGATTAAAACCATTCAACCATTTTCCTACTTCGCTTGTCACTAAAGAATAGCAATAAAACTATACGTTTTTAACAAATCCCATGCACGCATATTTGAGTTTGTATTGAATATTAATAACGGTGTTGGTCGGCAAAAGGCTACGCAAGCGATGTTCAATGTAGTTAGGAAAAAATATACAAAAATGACAAAACTGGAAGTCAGAAACGAAAAAAAAAGAAATTGTGAAAAAACAACGGTTTTCTAATATTCACAAAATGCCATGCAATACAGTTCTTCAGTTTGTGATTTTGTTTATTTATTTACAGAATGTTGTAGGCAAATACCATTTTTGTGAATCAGACACTTACGCGGTTTAAGCCTTTTTTAACTTTGTGTACTTATCTTAACTTTGTACACTTTGTGTACTTATAATACACTTTGTGTATTTCTATTACACTTCGCGTACTTATTATTACACTTCGCGTGCTATAAGTACACTTTGTGTGCTTATATATTACACTTTGTATAGTTATAATCAGTCTTATGGTCTTATTTGCAGTTAAATCAACATCCCTAATACAAAAACTTGTTGCTTTATATAATTCTATTTAATTCATGTAGGGCCAAAAAAGTTGTCATGCATAGACTCTTTTTAGCCCAAGTGCATGGCAGAGACAAGGGGAAATGTAAAATTAATATCATATGATTGAAATAAACGAAAAAATTGAACGTTGTTCCCTGTCATCTGTACGCCCTTTTTAATGTTTGCGACTGGTTTGTGACTTTATACATCAAAACATCTATTTGAAAAAGATATTAATCTTTAACTTACTTTGTTCCGCTTCTTTCCGCTCCTCTACAATTTCCTCACCCAGGATATTCATAAAGCGCTCTATCTATAGGAACAATAGAACAGAGATTGCAATTCTCGCCCTTCTATCTTTCTTTTAAGTAAAATTACAAAGGGTGATTAATGGAGAACTAAATCATGTAGAACGGCACCTTCTCTATCTTCGCTCTTATTTTTCGGGAAGTATATTGGTGCTTAGGAAACATACCAGAGAAAGTGAAAATCTCTCAACCACCTCAAGATCACAACTTTCTGGAAATGTTTTTTTTTATAACCTATTAGAATTCAATTTCACGTGTGGGATACACGCAAAGTATATATATTGGAATCGTCTGTACATGTATACATTTATATACTGCATGTGACCTAGCTAAAACGTTTGCACAATATATATTTGTATACAATGTATATTTGGAGAGACTAATCCACAACAGTTCTCGACCGCTGAAAGCCTGAAACTTGCTTTTTTCTGGATAATTTGTTCGCCGTTTGGACAGATTAATCGTATTTAAGTTTTTTAAGCATCAAAAGTACTCACTTTCTTCCATTCTTCATATTCATTCATTGGTCCATCACTCACGGAACTCAATCTGAAGTTTTCCGTGAACTGTCCTTGACGACTCTCGCCACCAGACTCCCCTGATGAACTACTCGGCGAAGGCTTATCAAACATAACGTTTTCGTATTTAAGTGTTCGCGGTCGGGTTCCCGCATCGCCACAGCCCGAACTTCTACGGCTGCTTTCGTCGCTTCCCCCTGAATCGGTGTCGGTTCTCGCTGCGAACGCGTGGAGAAGAACGTCCCGCGCTGTTGACGGCGAAGGTGGGGAAAATGGCGGATCTGGCGACATGTACTCTCTTGTCGGACTGGTGACTTCCGATAAAGCTTCTCTCAATGTACAATAATCATCCTCGACGTCTACAACAAAGGATCCTGACATTAAAGCTGTGATATTGAAAGACGCACGAGAGGCAAAACTCGTTTTCTATGGCCGAGGCTCGAAATCAACAGTGCTACACCGCTACATAGCAATAGTCACTACAAACTATAGTCCAAAAGCCGAAACAAATTATATGGACAAATTATTACGACAGGAGTGAAAGGGGGGAATCAAGGCTTATTTAAGCAGTGGTAGATCCACCTGAGTTTGTCAGAATAAATAAGTTTCAACTTGAAATTAACACTCTTAGTATCACTTAAGCACCTTCTGAGACAGCGCCATTGATTATGTATTTACACATGAATATTTTTGAATAAAAATCTACCGATCCGAATTTAGTGGCAGTAATTTATTCTGCTTTACTCCGCATTAACCAAGTGCTGTATATTCAAGAAAACACACCGCTGTTCCGAACTTACTTTGAGCATCCGGTAGTGATTTTCGTGCATCGCGATATGGTTTGGGTATCGGTGGCCTTATTCTGCCTTGAGCATCAGGCTTTGGACTTCCTGGTTCAATGGGAGCGTGGAGGATATGAGGGGGTAATATCTCATACGCATTACGAGATCGTTGCGACGACGGACTGCCACGAGAAGAAGGACTCCGGAACGGGAGTTCGACATTCTCGTAATCCGTCGTCCGACGTTCGGACGACGGGGAACCTGAGTAGGAATTGGAAGCACTCGAAGCTTGACTTGTATTCATGTCCTTCACTGGGGACGACCTGGGATGAAATAATATTTCGGTTACAGTACTGATGTTTGATACAAACGACCATGCAACCTCGCGCTCATATTTTAGCCAATCAGCGTTCAGAAAAGATGTCGAAGTAGAGATCTATTCTGCAGTATTTAATTGATTATATCTTTTGTTATTCTTTATGAAATTAGTCGAACTTTTTTGTGATTATATTTTTAGTTATAAGAACTACAGTTTTGACGTAAATTTTGAAACGGAAATAAGGTATGTTTCGAGATATATTAAGTGGTTTCTGACGAGAGAATGGATTATTTACACTATAGATTCGAAATTTTAGAAGACGCTGCTACGTTGATTTCGGGTTAAATTGGAGGCATCCCATGAAAATTGATTCGAATTTACTGTAGTTATGTATTTAAATACCATATAAATTTTAATAAACTATACCTATCTTCTTCACTCGAGGTACAGCTAGCGACTGCGGCTGACGTTTTTGAGTAAGATCTAGGGATATTATATTCATACGAGGGAGGCGTTATCGCAGGCATATTTTCATAGACCGTTTCCTTTCCGGAACTCATACTTCCAGTCCGATTCGGAAGAACAACATTTTCATAATCCGGTACATCTCTGTGTGTACTGGGAGACTGCACATCTCGTTTCTTTGCGCCTTCTGGATCACTTCGGATCTCCGGCGAGCCCCTGGCTAACCCATCACCTTCTTTCCTATCTTCTTCTCTTTTTTGGCCGAAGTTTCCATCCGGCGAAATGGCAGCTCCGATCGGGTCGGCACGCCTCGAGGGAGGCGACACAACCGTGTCGTAATCCGTTGTCCGGGGCAAAGAACGATGCTGAGAAGGAATTGATATCGGATTTGATTGGCTACCCCGTGAAAGGGAGCCCACCCGTGGAAGTTCAACGAACTCGTATGTATTGTCGGGAGCTGGGACCGAGTTGCTTCGATCCAAAGCATTTTTTCGGGGCGAAACCGGCGGTCCCTGCGACTGTTCTCCTGCCGGCCACGAGGAAGTGGCATGATAGTTTTGCCTTTCAGTAGAAACCGGGTACTGTGGACCGGCCTGTTCAGATGTATGCCCAGAACCTCCCATTGACGGTTGAACTACTCCGTATACACTATTCACAGGTTGGCTCTGATCTAGTCCGTTGCCCGAGTAATTCAGCAACGCGTATTTGCTCGGAACTTTGGCAGGCATTGTCGAGCTTTGATTTCTGCCCAAATTTACAACTCCGTAAATGCTATTTACGGGTTGTGCGGAGTTATTTACCGGAACTTGGTATTGGGATGAACCGAGTGTTAACGATTGAGGTCGATTGACAAGGCCGTAGGTACTTTCAACAGGAATATTTGATTCGGGTGCTTGTCGTGGAGGAGGAACGAAATCGTAACTTGCCGGCGAGGAAGGCATCCTTGTCCGAAGAGAGGTCGGGGCTGTAAAATAAGCGAAAGCTACGTTTTAGGGAAAAGGCTATATATTTTACAACAGATTATTTTTGAGCGATTTTTGCTGGGATTTTCTTCTTCTGATAGACGTGAACGAATCGATCAGTTACAGATGTTCAACTGATGATTTTCATTTATTGTTAGAAAATATCGCGCAAAAAGAAAGTCACAGCAAAAAGTGTTCACCTGAGATATGGACAACCTAAGAGTATTTAGCTCTATATATCGTGTTCCGTATCCTAATTCGCCTTTGATAATTATATAATATCAATCAAGGCAATTCGGGCGAAATAAAGTACAGATACATGGGGTAATGAGAAACTCACTCAAGCAGTTAATGCCCAAAAAAAATAATTTCGGTAAGGCGCCCCCCACTTTTTTTAATGTGCCCCTTTTTTCAAGCGAACCTGCCTGTCTTTGACTTTTGAGTCATTAAATGAGCGTTATTGTATGTAGTACATGAGCTCAGACGCAGCGAAGATATGTATGCATTGCAGTTACGTAAAGTAATTCAGTGAATTTCACTGTCTTCGCAGATAAATGAGGGTGAATGTGATATAGTTCATTATGAGTAAGTGCCCTTTTTTTCAGTGCCCCCCCCCCCCCTCAACTTTCTAAATGGTTCCGTGGTCCCCTTTCAATCCTAATGTGTTATTTGCTTTTAGTCAACATCTCTATACCAAAAATATTAATTATTCTGTTCGATTATATGCAACGCCAAAGAAAGAAATGTAGGTATATATAATGTACATTGCTCGTTGACCATACATATTTGAAGGAGATATACAATACATATAGCCTACCGTTTGCGGCCCGTGGCTTTGGAACTTCATCGTAGCTTGTTTGTCTGGTAAACTAGAAGGTGAAAACAAAATATGAATTTATATTATTAAGTGTATTAACAATACCAATATAATAGACAGTCGTCCTTTAAAAAGCTCAACCACGCTCTGCATTTAGCTTCCGTAGTCTGTTCAAACAAGTTAAAGGGCGATTCTTTACGTGTCCTTTACCTGAGGTTGTCGAGTTTGAAAGCTGTTCTCTGAAAGATGAATAAAATAAACGATATTGTATCTTGTATCAAAAGATATGTTTTATGCAAGACAAGTAACTGAGTTGTTGTTACTCATGCAATTTAAGCCCGGTGCTGGATACAAGATAAGAATGTTTCTTACAATGTCAACTGAGAGCCTTTAAACAGTGGCGCATTTAGGGTGAGTCACAATAAATTTCACTGCCTTATTTCCAATGAAAAATACCTTAACAACAACACCATTGGGAATTAATTATAAATTTCTAAAGAATATTGATTGTGTTAATTTATTCTGACTTATCCTAGATCTGCCACTGCCTTTAAACCCCGCCCTTCCTTCATCCCTGCATGGCCCTGGTAACATGCAAACTTACCTCGGAACGGCCTTGATGGTACTGTGTCGTAAGCGTCAGTTACTGCAGCCTAAAATATATTGTTGTTCGAAAAAGATCAAATGTAAGCTAGGCTATACCTATTGAGATTAACTATTTGTTAACAACTTGTGTTGAAGATAGTGGACAATATAAACAAAAAAAACAGAAATGAACGAAAAACTACATACGGAACATGCGAAATTTGTTTACTTATTACATATAATATGTATAGTATGCATGTTCTGCATAGTTTTTCTTGAGACTTTACTATTACTATAACTTATGCATTTCTTTTTCCTTTTACGAAATCCGTAGTGCACGCGACCATTCAAAGAACAAAATAAAGTTACCTCTGAGGTGTTTCGAATGTCATTCGCTGCTCCTTAAAAATAATAAACACGAATCGAAATCAAATGATACTGGAATATACCATCAGCCTGATCAATTCATAAACTGATCCTATCAATAAAGCAATTCACAGCCATATACGCAAATTAAATCTGCATCCACTAAAGCTGCTGTCGATATAGACTTTATTTTTAAAAAATACGTTGCAGCATGCAGGAAAGTCAGTCATGGATAATTTTGATTATCCTTTCACCTAGCTGTAAAACATGGTTTTTAGCAGAATTTTTTGTAGGTGTAAACATTTCTCGTAAGTGACGTGTACACTTGGATGTACAGTAAAATATCATTTATCATTTATACCATGCACACAATTGGCAAAAATTGGTCTGATTTGTGGAGTCACTCTCTAAATGTCTCTAACCACTGTGTTTCTCAACTTTACCAGGTACTGTAGCATTAAAAATTACTCACCTCGAGACGACAATGACAAAGGTGGTGGAACTTCGTCATAATGAGAAGATTGTTGCTACAATGGAGAATTTAAATTTTCATCGGTTACGGTTGCTCAAATGTAGAACAAATTTATGCATATAAGTCCTGTACTTACAACTTTCGTCGTATAAACGTTCCCGAATTCTAAACAAAAATTTACAGACAGTAACTACTTGTGTAACTATAATTCTAAGAGAAACTTTGAGTTGCTATATCGCTGCGTTCACAAGCGATCTGGTTTTAATGAAAGCTTTCTGGGGGTTTTTATTAATTTATAATAAAAACCATTTCTGAACACGAATTTCTGAAACATTTCTGAAAGAATATATCTCGTGGAAAAATTCAACAATGGGCATGGGGCATTAATTTGGAAACGATGATCTCATGTCACAATGGAGTGTGAAAAATAAAACACAACCTACCAGATATCGGTCTTGGCGGTGGTATTGCATCATAACCTGTGGAGGGTACACTGGCTGCCTCTGATAATGATCGACTCTATAAAAGAAACAAATTAAAGTTTTCAAAGGATGTTTCAAAGGATACTCTAACAGCAGGGTTGAAAGACGATATGCCGTAAGAGTTTAAACTGTAACGAAGTTCTACCTTTCCTAGCACTGTGTATGTTGCTAACTGTTAGACTGGATTTCACTGTACAAAGATTTATATATAGTCGTGGACACAACATTCCGCGGTAAAAAAATAATGGAAGTAAACGGAGTCAACCTGAAACTGCAACGGAACAATCTTTCTGGCTCTATTGTGAAACGTGTACGCAGGTGTTCACTGAAACTGTACCTTTCCTCCAATAAATGAAGATTGTTCTTCATTCTGGATATGCGCTGTGAACGAAGAAAGAGTAAAGTTGACCCGATTTTCCAATGTCTTGAAGTATTGGATATGCTGCGAAGACATTTGTCATCTGGAAAAACATGTCTCCGAACAGACTACTCGTACAACAGGATGTATAATTACAATTTTTACAATGTCGTTTTTTGCATTTTTAAAGCCTTGAACGGATCTTTCGAAGTCTGATACACATAAAATTTAATTGAACAGCTAATTTTTAAATGCCATTGAATCATCGTAACTTTTTCTCATATCCATACTCGTCAACGCATAAAGTAGTAGCAACTCCGTAACAATGCTTGAAAATATATTTATGAAGATATACCCGCTTATATTTGCGGGTATACCTATTGGTCTTTTGTCAGTGAGGTTACTCCCCACGATTTTTAAAATATGGTAAAGTCTCAGATTTAGATTTACCATTTTGGTATACGTTTTCTCGTCAGAAAGCAAAGTATTTTGCAATTGCGAAAATACACATGTTTATACAAAGAGCATGGAAAGAACATGTAGTATATCATGTATCCTCTTTTTACCTATTTTTTAAAATGCACAATGTTTTTATTTCAGATTCTTTATACGTACTATAAATACAAGCGGTTATTTCGCGAGATCTTTGAGACGGGTTGGAAGATAGCAAATCCATAACAGTGCAACCTTGCTTGTTGTGTTTATTGATATCCACCCCTGAAAATAGGAATGTACAGTATGTTGGATTCGATAAGAAAGAAATATTTCTAGGGTGAAAGATGGGTCACGTAAGCCTGCACCAGTTTCCAAACGGAATGTTGTTGAGTTGCACAACAGTACTGAATGATGTTGAGTTGCACAACAGGATTGAATAGTGTTGAGTTGCGTAACAGTGCTGAATGATGTTGAGTTACACATGACAGTGCTGGACGATGTTGAGTTGCACATCAGTGCTGAATGATGTTGAGTTACACAACAGTGCTGAATGATGTTGAGTTGCACATCAGTGCTGAATGATGTTGAGTTACACAACAGTGCTGAATGATGTTGAGTTGCACATCAGTGCTGAATGATGTTGAGTTACACAACAGTGCTGAATGATGTTGAGTTGCACATCAGTGCTGAATGATGTTGAGTTACACAACAGTGCTGAATGATGTTGAGTTGCACATCAGTGCTGAATGATGTTGAGTTGCACAACAGTGCTGAATGATGTTGAGTTGCACAACAGTGCTGAATGATGTTGAGTTGCACAACAGTGCTGAATGATGTTGAGTTGCACAACAGTGCTGAATGATGTTGAGTTACACAACAGTGCTGAATGATGTTGAGTTGCACAACAGTGCTGAATGATGTTGAGTTACACAACAGTGCTGAATGATGTTGAGTTGCACATCAGTGCTGAATGATGTTGAGTTGCACAACAGTGCTGGATGATGTTGAGTTGCACAACAGTGATGAATGATGTTGAGTTACACAACAGTGCTGAATGATGTTGAGTTGCACATCAGTGCTGAATGATGTTGAGTTGCACATCAGTGCTGAATGATGTTGAGTTGCACAACAGTGCTGGATGATGTTGAGTTGCACAACAGTGCTGAATGATGTTGAGTTGCACAACAGTGCTGAATGATGTTGAGTTACACAACAGTGCTGAATGATGTTGAGTTGCACATCAGTGCTGAATGATGTTGAGTTGTACAACAGTGCTGGATGATGTTGAGTTGCACAACAGTGCTGAATGATGTTGAGTTGCACAACAGGACCGAATGATGTTGAGTTGCACAACAGTGCTGAATGATGTTGAGTTGCACATCAGTGCTGAATGATGTTGAGTTACACAACAGTGCTGAATGATGTTGAGTTGCACAACAGTGCTGAATGATGTTGAGTTACACAACAGTGCTGAATGATGTTGAGTTGCACATCAGCGCTGAATGATGTTGAGTTACACAACAGTGCTGAATGATGTTGAGTTGCACAACAGTGCTGAATGATGTTGAGTTACACAACAGTGCTGAATGATGTTGAGTTACACAACAGTGCTGAATGATGTTGAGTTGCACATCAGTGCTGAATGATGTTGAGTTGCACAACAGTGCTGGATGATGTTGAGTTGCACAACAGTGCTGAATGATGTTGAGTTGCACAACAGGACCGAATGATGTTGAGTTGCACAACCGCATTGAATTATGTTGATTTTACAACAGGACTGAATGACGCTGTGTTGCACAACAGTACTGAATGATGTTGATTGCACAACATGACTGAATGACGCTGTGTTACGCAACAGTGCTGAATGATGTTGAGTTGCAGCGCAATTTTGAATGCGACTTTCATTGGTTGATTACATACTCACCAGATTGCAACAGCAGTTTGACGATATTACTTTTGCCATAAAGAGCAGCGATGTGCAGTGGTGTGCCATCATCAGACTAAAATAGGAATATTGTAGGGGTGAAGGTTAGAACAATGGTCTAAGTTGGAACTGATTATGAAATTTTAAAATTTAGTTTGGCTTGAATCTGGATAAACCAAAGTTTAAAAATACTTTCAAACTGTACATCTGTGAATGACTGAACCTGCATCTTATGTATTAAATGTCACAGACGTCACTTGAATATTAAAAAAAAGTGAAACATTCCGTTCTTCAAATTAAATTTCCTTTCCATTTTGTACTTATTTGCTGTGTTCAGTTAAACGCCTTCGAACAAGCGAACCATTGTATGTATATTATAGGATAGGATATATACATAGGATAGTGATAATAGTACTTCAAAAATAGCCAGGTTTAATCAAGATTTCATCAAATTAGGGGCATTTATTTACAGGAAGCGGTTTAAAAAACCGCTATCCAATACATAGCACTATGTATTGGCCCGGCTCTTTGTATGCCTGCTGTGACATCATGTGCCTAAAATGCACGCCCTTATTTATTTGATTTTTATCGTTTCTAACTAACAATAACGGCTGGTTTCATTTTGTACGAACCCACTATCAGACCCTCTTATACTGCACGGAGTTTGGCCGTAAGGTCGTCAATCAGGTTTGGGGACGAATATGCTTTACCTACACAACTATAACAAAGAAAAACGAAATTAAAAACGAATACCTCAAGGTTTACAGGCATTCCCTTCTCAATCAAGGACTTGACAATATTATAATGTCCATTTCTTGATGCCAAATGTATTGGTGAGTGAGTGCTGAGAGTTTTCTTCGCCAACGCGGGGAAGTACAGAAGTAGGCAGTTCACCTGCAGAAAAAATAAAGCCCCGTTTACACTACACTCAATTCATCAGAACGGCAAGGCTAAAATGGGTACCCGTACTCAGTTTTATTTCGCCCCGTTTTCCACTAGGCGAATTTATTCGTGCGAACATATAAAAAGTAAGAAGCGTTTCTACTTTTTCGCGGCGAATTTTTTCGCAAACCAATCACATCAGCGGATTTCAGATATCGCTTCGCGTCGCGCGAATAAATTCGCATAGTGGAAAAAGGGCTCTAGTACGAGTACGAGATTCGCCATTCTCGCGCCTTGTTTGCTTACGCCATCAGTCAAAATTCGTATAGCCTTTCGAGTACGAAATTTATCAAAAAACTCGTACTCAAAAGCTCGGCGACTACGAGTTTTGGCTGATAACGTAAGAAAACAACGCGCGAGAATGACAAATCTCGTACATATGTACTCGTAGTCACACGTAGTCGTACTCGTAGTCACTGCTTAAGCTTCCTATTGTTCAGGACACAATTAATAGAAGAGAGAAGGCCGAGCACAGACGAAATTGGTACGGGTACCCATTTTTGCCGAGCCGTGCCAATAAATTGAGTGTAGCGTAAACCGGGCTTAGGTACAATATCATGCATGCATGCAAGTATTTTTGTTTCTCGCGTGTTCGCCTTTTTTTCAGCTGACCTCTATTACTATTAAAGCACTTGGGATAGGATAGGCCTATAATTCCACCTGTATAATGGCTGTATTTGAACTATAATGGACACAATACTCGGATCACCGATAGCCGGCATCGCCGATGGTCGGTGCCTGATGAGAAGCCGGCTTTAGGTCAGGTTTTCATGTGTCACCGACAGTACTAGTCACCTGCGATGGTTATTGTTAGTGATCATGGGGGAATAAAGCGCTTTGTAATCCTCAGTAATTTTTTTTCGTCACCGGCCGCTATAGCCAAGGATGATTGCTTGATTTGAACAAAAGAAGCCACGAACAAAGAGACTATGTAAATTTTTAGAAAAATGCCAGAGAAAACGAAACTCTAAATTTTGGGCCAAATTAAAAGAACAATCGAACTTCGGGGTTCCAATACGTAATTTGCAATATCTTGGTAAGCTCTTTGCGAGATTTCACTAGAAGTTATCGCCGTGTAACAAGAGATATTACTCAGAAAGAAGTTCGGGAAATTCGCAAAAGTTTAAAAGAGGTCATAAAGCTGTATTAAAATTTTACAAAACGTGTTCAGCAAGAGACTCACCGCATCTAACCGTCCATATTGAGCAGCGAGATCTAATGGTGATTCATTTTTCAGGTTACGTAGGTAAGGATCACCATGACACTAGAAATAAATGTTTTTAACGTTACATGACCATCTTCTTTTTAATTCTGCCGATTGAAGCACAAAAACGGGCAGAAAATGATTCTTACACACGGACGGCTTATCCATGCATTGAACTGATAAACGTGCAGTCGAGGAACCAGATTATTTTTTGCTCCCCGGCCTGATTCAAAACCACCCAGCCATGTACACAAATGTATTGATATATTGCACGTATATGTAGCTGGTAGTTTGTGTGATTTCAAAATAAAGTATGTTTCAAAGACCGGGTTTTGCGAGTCGGTTTTTATATAGTCAAGTCAAAATTTGATGTCCATTGTAGGTTAAATAATGGTTTGTACAGTACATATAGTATACTTTTGATGTCATCATTACCTCTAAAAGTACGACAATGACTTTATTGTGGCCATATTGACAAGCCAGGTGAAGCGCTGTTTCATTATTATTATTCTATAAAACGTACAATTGATATCAGTGATAATTAAGAAATACAATAAAATACATGCAGTGTCTATATGCAAGCTTGTGTATATGCTGTTAATTAAATCGAAAATCTTTGTTGTTGGAAAAGGACTATCATTAACTCTTGCTTACACATCCATCGGTTTAATATAAACTTGTAGGATGCGATATTGTGGCTTACGTACAGAGAAAAACTATCGTAAGAATTACTGAGCAGCACAAATTGCTCATAATAATAGACATATAAGGCAAAAAACAAAACCCGAATAAACGAGATATCTTCATGGAATACAATGCATGTAGAAAATGTGATATTCAGTGGATATTGCTTATTCTGGAGGAATCTGTACTCAGTACTCGAAAAGAAATGATAAGCTACTCCAAATATTTTATGCAGGGGCCGGTTGTATCAAGCCCGTTTAGCTTAAACGGTGGATAAGTCAAAATTAAATAACACTCTTACATCTCTCTTGAATGAGTCAACTTGAATATTATGCACTGAATATGTAGTTGTGAACAGTATCTTTGTATTAAGGTTAAAAACATTTAGTTCGCTTGTCGAATAAAACGATAGACTTGCTCTCTATTTTGAACTTAACCACCGTTTAAGCTAAACGGGCTTGATACAACCGGCCCCAGAACTGTTTCTGTGCATAAAATATAAAATATAAACCTAGTTCTCGTATATCGCGTTCATCGTAAATGGTGATTGCCGGTTGACTAACGAAGTGCTTTGTCATGTGTGGAAGAAGGCGAAAATACACGTAGGCGCCTATCTAATAATCGGGTGGTACCATTGGTACAGGAAATAATGATTTTACCGATGAATTATTTGCACGAATGAAACGGCCGAACAAAATATAAACATCCCACGTCATGTTAATATAAACGTCCCACATCAATTAAAATGATAGGTAGCGAACAGTCAGGTTTTCTGAATGGGATTATGAGAAAGAAAAAACTCTCGCCTGTCCCCATCTATCTCACCGCGCGCCGTAGTTTGATGTCATATATAGGTATATTATTACATACCTTTTACCTTAGTATAAAGAATATATAGTATTAATAGGTAATTACATATACGAGATGTATGATATGCTACGGCGGGCGCGAGGTTTTCTTTCACATTTTTATTTCACCAAAAATCTGACTGTTGGGCTACTTATGTTAAAATCAACTACAAAAATTATAAGCACGTGTGTGAGGAGAGCGCGGTGAACTGGGAGAGCGTGATGCAGTTAACAACGTTACCTGTTCATTTACATTGGCACGTGATGGTCCACGGTTGAGTAAAAGTTCCACAACATCAGCATGGCCATTCCATGCAGCTAAATGCAATGGGTAACTACCTAAAATAGATCAGTGTGAATGGCGTTTATAAGTCAGTATGTACTTTAGTACTTATAAAAATATGTACTTATTAAAATATTTTAACGCGATCATTTTTAAACACACTCAGCACCCGCACTCAGACTACTGTGTTGAATCAGTAGAATCACTTGAATGTGTCTCGGAATTTGTCATGCTGTACAGTTAGTATTTTGTGTAAATTGTATGTTATTTTGTAAGTCTTATGTTGAAAATAAAATTTCTTTTTATATTCTAGAAATGATTTCTGGAAAAAACTATTCAACAACTCTTAACTTGGCAATTCTATGAATAAGAATGTCAGGTGTTTATTATTTTAACATCAATTTGTGGAGAATTAAATGCCTGGGGCTATATATGTGGTAAAATTCCTTAATAGTAAAAATGGATACAAATACATATATGCATCTAGTCTCAGACAGAAAATAAATTAATACCATAATAATAACAACAACAACATTTCAAGGATATCAATGTTGTAAGGGACGACTTGCATTATTTGCATTATAGACTAACTTATGATCTAAGTAAATAAAACACTACAGCTAAAAAGAGCATACTTAAATTAGTATAATTGCCAAGTTTGGCTGCAAAATATAAAGAAGTAAGGAAAATATAGTATAAGTAAATTGTAATTAATTTAATTACACTCACCTGGCCATAATACAAAAGTATAAAAAAATTGTCAACTTTGCTTGGCTATATCTTCAGTACTTTACACTATTTTTTAGCCAAACTTACGAAGTTTATGTTTTATGCTCTTTTCAGTAATTCTCTATTTGAAGCCTGAATCAAATTTGGTCTATTTTGCAAGTGGCCGATTGAAAACAAGTATTTTTTGAAAATTCATTTTCGATCAAATACATTCCTCATTGAGGCACTGCATCAATTTTTTATAACTTTATTGACATGCAAAGTTGAATGTTTAAAATTGTTAACATTTTGTTACCTTTATGTAAATAAGAACTAGTTGAGAAAAAAACCCTAGCATTGACATTTTGTTCAGGCTTGATCAATTTAAATTCTGTGCATGAGATTACTGGTAGCTGTAATACCTATACCGGTAGTAAATTTAATTTTCTAACTTGGATGAAACAACAACCCACCTGCAAAATCAGGAATATTTGTTGATGCCTCATATTTTAGCAATGCCTCCACTGCATCTCTATAAATGAGAAAATATATGAAGAACAATATCCAAATGCAATGCTGATCATATGTTAAAATTGTGAAGAGAATGTGTTCCAACCAGCCTTGCTAGACTTTCAATATTATAGTAATATCCTTCAAATAAGTCCATTTGTACAAAAGGCATTTTTGGTATTCAAACACAATCAATAATACACAGCAGTACTACATTAAATAATGGGTAGAAATAGTCAAAATATCATATAATTGATTTAAATTGCCAAATGCAAATATTTGGTGAAAAGTTTAGGAAATTACCAATATTGAAACAGTAAATTAAATTCAGACAAAACAGTCTTATTTCCTACTGGGATTAGTTTAAAGTGAATGTGAAATTATAGCAAGTCAAGTATGGCAGTATAGTGAATCAAATATCAGCCATTGAATGTCAGTTAGCTAGTCACAATTTAAAATGAACCGAGGAATTGATATGTATGCAACAATTAAGGGCAGTTTAGGTGAGCAAATAAACTAGATTTTTAGCCAACCTGGTAAATATAAAACATTATGTGGATTCATGTCACCAAAAATATTTTTACTATTAAGAGAAGTTAATTTAGTTAAATTGAGCATTTCCAATATGTAAATAATTTGCACAAATATACACAAAATCTAATGACAAGATACAAGCAGAAGGGACAGGTTATTATTGTCCCTTTAGCTTCTAACCAGGTTGGTTTATTTTACAGGCTTTAATTATTTAAATTGGTAAATTGGTATTTAAAAGACAGCTATGAGCTATATAATTAAATTTTTAAAGACCTTTCTATTTTCGTTTAGGTTCTTCGGGTTGAGCCCAAGAATATTTCCCTGACAAGTTGGTATATGATGACTTCAATAGATTTAAAACGCAAACAGATTAGTGAAATGCTATAAATTGATGATGCGGTATCACACTATAGCCATATAAATACTTATGACAATAAAGACAATAAATATTGTATATTGTAGCCACGTCAAAATAAATCCAAAACAATTCAAAAGTTTGAGCAACAACTAGATTGAATATTGTACTACATGGCGTTACATTATCGCCACGGTTTTGAACAAGGACATCGCAAGGATATCTTGGTTTCCGACCGACGATGATGTACGGATATAAATCGATTAAAAGTTAAATTTGCTACATTTTGCCATACCTTTTGCCATTTAATGCGGCATGATGCAGGGGGGTATAGCCATTTGTATCCTGACAGTTAGGACCAACTGACTTCCGTATACTAGGTAAATGTAGTTACACAAAGATCAAATTGGTTATACATGTAGAATAGGATCATAGACTAGAGCAAACACCGAAACAGACATTGTCTCGAAGTTTGCCATATACCAGGCATTGTATGTCTAAACATTATACGCATACCTTTGAAGTGGGCCGGGTTTCTTTGCTCTCTGCCCAAGTATTTTATCTATTTGAACTAAGTTTCCAGTCTGAGCAGCCAAAATGAGTTCTTGTTCCTTGCCCATGGCACTCGGGAGTGATCGAAATTGACATAGAAATACGACACGATTCTTTTTTACGCCATTTTAAGTCAGCCAGGCGCATATATTATATACCAGTGCACGATAGTTCCGGCTTTTGCGGGCAGTTGCGGGAACATTCCTTCCAAACGCGGATGCCAAATTGCGGATTAGTGGACCGTTAAACGGCGGATAAGTTCAAAATAGAAAAAAAATGAACTCTTTATGTAACAAATGAGCTGAAATATTAAATAAGTAAATAGCTTAATTTTAATGGAAATACATATTTAATGCATAATATGCAGGTTCAGTCATTTACTAGATGTATATTTTAAATAGCTTATCCACCGTGCTAAACGCCTTTCGAAAAAGGGCCTTTCCGGCCCCTGGTAAATAAATCTCCTTTGTTTGCACGCCGGCGCCTAACGCAACAGAAATGTTATTTAGACAATTGGGCCGCTAGTCACTACTGGCTGTGCAAAAAGTTGAAATTTGTCCACGACGAAACGTGATGTTATCGATGATTTGTTTAGTTATATTGCAAGCACGTGTCACGTGACAAATCAAATGTAAACATCGACGCTATGATGTCACCAAAACCCTCAAAATTCTACGAATATTACTGCTTTGGCTTTGTATTGAATGCATGTATACTGTAACTAAACTAGTATCGAATCGAACGATATGTATGTCTCATTGCTTTTTCACCGGGACCCGGTTGTATGAAGAATGGTAGCGCTATGCCGCTATCCACTTGATAGTGACTTTTTTCAACCAGTGCAAAAATGCTTGGAAAGTAATATCTAGAGATGGACTAGGATATTGCGCCAATAACAAAAAAAAACCTTCAAGAACAGGAAAGTTGGGTGGGTAGCGCTATCCGGCAACAGCTCCGCTTCACTTGCGCGGGCGAAGCGTCTTTTTAAAATAAGAGCCTGTTTACATGGAGCGAGTTATCCCGGCTAGGCGAGGTGAAAACTGCATATAATAAAAGACTAATCAGGTTGAGTCTTGATGTGATGCGCTTTTTACCCTAGGCCCTAAATCTGCCCATGCGACCGTGACGGGCCTGAAAATCAAAGTGCGCTTCGCCCGCGCGGGCGGAGCGGACGTAATGGAGAATCGCCTTTAGAAACGGTTCGAAAGATCGCTACTCTAGTGGACAGCGCTATCCAGCTTTCGTCCAACCGGTTCCAGTAGCCGAAAAAAAAGCACGCGATTCATGAAATATTATTATGCCTTTATTTTAACTTACTACAAAGATAACTTACATTAAAATACATGCAGGTATACTAAATAGAATTTTACATTTTTAAATTACATTATGTTTTAAACATTATTCGTGGTTTTCATATGTATGAATCGAGTTGAGCTAGGGTATAGTGAGGGTATATACGACACAATATAACATGGTATCATCGCAGTTTCCTTAGGATTTGTTGTGTAATCAAAGCAATGTGATTTTCAATAACCGTCATGTAGTGATTATATTATTGGACTTTGTGTTCATCATTACATCATTCAAAAACCACGATTTTGTTTTTCAAAAAAGGAATATATATAATATATATATATAATGTAATTGTGCTTTTGTAACAGCGTACTGCGGAAATGAGTGCAAAGTGAAGCAATTAACTTAAAATTGAATGAAAGTAGAAATAAATACATATTAACATTATAAAACGATAAATTGTCAAAAAAATCTCAAAGAAGACCAGCCTCTTTTTTCTTCTTGGTAATTTCATCTTCGATGAATGCAATTTTCTTTGCTAATAATTCTTTCTTCATGGCAAAACCATCCAGCTGATTTTTCACCAAATTTCGTTGGTCGTCGCCAATTTGCTTTTCTTCTGAAACTGACAGCAGTAGTTGTGATTCCCTGTCTGCCATTTGAACAAGCTCGGAGTTTTTCGTGTCGAGATGTCGCTGAAGTTCGTTGATTTGCGCTAACAGCAAATCTTTCGGGTTCTTAAAGTGGCTCCTCGTCTTCTGGTTGGCCCTGCAGGAATAATGAGGGGTAGCAATGTAATCAGCTCATACTGGCCAAATTATGAATATATCATGCCCTCAGAGAACTTTCATCTCAACCCATAAATTTAACAACTGATATAAGAAGCAAAATTACAAATTCGGAATTTATAATCTTGTCACATCACAATTCAAACTTTCCAGTGATTTAGGCTTGGACATACCTTAAGTTTGTGATGGGTGCATCAATTTTCGTTCCTCGTAGTTGTTGTAAACGGGTAGCAGCAAACTCTTTCGTAGATTTCGTAGGGGTATGAAGCGTCGCTAGGTGACCACGCAGATTCGATTTATCCATGTACGAGTTCTGGTCCATAACGCGCTTTGTTATAGCCTAGAAGCAAGTATGGGAGAAATGAAAGAGTTAATAACGGCCATGACGTCATGTGAAAATCCTCTAGTCTGTGAAAATCCTCTTAGTCTTTTATACAACTGGCCAGAGAAGGAAAAGTAGCTACTAAATTGCTAACGTTTTTGTGTGAAAGCAAAGATTAAAACGCTCGAAAGTGTTACCGTGTGCATATAATCATAGCCTTAGAGTCCTTGAAAGATGTTGAATGTTTTAGGCCTCGATCAAGCACTAAAAACGCGACGTTCACTATTGATCGAATTTAAAACCTAATCATGGGAGTCAGTGAAGGCAATGGACTGACGAGGTCTGGCCAAATGTTCGCTCAAGAACTGTAGAATTGGGTGGCCAAAGTATGAACTTTGTTAAAGCCTACCTTTGGTGAATAATCTACATCATTGATACTTGTCACCTTGATGTTAACTAGTTCGCTGACGACATTGGTGCGTTGCGTCATCGTGGATACGTGTTGGAAAGCTTTTTCCAGAGGAGATTTGCCATTCGCCGTTGGGTCATTGACAAGAGTATGGGCTGCATCAGTAGAGCGTGCTCGAGAGAAGAATAGGTCCTGACAACATATTCGCATTGTCTGCGGGAAAATATACCACAAGATAAGCAACGTATAAGCTGGGGATTTGCTAACATTGAAATTTACAAGCTTAAAATCAAGCTTGCATGCCCATGCAGTTTGGGAATTTTTTGAGTATTATCATAGACAATCCAGAAGACAGGATTGTCTCTGGATTGTCTATGGTATTATAAACCTTTCCGGCAATTACGTCACAACTTCGCTGTTTAGGCCCTTCTTAATTTTCCATGTTGATGTGTCTAGGATCTTGGTAGTTTTCAAAGAATAACACCCTTTTAACGCATGCATGAATTTTATTGAACAATATGAATGTGAAAAGAGATAGAAATGAAATCAATCCTCATGCAGACGCCAAGAACTCGTCTTAAAAATTATTTTCCATGCAATTATCGGTCAAGACGACGAGGGTGGTCTAAGTTGACCGCAATAGAGCTGTGAAGAGTTTTTCCGAAAATGTTTATTTAACACATGTATGTCAACGTATATATGGCAAACACAGCACCAGTGAAAATTGACTTGGAGACGTTGAATATCAGCGGATAACGAGAGCGGGGTAATTACCAACCGATCAATCAACTTCATGGGATAATAAACAACATGCATATTATGATTATTTTCATCCTAATTCCGCTTTCGACGTGAAAGGCATTGCATTGTTGTAGCCACAGCTGACACTCCTACAAAAAACAGCACCTAAATAACCTGATATACTATACCTACCTTATAAAAAGCTCGTAAGAACAACGGATTTTGATCGTCGGCCAGATCATCAACAAGGATGTGCGATAAACAATGCATGATAACCACGATGAAATCTCCAACAGAATGAAGGCGTTCCTCGCGAACGAAAAGAATCTGTCGAGTATGCTCGTAGAAAAATGAATTTCGGAATGCATTGTTATCGTAGTTATTCGGAGGAAGGTTTGAAGCGAGCAGCAATGTCACTGAAGGTAGGCTCATTTTATTTTCCAAGAGATGTGTGACAAATACTCCGAAACGATACACCACGAAATTAGCAGGCGACAGGTCGTTTATATCAACCGGTATTAGATCTCCGGAGCAAAGCCATTGCGCATCCTTGAGATCTATGTACGGCCTTCCTCGACTCGCGCCCAGCACTCCATTTCCTCCAACGCTAACGCCTTGGTTTAGAAGCTGTTCGATTTCGTCGACTCTTTCGAATACGGGAGAGGATATAAGCAACGACAACCAGTCGTTGTCTGACATGTTTTCGGGAAGACCAACAGTTACAACAGGAGTACCGGCTGCTGTTGTCGTGTTCGCAACTTCAGGGGTGATATTACCAGTTCGCGAGCTTGGGGCGCTTGACAATTTCGCAGGTTCGTCAGGCATAATCCGAACAGCGTGCCCGGGTACGACAGGTGAACTCTTTTCGCTGTTCTGTACGGTTTTTCCAGCGTTTTCAATTCCAGACTCTTTCCGTTTTCTTCTTTTCGCTTCTAGCTTCTCTTTCAGAGCGGCCTTCATACGTTCTTGCTCGCTTTGCAAATTCTGTTGGAATTTGGCCATGTTTGCTTCGTGCTCCTTGAGAAGACGCTGAAAAGAACCCCCAAAATTTGTGATTCATGGCAACAATTTTTCAGTATAGTATCTATTTATTTAGAGATGGGCAAATGAGGAATGGAATGAAAACTTTGTAAACTGGATTTAGGAAATAGACTTTTTGAAAAGCTGAAATAATTATACAGCCGCGCGACATTCGGTATGCGAAAATTTTTTATAATTTTTTCAACTATAAACTAGGTATGGTTTATAACTTGAAGCGGCACATGCCTTACTATGAAGAAAATTGTATGGTTTTTATGTTTCATTCATAAGGTAAAAATATCAACAACTATATAATATATATTGCTTTACGAATCTTCTCGACGTCCAAAAGTCGCTGTATTCTTTCATGTCCTACTCCCAAAACAGTCAGTACATGTCCATATATGGTAAAGTGCATAATGTTGAACTTATGTGAAGAGCCACTCCACTACTCCACTAGCGATCACTCCCTTTTTGACAAAAACAAGTCCCCTTCAAATATTAAGTATATCTACACGTGTTGTTTCCATATCTATCAGGCCTTCTTTGACATCTTTCTGATCTTCTTGGTGCGCCCAAATATGGTAAAGTGGCATAATGTTGAACTTATGTGAAGTATTACTTACTTCTTAACACAAATGTTGGTCGGTGTTTACTTGCGATAAATCGATATGATGAGATCAGTATTTGTAATTTTTGCCAAAAGAAGAGGTCGGGCGTATATAAAAACATCCTTGCCTACCTCTTTCTCCGGTTCTGCCTGTCCTCGCTGTGCGATCTCTAATTTCTTCCTTTCTTCTCGTTCCTGGCTCTGTTTTCGTTTGCGGCATTCTCGGTCCGCTTCCCTTTCTGCCAAACGCAAAGCCTCGCGTTCGCGCTCTTCTTCGAGTTCCTTTTCCATTCGCCTGAAAACACAGAAACCAAACTAATGAAGCAAGAAGAACAAGAACACACACAACTGTTACGAATTTCCCATTAGCCTACAACCGGTAAAGGTCCAGAGAGATGGTGGTGGACATGGGTGGACATGTTAAGGCAGGAGAGGGAGAGGGGGGGGGGGGGCGAAAGTAAATTTTTCCGACAAAACAAGTATATATTTTCATGTGTATATCGAAAAAATCGCTGTTGGGGCGCACTTTGCATAACTTCCTACTTTCCTCACTGTTTTCATCTCATTTTCAGATGCCCTTGCCCGGCTGCGGCTTGAGACATGGATTCCTTATTCCCTGTGTAATAGGATTACGACAAGGGCAGTGACGTTATGCCAATCACCTAAATGGTAATCTTTTAAGAAATTTAATACGGTAGCCCTCAAGATGGTTAGACCATATTATGAGATATAAAGTCCATTGCTCCTCGTGATCTTTCTCCTAATTCTCTGGACTCTAAGTGCCATAGTGATCATGCTCTATCCCACACACCAGGATATGTTCTTATTTTCGAAACATACTATTTACACAAAATTCCTCTGTTGTCACGTGAAGCTCATTACTAAAAATATTCAAAAACCTCAAGTGTTGTACACAATCCTGTCAATGATGCTGGAATCTTCACACATAATTTAGAACTGATTAAAATACCTTAAATAATTGTAGTTGTCCTGCATTTGTGAAAATTTGCATGTATAAAATTAGTGTTGCTTACTTTAACATCTCCAGTTCGCAATAATAAGTAAACTATTATGTTTATTAGTGATTGTAATCAAGACATAAAAAAGGTAAATATGTCTCGAGTTCACGCAGCCCGCTGCCCGCAGTCATTTTCACAATTGAGCTGAGCTGAAAAGTATTGCTTTTGGTTCGACCGAATGTTGTGTTTCGGGTTGACCCGTGACCGCATCAGAGTTGACATTTGACCCAGGTATCTCCGCTATTGTGATTGTTGTAATTGGCGCTATTGTCGAGGCAGCTAAACTGAACCATTGGCGGTGATATTAATTATGAACAGCAGTAGAATAACACTACAGTAACGAACGTAGAAAGCCCACCGACAGAACACACAACGATGACGGCAATAACCCAAGATGGAATGAAAGAAAGCTCTGATCTTTCCGAAAAAAACAAGAAAAAACCACGCTACAAATACGCTTGGCTTAACGACAAACATATCTATTCAAGCTTAAAAGTGAAACTGCTCTTTCTACTTCCCTATTTTTTTACGCCGTACTATTAACCTTGTTATAGCATTTGAAACTACGTCAAACAATTTTGATTTATTTCTCCCTAATCTTTTAAAAAAGTTTTATAATTCAGAATTTTTTAGCTTCCTGTACAAACGCAAACACACGTTTTAGGTGGAATTTCGAATGTGGAAGTTATTTGAGAATAATTTGCTCTAGTGAAAAGCATGACATGTGCTAGTACGAACATTCAAACTTTAAACAGGAGCTAAAACGAATAATAAAATGTGAAACTTCTAGCAGGAGCTTCGAAACTTTCAAAATAAAAAAAATACACTTAAAGTACTTGCAAAAGAAATTTGATCCGGAAAATTTCTAAACAGCTAGGAAGAGTATTTAAAAAGAGGAACGCTTAGCTTTCGGTTGTTCGCTTCTAAAATGTTCGCTTGTAAATTATGTTTATAATGATAATATTTTTACAAAAACCGCCATTTGACTTTGATCTCATTCCATCTGTCAAGTTACATACCGTATTTCGTCATCCATCTCTTCTTTCTGGGTGACACTATGCTTCCGCCTGGCTTCTTTCATTTCCTTGATTTTCTCTGACATGGCAAAAGTTGTCCGTTCCCGGAATTCTTTCGCATTTTGAGCGGCTCTCTTAGCTTCTTCTTCGTAGGACTTGCTTAATTCCTGGAAAAATGAAACACCTAATAAATATCTTCTGCGAAACTCGCATCTGAATGCCGTATTATAAAAGCGAACTGAACGACAGGAGGTTGTTTCTTGTGTAAATATTTCGCGTGTTATCTTTCTCAGCCATTCACCAGCTGTGCATGCATCACACCCGCTATTCTTGTTGGACTAAACTACACTAGATGGTCGTTATCAAAATCGTTGAAACATATTTCTTTTATACTTAATTAACTAAAAGTATTATAATTTTAAAATAGATATGAGATACGAGAGATTCCAAAAAAAAATTAAACAGTTTTTGGTTCACTGCCCAAACATGTCAGGAACTGAGCTTGAACCGCCTTAAACATGCCTTGTAGAATTTGATGCACACCCGAAAGAAAACAGACTCACCTCCTCTGTCATCAGATCAGTCATTGTTCCGGCTAATTCCTGTAGTTGCCTTTCCCGTAAACGAAGTCTTTCGTTCGCATGTTTCACCTGCAGTGATGGCGGAATATGGTTATCTGTCTCGTTCAGCTGAGCCTCTGTTTCTTTTTCAAATTGATCGAGCTCTCTCTAAAATTTGAAATCGATAAAGTGAAACTTTAACTCTCGTACTACCACCAGCTGACATATGAGTACACAAGGCGAATTTAGCGAACCTTCACATGAAGATTATCATGTACTCAAAAAAGCGAATAATTCTTTGATGCAGCAATGGACGACTTGTACAATAGACCAACTTATTATCTAGGAATTAAATCCCCCCAGGCAGAAGTGTGGAACTATAATTTAGTTACACTCCCTCGGTCATAATATAAAAGTATATAAAATTTGCCAACTTTGATTGGCTATTTACTGATCTTCGGTACTATACAATATTTTGCAGCCAAACTTGTCAATTTTACTGCTCTTTTCAGAAATTCTCTTTTTGTCGCATAAATCAAAAGTTGGTCTATTATGCGAGTGGTCCATTATACTCTAATAATTTTTCATTAGAGGGTTAAACATGTTCCTTTTGTTCTTAAAACCATAACGAGTAAATCTTGCTCATTTGCATTTTAGGCTGATGATCGAGGAAAGAGGTGTACATTACCTTATGTCGTATTTTTATTTCGGCCTTCTTTTGAGCCAACTGATTCGGTGTCAAACCGTCTGGATTTGCGAGTAATTCAATAAAGTCCTGCAAAATCGGTGTGGAATAAACAAATTACTTGCACGTTAAAACTTCACTATTCTTTTACTGCCACCGAGTTAAAAACAACTAAATTTATACCAGGTTCAAATCGGTTAGTATACTTTAAATCAAATGTGTTAGGTTCTTCGTACCTTTTCATGTGCTGCGATCAGTTGGTCTTTTTCTTGTTGTCTCTGCTCGGCTATCTTTGCACGTGCTTCATCCTGCGAAGCTTTTATTTCACTTCTAAATTGTTCTTCCAACTGGATTTTCTGCTGAATATGATGCTGCTGCAAGACATGGAATATGGTGTTCTCCGCCTTTTCCGACTCCATCCCGTTCACCTTCTCCGTTAGAACTTTCTTGCGAGTTTCCGCAATCTAACATGAAACATGATTGAATTTACCAACACAGATTAAGTAATCACAATTTTACGACACTACTGCGATTGATTTTATTCGGAATAAATTTGCACGGGCTTCTAATGTCAAGAATTTCGTTCAACTCTTTTATTTGTCGCCAAAGATTACTTCTCGAAGTTCGCCGTGAAGAGATGTGAAACATCTCAAATATGAAATATACGCGCAATGCACCATCAATATATGTTGTCAATTAAAAGAGTAAATTAGAGAGAGAGAATGTTATCATGAAGTCAATCACGATAAGTGCTTCTGCTTTAGCAAGATTGCTTTGGCAGGTTTGATTGCCAGCTAGTCTCTCTCGGAGCTTGAATGCTGATTTAGTTAGCCTCAACTCTGTGGGGCGTTTTTAAACAATTAACCTGAACAAACTGTGGTTCTAAGATGGGCATAGGATGAATATGAGCTAATTTTCTGGTTTATCGTGATTTAATGCGAGCGTTTCACACATATACCTGATCGTCTTCAACATGGTTCCTCTCTTCTTGTTGCTTCACCAATTCTTTCGCCACCTCAGCCTCATGTTTTCTTGCTAAAATGGCGGCTTTCATTTTTCTTCTTTCCGCAATCCTACTGGCCAAGGAATTCAACTGTCGATCTTTTTCCATGTTGATATTTCTACTCAGCATCTCCGTGCGCTCGGCATGCTCGTTCATTAGTCGCTGGACTTCTTCTTCCGAAAGTTGGCCGCGTCTGTTATGTAAATCCTTTTCGAACTTTTCCTTTTCAGTGGCAATCATCTAAGGGGGAAAATCAATAATGAAAAACAATATAATTTTGGCATTTCGCGGATTATTCAATCAGCCTTATGACTCAAGACAATCAATATGTTATCCACATCAGGTATAGCCTAATCATATAGACAAAACTTTATAGCGCTATTGAAAAGAATCACTTTCTTGTTCTTTTCCTGTTATAAATAAAAAAACCCTAAGAATCCATGTACGTTTTGTGGTGGCCATCTTTGTGAAAAATATCTTTGGCAACCACCAACAATGGTAAATTCAAAGCCTTTTAACAATCTTTTTATAAAAAAAGGTGTTTAATCAACTTTTGTCAGAGTACCTTTTGCTTTTGCTGCTCCATTTGCTCCTCAATGCTCGATACTCCTCTGTTCGTCGCATTTTTAAGTTCTTCTTCCATATGGAAAACGTCCTTTCTGTGTTCGACCTCCATTTCTTCAAGTTTTTCCGTCTGCTCGGTCTCCAAAGCTTTCATCGCCTCACTCACACTTTCTTTCATAATTTCCTCCGTTGTTTCCAGAACGTCGACTGTATCTGCATCTTTCGACATACGGGCCTACAAAACAAAAATAACAATGCTCGTATTTTTTCTCTTCTTACAACGGACGCTACTATAAACATCCTCAGAGAGATGAAACTCGTGTTAATCTGAGATGCGCTGCAAAAGAATCTTTGAGTTTCTTGGCTGCCAGAAGGGATTAGTAGTAGTGTCTGCATGTTATCCATTTTAAAATGCATATTTTGTCCCAGCAAAAGAACCGATGGAGTTATAAAAGAACCTATTTTACAGATTCCTTATTTTCATGCCTCGATATAAGATATTCAAGCTTGTACATTATACACAATAATAGTAATATGTTTTTTTGCTTAATAGAGAAATTCATAAGAGCAAAATTTATAACTTTCTCTCAGATTTTTCAAAGGGCGCTCCATATAGAAGATACACACGGCCTAGTTCGACATTAGGGCAATGTTTTTGATCAGTAATCCTATATATATATATATAATTACAATAATCCCAATCCTAACCTTAATCAAATCTCAAGGATTAAATTCGGGTATTTAGGGGTAACTAAACATGGAAATATTATTGTGAAAGAGCGCATGCGCAAGAGATCAGGAACGAGTATGAAATGTTTATCGAATAAAGCACAGAAACGGCAGCGATTAAAATTGCATATCATCACTAAAAAGAATAAAGAGTCAAAGAATTCGTGTCATAATGGGCAATATTGAGCAAAACATTTCGTCGACCTTTTTCCCTTGTTGAAGCTTCAACTTTTATTTCTCACGCTGTAGTCTTTTCACGGAAATCATGGGAGTGATTAAGCAAAGAGTGTTTTGTTTTGCCAAATTTATTGTAAATAAAATCATGCATATCAATGTCTGGTGTGTTTAAAAAACACTTAATATTACTCGAGGTATTAGAGTTATTTAAGAAAACACGCGTGCTATTATCAACGACATTCTTGAAGCGAGCAGTAATGAACTAAGTGTTACTAAAACACCCCAAAAACATCACCACAAAAAAAATTCTTAAGCCGATAAAGAGCCTCGGAAAAACAGCACGGGTGTACGATTGAGTAATACACATTTTAGTTTTTTTGATGTTCCTAAATTTGGAAATATAAGGAAATCTAACATAGACAGTGATATTTGTTGATTGCCGTATATACTTGCCACACACTACGCTATAGCTTTCTGTACACAAATTTAACTGAAGTTCAAAGTGATAATTTGAATTTACCTGTTTTTTGGACAGAGCAGCCACCTCATCTTTCATTGCCCTCTCTTTGGCAAGACTTTCTTTCATTCTCCTTCGCGCCGCTATCTTAGCAGCGAGTACAGCTTGGTTGTATTCCCTCGTGTCATTCAATTTCTCCCTCGCTTCCGCAGCCTGCGCAAAGAACTTCGCAACGAACGATCGTTTCTCTTCTTCCGACATCGCGGTCTTACTCAAAAGATCGTTGAGAACTCGGCTTTTGGTGTCTTCGAGTTCGTCGTCCTCAATTTTAGCTAGAACATCATATATAGCGTTGTCTGCGTTCCTCTCTATGACGCTTTCTCGAAGTTTCGCAGCCTCGAAAATACTCGTCGCCGCATCGGATTCCGGGTCCACGCTCCTTAGCGCCTCTTCTTCTTCTGATGTTAGTCGAACGCCCTTGCCGCTCTTCGCGCGATGTCGCTCCCGTTTTGATCGCATTTTCTCCTTCAAGTCTTGTTGTCGATTCGCTATTTTGCCAGAAGTCTAAATATGGAACACAATTAAAGATCATCCAATCGTTTGTAAGGATAGGGACATTATACTCATATCATACGGATTAAAAACACATACAAATAGTGCTATGGAATGATGCATAAATGACATTGTCAAGGCAAAGTTAGACTAGAGAAAAGAAAGCGTATGGCGCAACTACGTACTGTGCACTGTACAATAACTGGTGAAAGATATACTATGAAGTTTACAAAACAAAAATATAAGTTATAAAGTCATAGCAACGAGTTTTAAGGCATTTTTAGAAGATTTCGAAGTCGAAAAACATCTTTGTCGTTTTTTATTTATTGCCATTTTTCGCTTAATCAATGGATCAAAATCACTGTTGCGTTTATTTACGTTGTCTTCAGAACATTTTAAACGACACATTTGCACACCGGAAAACAGATTTATGACTCAGCTGTTGTTGTTTTTCACTCATGGCGATTGGGCAATATCGACGTCCCTACATGGTAAGAGCGAATGTATATATTGCAGCCGCATAGCAGAGCTGCTACAAAATAATTGTTACAATAAATAATATTGCATAAGACCATGCAGAAATGCTAGAAAATGTAAATGCTTTGCACGACCCACGAACATTCAAATTTAAAGCGCGGAAATAGGAACTCTTAGGTGGTAAAGTGTATAAAGTGACAATGTGACAAAGTGATCAGGTTAACAATCTAGTAATGGAGAATTAAGGCGTGAGCTAGGGAAGTTCTATTGGCAACCTTGTGCTGAAATATATAGTTTAGACTAGTCGCCCACTTGAAGAATCGCGTGTAGATAAATTGGCGTAAATAAAGTAATCTTAATAGCTTCCCTTACTAGGACACAAAACACCTGGGATGTGTATATGCAATATGTACAGTGGTACACTGTAAAATACTTAAATGTTCATTGTGAATTAAAGTGACTTTTGGTGTCAATCCCATCAATATTTTCTACAGACGAACGTGTTCTGAATTGTTTATATACAATTCAGATAATTGTTTGCTAGCTGTGACGGGTAAGTAATCCATGTTAATTCAAGTTTTCTGTTTTCCTGCGCCTTTATTGCGCTATAGCGCATCGCTGTGCGCACGTTGCAAAAAAACTTCCTGTGCAGCATAGTTTAAAAAAATGAGTTGAATAACTCGCCAGTTTCTTGGCATTTTCTTCCCGTTTTTGGCAGACGGCCTGTCGATAGTACCATTTTTATTCTTTCTTATGTCGCATGATAAATTACCGGTAAAATTAAAAGAACTGCATGTCAAAGATACCTGTACAGTAAAGCCACATGCATAGACGACGCAATGCAGGAATCTTACGATGCGTATCTAATGTTAATATAGAAGAGGCCTTAAAATTACCATATAAACCATCACCGGATATAAATCATAGACACCCAATACCCCAATATAGTGTTCTACACTTATAGAAACATGTGAAATCAAGAGGGCATGTTGTTATTGTCACTGCATGAAGAGTGATCTTTATTATTATGAACAAAGAGCACACTCGTGCACAAATTTGCATATTTGGTCAATTCAAATAATTTATCTTGTTATGACTGGTATGATAATGTGGATATGGAGTGGAGCGAAAGGAAAATCTAACACATGTATGTCAAGAGTGAATCGGATAGCACTAGCTATGCTTTAGTTTTGGCATAGCGGGCAACCTTTTGTTACATCAAGGGAAAATGACGATAATTGTTTATTGTGAAGGTGCCACTCTAAGTTACCAATTAACGGAGAAACTCCGAGTAACACAATTACAATATTAATTTAATCGAGTCACAAACAACCTTGACAAAGCATTGAGGAAGTGAGCTTTTCCTATATCTAATTTTTAAGCTTTATTGCATTTTCTAAAGGAAAATGACCGGGGCATTTCCTAGCAGTAAGATATAATTGTTTGCCGACTATACCTCCTTTATTTCATTAATTGCAGCCTGTACATCCCCAGGTGGAACCAACGTGGTCATTGCCCTCGCCAATGCTTCCATATCCGCATCAAGCTTGGCTTTTCGTTCCGTATCAAGATTGCGACGAAGCTCGGCATCTTCGTCAGCATAAGCTTTCTGCAATTCTGCCAGCAACTTTTCTTTTTCTCTGGCAAGCTGTATCAGGTCTTGTTCAAGTTGGTCGTCACTTGGCAGTTCGAGATCAACCACGTGCTCGATACCAGCTCTTCTCGCTTCCTCCTTATGACGGCTAAAATAAACGGTTCATTTCAAGCATCGTGTTTTAATTGTTCATCACACAAGGTGAACATCACTTAAAATTGTTGGTCTAACAATATTGGACGATATTGAAGAACGTTTAATGATAACTTTAAACAAATATTAAGTCAAAACTAGTCCAACACAACCTGAAGCGTAGTTTACAGACGATTTTGCAGCAATTTTAAGTACGATTTTCGTCGTTCAATTGATGTGATAGAATGGATTTTTAAATTAGGACGCTCATACACAGAGCATTCAAAACTATTCACTTGCTTGTAATTGAAGCAAAAGAAGAAAGTTGCATCTGAAAATATGGCCCGTGTCAACTCGCCTTATTAACATCGTGTTCAGCTGAGAACAACAATGTCAATGCCGCCATCAAAATTGTTGGTTAATATTGGACCAACATGTTGGCCCTATTTAAGGGGATTTATATTTTGTACAAATATAACGGAATGAGGGTTGAATTATTACGAAACTGCAGTATATAACAAATAGAGGTAATTATTAGATATATTAATAACTTATATAGTATATAGTTTATGGTATAGGCAAAGGTTTATTTTTAATTTAAACCCCTATTATGTGAAGTGCATAATTTTCTATATTGAGGAGTTTAACTTAATTTCTCACGCTAAAGTGACTTGAAATGTAGACTGGTTATTGTGAAATGTGCCTCACATAGTGACAAGAAAGATACAATTGACTAAGTTTCAAATTGCCCCCACGTAACCAGTAGTGATGGGGATCACAGTTGAAATTTTCCATACATTAGTTAAAACCAGACACATATGAGACAAAAATATCTTCACTTACTTGTACAACTCTTTCTTCTTTCTAAGCCGTTCGCGTTTCAAACGTTGCCGAACTTCTTTCAACTTTTCCTCCTTTTCTTCATCCAAAGCTTGAATTGCTTCTTCCATCTTTCGAGTGTATTCTTCAAACATGGCTTCCTTCTCTTCCGGTGAGGTCGCTCGACGCAAATTCTCATGTAGTTCACTTCTCAATTCCTCGACCTTCGCCTTCTTCTTGTCCTGGTATTCCTCGAGGACCTCGTTAATTGTCTTAATTTAAGGAGTACAAACGGTTAATCACTGTGATTCGTCGAATAAGATAAACTATAATTAATCACTGTTAAAATCTTCGGGTAATATTATCTATTTGTAAGGCCTTGTCTACGTATTTTTTCAATTTTTGCAGCCGTGCCTTCATAAGCTTAGCATTTAAGCTTAGCATCTTGCCTCAATGTAAAATCTTCTGCGAGAGCCTGGCGTGGTACCAAAGCTGCCATTTTTTTGTGTAAAATGCAAAGCGGTTAAGAAGCGGTGCGAGAAAGGGGATACTTACCTTTATTTCCTCTGCTCTTAGTTCATTCTCGTATTGCACACACTCCAGTGTGTGTTTCTCTCGTAGGTTCTTCCCAATTTCTCGTCGCTTTTCCTCGTTCCACTGACCGGCAGCAGCGATGTCCGACACACTCACATCTCCTCCGCTAAACGTTTCACCAAGTTGATTGACTTGCAGATTGTTGAATATCTGATCCGCTAAAATGGACGGTTTTCCAGAATCTTGGGTTGCTGTCGCTGAAGCTACCCCTGGTTCAAGAGTAGCGTGCATGAGGGTGGAACCGGTCGCAACCTCAGATGCCTTCGCAACCGATCCTGGAAGGTTTGCAAATATAGCATGTCAAAACTACACACTGCATGTACCGACAACATCATTCTGTAATATATATATTATTTTATGCGGCAGGGAGATATAACAACATTCCATTAAAAATTTTCAACCATTTACAATTTAAACACGTACAAAATTCCGCAAAATTATCCACTTTAAAAAATCCCGGGACAGTTTTGAGTTAGTTAAATAATCAATTTGTGGGAACACCACGTATATTTGTGTACTGCAGAGCTTTCGGTCCGTTAGCTCGGGTCATCATCATTGCAATATACGTGGTGTTCCCACAAACTTGATTATTTATATATCATTTCACAATACAAAAATTTAGGAATGTTATTTTTCATTCATTCCCAATAAATTCTCCAAAAGCCACACGACCTCCTTAAGCTTAAGGATGATTTCAAGCGTGGAGGGGCGAATTGGATGTCTTACTTACTTTCGTGTACGACAACCGATGCGGGTACACCCGTTTCATCTTTCTGCAGAGTTACCATCTTTCTAGCTGGCCGTTCCTCGGCAACAGCGCCGACAGCATTCGAATAACCAGGTGGCAAACGAGTGGCAGTTAACGAGACGCCACTTTCTTGTAGCAAAGCGATCACGCGCTTTAGCAGAGGAATGATTTCGGAATTTGCTTCCGTAAATTGAATATCATCGCCGTATACTCCGTTCAAAAGAAGACCAAAATCACCAGTGTAGGCACCTTCACCGCTTAGGATTAACTGTGTTAAAAAATATGATATTAAAGATATACTTCCAACTGCAATTATATAGTTATATAGTTAGCCAGTATTATACACACATCATATTAGGTACGAAAATGACGCACTATTTAGAAAACATATAGTTCTGTTAATTCACTGACACTTGTTCCGGTATTAAAATATAATTTACCTAAAAAATTGGAAACAATGTCGTGGGTTCCAAACAGAATCCCCCCACCAGTTTATTATTATGAACATGATATTATATTTATTACAATAATGGAACATTTATTTCGTACCGACCTTTGCTTCACTAAACAGCAGCTCGGCTTTTTCTCGTACGTACTCCAAAGCGGCATGTTCTTGGTCTATCTGTTCAGTTCTGGTCTGCAATTGATCTGATAACTCACTTCGAAGTCTTTCCTTAAGTTGATGATACCTCTCCGTGACACTAGCTTCCGCCTCAGGATTAAGAGCACCCTATCACAAGAAAATGCAGCATTGCTTTTAATAACTCTATATGAAACACCATTCACTTTCTATTTCACTTTAAAATACCTATATATTAGGAATTTAAAAACTTTAAAGTTTAGTGGCTGTGTGTGCGCTAACAAAAACTTAAAAACCCCCATAATACCGATGGCATTCAAATGCACGCGGCTTGAGAAGAGAGTAGTAAAGCAGATTTTAATAAAAAATTTTAATTCCTTCAGCATTTCGGTACATCATACTTATACAACATCTTTGTGCTTTAAAAAAACGAAACACACAAGATGTGAAATTGAAGTTATTGTGAATGGGTAAGGTTTAGAGTGGTTTCAAATTTCGACAGCGGATCAACTGAGAACAAAGAAAATTTCATTTTCCAAGCATTACTCTTCCTAGTTACTAAAATGTCCATCGATTGCAATTGTACATTGGCCTTATCCCAAAAGAGAAATACCTCTTCCCCGACTATGCTTTTATTGCAAACATTCATACCTCAAGTTCGTCCATTCTTGCCCGATACTTTGTCTCTTCAGCTTGTAATTTGGCGAAGAATCTTTCGATCACATCCACGAATCTGATGTGTGCAGCTTGATGGCTTTCCTCCCTTTCTTTCTCCGGATGATCTAATCTGGTTATCCAGTGCACGATGAATGGCGGCAAGGAAGCAGTTTGTTCGATGTTGGCATCACCACGTCGCTGGGCCTCTCGATGTTCTGCATCCGATAGATATGAAACACCTGGGAAAATAAGAAACGATACATTGAATTATTTCCCCGGAACTTCGTATCAAATGTCTGCTGTCAAATGACAAGGAGTGAAAACTTATTGTAGTGTCCAGTAAACCTTTAAAGCAAGCTCTGTACAATGATACAATCCATTTTCTACGGCTGTTATCATAGGGTAATGTGTTTAAAAAGATAAACAATATATTCTATCAAAATTGCCTGCTCACTTTAAAACACGATTATATCGTTGCTGTCAATTTTGTCGGTTGTATGATAATTACAATCAAATTTAGACCAGTCTTTTAAAGTATCAAATCTGATAAGTACCTTCATTGAGCAACTCCATTAGTTCGAAAACGTGGTTTAAGGTAACTTCGTAGTTATCAAGTATCTGCTTTGCCAAAGTGGTTTGCTGTTCCGACAACTCTCGCTCGCGATGACGTTGACGACGCCAGAAACTCTTTCGTGCAACATAATCTTCTTCTAATAGGGAGAGCTGAGCAAAAGAAAGTGAGTTGGGTAAAAGAAGGTAAGGACAAAACGTACGAACAAGCACAGATGATTTTTCCTTAATGTTTAACAGATGCATTCTTAGCTAGGTGGTAATAGCGCGTATCAGAGATGCAGGCTCGATTCCCGGACCGGAAGGCAACTTTCACAATAGATCGCTCAAATGCCCGGTCAAACAAGAATGAAAGTCGTATCTTCGTAGACAAAGACAGAAGAATAGCTTAAACACACAAACCTTGGGCATATATACACATTTCATCTCAATATGGAAGATCAGTGTGAGAATACAGGCCTAACTCTGAGTGGCTTGCTTCGATATCTCAGAATTAAAAGATGTGTAAGCTATGTGTTTTTCCTATTCTACCTACCAATGTGGGATGCGCCTTTCGCTTCTTCCTCAAGGATGAAGACAGGGTTACGGGTTCTGTTATCTTCAAGTCCTTGTTTAACCTCACGCCGCATATCGTGGACATTTCTTCGGTCGCGGGGTCAACCGCTTTTTCGCCGAGCATAATTGGCACCAGTCCACCACCGTGGGGATCTTCGAGCGATCCTCCCAACGGTATGATCTCTTTACTCTCTGGATCCCTGTCGATGCCAAGTATGGGCACCTCAAGTCCTGACCCTGACATATCCCTCATGGTGGTTCCAACTAAGATTGGCAACAATTGTCCGGTCGCGTAATATTCGTATGTCCCCGGACAGCCGCCAGATTCCATGAGTTCCGTAGTCTGCTCTTCGAGTTTCAAAATTCCGTGTAAACGTCGCAACAAGTGCGTTTTCACTTTAATTTTGGATCGCGACAACTCCTTCAGCCTAAAAATTCAACGTTTGGATCAACAAGGACAAACTGATATTGGTTTCGGTTGAGATGACTATGAAACTTAATAAGGCGTAATATAGATTCTGACGTGGATATGGAGAGTATTTGTTACCATATTTGTTGATACCGAGAGTTTTTTAGTCGGAATGTTTTTGTCGGTTTTTGTGCTTGGTATTAGATATGTACAATGTCGTATCATTTGCAGTTATTTTTGTTCCATGTCAAGAAAATGGGTTGATCCTGACTCAATTTAGAGTGAAAATTAATTGTTAACTTTAAGAAATTGCGAAATTATGTGAAATTACTAAATTAATGAAGAGAAAGTGGGCTTCAGAAATAACATTTTTCTACCTTGTCTCTAAGATGCTTTTCTCGTGACGTCCCGACAATGCTTCGTGTCCAGCCGTTGCTTCCTTCCACTCACGAAGTGCATCTATGACACGAGACTCGTGATATAGCTCACATACATCAAGTGCATTAGAATAACCTCCTCCCATGGATTCCAGCTCCTTCTCATCGCCGTCGTCGATTAGTCTAGCCCCAGTGACTTTGAGAGTATGCCCTATCGACGAAGAAAAATATTGTTAACTTGCAACGTATGTGGACAGCAATTTAACTAAAGCCAATGCGTACTGCTTTATCAATAACAAACTACATTCCATACATCAGAAGTGAATAGGATCCGGCAAAGTTGGATCGTGTGAACGGGCTTTAACGTTGCTTTAGATGACGGATTCGTTGCATGATAATAACTTAGCGCTGAAGTGGATTTGATTTACATGCTATTCGTTTTTTACAGAAAAAATGCGCGGGTTGATATATGATCCCGGCACATCGGGAATGGATCAGGTTAAAATCTAATATTTGTTTCTCAGATAATATTCTTGATTTCCTACCTGACAAAGGCTCGATGTAGGCCTCTCCTACAATAACTGGCACTTCCTCACCCTTTCCAGATTCGGTCATACTCCCTCCGACGGGAATGACAAAACCAGTGCGATGGTCTATGGTTATCGATACAACCGGTACTGGTTGATCGGTGTTGGGGTCAAACATCATGGTTCCGAGCTCAATGGGTACTGGCAGTCCTGAAACCGGACTCTCCTGACAACCACCTACTGGGTAGATAGCACCCGTTTCCGGATGAATGGTGACTCCCAATATTGGCGCAATAAGGCCAGTTTTAGGGTCGCTCGTTGGGTCTCCGTATTTTATCTCACTCGGTTTAATGTGTTGTGAAAAGTTGTTCTTCACAGGGTTGCCCGTATCAGGATTTACTGGATAAGGGATGTACGGGATGGGTGTTTCGCTCAAATTTCCAGTTTCGTCATTGGCATTATCCGCAGTGACTACGAGGTGAGTGGTTACCGGATCATAAACGACGTTACCTACGCGAATAAAAATTAAAAATTATTAAATGTACAATTAAACATGACGATTTATCAGCACAGCACAACACAGAGGACAAGAACAACAAAACGCAGCACAGCACAGCGAAGATCATTACAGCATAGAACAGCATAGAACAGTACAGTACAGTACAATACGGTACGGTACAACACTAAAATACAGTTTCGTCAAGACCAAGCACAAAATAGTATTCTCGGATAAGAAAATATACAAGACATAGAAAACACACCTTCAATAGGCATGACTTTGCCTGTCTTAGGATGAATACAGAAATCGGCTGGAATAGGAACGACTGTAAACTTATCGGCCAGCATCATATTGCAAGCCCCTTCTCTTGGGACAAACAGTCCAGTGTAAGGATCGAGCCGTACGAGATCGTCTGTCAGAAGGTTTCCGTCCGCGTCAAATATATCATTATAATTAAGTTCTTTGCCATCGGTGGTACAGAGCTGAGCACCAGTCATTTGACCCAACAAAGACCAGGTTCCGCGCCGTTGGCATTCACTGGTCACCTCCACTGCCATGTCTTGTAATAGAGCATCCACCTTTGCGTTGACTCTGCGGATTAGAAACAGTACATGTTGCAAATGTGTCGCAAAAAGAATATTTATATTAAGTATATATGCATGATTGCTAGAATTCGACAATGGTAGTTAATAACGACGGGGAGAAGGCGAAATTATGTGGCATATTTTCTCATCCTGGTTTTCTAAAAGGTTTAAGGCTTTATAATTGCTATACTTCGTCTACGATTATCAAGAAAAATGATAATCTTGATTGTTCTTCACAAATTGGGTGAAAATCAGGTCGTATGATTCCTATGACATTGAGTGTATCCCCAGATCATCGTAAATTCTAGCCCGCAATGGACAAAATTATCCTTTTGCAAATTCATTCATGATAATCTTCATATCTCCTACTGCATGCTCTTTGCATCAATTTTTTCAACCAACTTGATTGTGAAATTTGCATATGCAATGGAATAAGCTGTAATACGACATGTTTGCAAGTGCCGTACTTTTGTCTGTCCAGATATGTTAGCGTCGTCGTATTTTCAGTCAGTCCATTCAAGACACGCATAGCTTCAGAAACGGCAGCAGTAAACGAGATTTGATGTTCTTCACGGCCTTTTTCGTCCTCATTTAAAATATCCAGTTCTTTTCGAAGGAGTTGTTGGAAAGTAAATCCAAGGTCTTTTCTGCGTTCAACCTCATCATCGAGCTACAACATAAGAACAGAATTTACTAATTTACTACAATGAATGTTATTACAATGTTATTGCAGTTATGGATATCGCTTTTTCGAAAAGCAATAGCAAGAACAGATTCGTCATGCTGTCCTCATACACCCATGCGTTTTTAAATCATGGTACGGATTCATTGACTGCATGAATAAAGATACTAGGGATCCAAGGATAGTGCAAAGTTTTCATGCCCTGTAATACCTGAGCAACCAGACGTTTGTCCCAACATAGAAATTTTGACTTATGCCAGTAAAAATATAACGAACTAGGTTAAATATTAATCAAAAGGAAATTACTCAAAGTACTCAAATTACGTTAGCCGCGGATACTGTCACTATTAAATTATAGCTAATTTTAGTTGCCCATGTAAACCGGCCAAACCGGGCGCGATTTTCTCAGTGTAGTCTCTTTTCTTCGTCAAACAACTGTGACTACATTCACTACATTTATATGATGGCTACAATTTATCCGTCACTTCATAAGAATAGCCAAAATAGTTGCCTTGTAAATAATGTAAATAAACCGCGGTGCATCTAATGTCTATGATGTGGATACTTCGACCCGTAAATCGATACAAAACAATATACTTATAATCAATACTGTATACCGCCAAAATGATTTGATTACTGCACAAAATGTCCGTTTTGTATAGTATCATTTATGTACTGTAAACTGTATGCAGAATATCAGGTATCGACTTGCTATCGACATAATATACATTCGTGTAAGAGTCTATCAATACATAAACAACACAGCGTCGTTTCTTCCTGACCTCTTAGCTCTATTTATGGAATAAACCTTCCAAATTATATTTGTGTTGAATTGAATGCTCGTAATTCATAACATAAGTTGATAAAGTGCGTAGATTCTAAAAGAACTGCTCGATTTTTACGCCCGGAATGTTCTGAAGCAATGCTCGTCGCTCCTCGTTTCTTTACATCGTGAATAATGTTCACGTCTCGACGGCACATGCGCAGTTGCGACGTGTAAGAAAGAATCGGGTGTTCCGGGGGGGTAATTCTACCCAAATCCCTTTAAAACAAAACCCAAACCGCGGAAAAGCAATGCTTCAAAATTTACAGTAACCGCCAAAATCCCTCAATATTTTGGTGAACTTTGCAAAAGGGGTATAGTGCATTAATAAATAAAGCAAGTTAAACGGATTTAAAAACTTTAAATTACTGATCATATACAAAAAGTTACTATACGCATAAATCAACTTACCCCCCGTAAAGTTTACACTATGACTGACTGTCTGACTGACTGACTGACTGACTGACTGTCTGACTGACTTACTGACTCGTTTGAATTTTCGCCACTCATCACAATACTGCAAAGTTTCTCAAACTTTGCACTAAAAATGAATTACATTTTTGAGTAACTACGCAATCAAGTACTAAGAAAAAGCCTTATTTCGCAGCCTTTCTGTGAGCTATAAAGGTTTTGTAAAAGCATTCACACTGAGTGGGAGATCTCAATCTTCTCACAATTTTTCCTTGGCGGTATTTTCAGTCAAACAATAACTTGATTCTAAATGTTTCAACTTAAATCTTTTCATTGATTAAGAAAGAACTTTCTCATTGATCAGTAATACCAAAATTTCTATGTCACATGCACTCAGAGAGTGTGAGTGTGAGTGAGCTAACTAAGGAAAAATATCTTTCTGTGCTTATTGGGAATTACTGCATGAATACGAGAGCGATAACAAAGAACCAGCAGAAGAGGTGCAAATGAGATAGGAAGTGCACTCAGAGAGAGATACGTACCTCTTTCCTTTTGTTCTCGTAGAGTTGCAAATCTTCTGGTGAAGCAATTGCCGAACGACCACGAAGATTCAGCTTTGCAACCCATAAACCACGAAGTGACTCAGTCTGTTGGTTGACTTTCTGGTACAGTTCTTTAGCCTAATCAGTTGAGAGAACCCACAATTCATCAAGACAGAATATCAGTTGGTGTATAAATACCTCATAGACAAGATTTTAATAATCAGAGAATGACAGCGCTTAATGTAGTATGGATTAGTTATGGTCGCTTTGGTGATTTCAAAAATTCCTTAACAACAAGAGTAGAAATAGTTGAAAAAGGAAGATAACAAACCTGATCCTTTTGACGAGCTATGGAGGAAGTGACATCACGCGATTGTTTGGACAGAATTGAGTAAAATTCGTTACAGCTGAAAGCTTCCAGATCAACTTGTTTCTCATAATCCCAAAACTCATCCGACTTCATTTCATTTCCAACAACTGCATGCAAAAAAAAATCCAATAAAAAATACGGAAAGAAGTAAGTAAGTTAAAATGTAGTTTAAGGTGCTCGCTACCACGGTACGGGGTTGCCATAGGTTTTTTTCTCAAGTCAATACTGATGCATAAATATGATTCTGAAACCATTACCTTATGCGGTAGAGGGAAGAAATTTTCACCAAAGTCTTTTCAAATTCATTTGAAGTTTTTGCAACATTAACCTCACTGTTACCATCGCAACAACGCACTTAATGAAACGCGTTTTTTACTATTTTTTTGCCATTTTGAGGATTCCTTTTTAATTTTTTTTGGAATCATATCTATGCATCATCAGTGTTGATTTCGACAAAAAATATAAAAGGTCAGCTTTTTAAAGTTTTATAAAACTTCCTATAAATATATACCGGCTTGAGAAGTTTCAAATTCATTTTCCGCAGCTGCGCCATCAATGGCATGGAAGTTCCTGTGAAGTTTCTTCGAGGGATGAACAGCAGATCCTTTGGATGAATAATCATCAAAATTGTACAGAGTGTTTAATTTCCTGTACTTGGGAGAAGTAAACACTATTTTCCTCCAGCCATGTTTTCGGAATATCAACTGCAAAAAAGAACGCGATCGCAAGTGAGAAATACGTTGGGAACGACAATACGTTGGGAAATGACAAAAAAAACACAATGTCATCAAAATAATAGTATCCACATAATTATTGAAAATGTTTAACGTTTGCGTTATGTTAATATATGTCACATCAATTTGGTTATGTTTTCGGTTACAATAAACATTTTCTTGCTTCGATAGAGCATTCTGATGACATCGGCAGGTCACCATTATTCGACTTTAAGAGAATTATGCTTTTATTGACAAAAGTATACTCCTATAGGACCTGCAAGACAGTCCTCACAAAACTGATGTTGTATAAGAGACATTTAAAAATCGTTTTTTTACCTAAAGTTTAAAGTTTTTAATATTTAATCTTACCAGTCCAATGACTAGAATAACCATAAGCAACAGTAAACTGGCCATCATTAATCCAATTAGCAACCAATCAGGTACGATCAGAATGTCCTGCGATATAGCCATGCCGTTTTGAATCACAGAACGCGGAGTAGTCGAGAAGAATGGACCATCTTCAGCACACTGAGCACCAAGCGCCATCACACGAATGTACTAAATCGAATGAAATTGAATGATTCATCTGTTTGTTATTTACTAGAACGGTGCATAAACATGAATCGGCATCAAGAAACATGGGGGGGGGTTGGGTTGGTTAAATCATGGTTTGATATGATTTGATATATCATTGACCTAATGTATTATATTATAAATGTATTATATTATAAAGGGTTTCAAGGGCCTCCAGCTAGAACTGTGATCATCTACAACGGAAGAGTTAGTACTAGGTGCTTATATATCGGGAGTTCAGCGTTGAAAATACCCTAATAGCCTATATTGGCAGGAGAAAATACACTGTCAAGGAGCAGAAAATTGGAACAGTATGCATACCATTTTATGATCTGGAAATTTACTGGACCTAAACACATACACTCCAGGCGAATCAAACTTGAAGGCAAACAAGGTAGAGTTGGTATTCATGAGCTCGTGTCTTTCCTTCAGATCTCTGAACGGACCCGAATCAAAATCTGGATTGGTGTTGTACAAGTTATTTTCGTCGTACTCTGGATAGTTATCGTTGTCGACAACGAACATCATCGAGGAGCCATAGCTGACGCACGTCGTGGGGTTGGCAATGCCGGAGAGCGAACTACCAGTAGTCGATACCGCGAGCAAGCTACGGCGTCTCCGCGAGGAAGGTGCAGATGTCGGCGATGTTGAGTTTTCCTCTTTCCGATTCTTTGATAAGATATCCAAAATAAAATCTGCAGGTGGATTGTAGGTTCCAAGGAATCCGTTTTCTAGAAAAAGGCATCAAATGAATTTTTTATACGCTTGCAGTGCTTGTCCGGCACTGCACATTTTGCGATTCAAAATATTCAGGTTTGACAAGGTAGACGACTGCCAAAATATGCTCCGGAAAAGGCTGTCACACAAATTATTATAATAAAACACAAATGGGCAACAGGGTATTTTTATGGTACTTAATTTGCATTTTAATCATTTGATCATTACATGTGGAAAAGATGATAGTGAGTGTGTACCAGAAGTATGCGGGCCCAGTTTCAAACATTGCGGTCATTAACTCACGCTCGCAGCTTTAGTGCACAGGGTACGTACCTCCCATTTCGACTAAATTGAATGGATGACCACCGGAATCGAGCTTTGAGCATTTGTCTTTGCTAAATGTGCCCTGGAAATTTGGTATGTTACTGTATGACTCTAAATCGTTGAGGATAACCTAAACGAAAGAAATATGGAGGAGTAAATAAATAGATTAACTCATTATTTAACTCGTTATTCGAGCCAACTGTCCCAGGTAGCAAGTCTTACGCAAATTTACCATTATGTACAATTTACGTAATAAATCCAATTTTTTTACTCTGTAGTGAACTACTTAAAAATTAGCAGCTACTATCGATTTAACTATTATCTTACGAGATCCCTCTTTAACCTGCGTTGGATCAAAACCAAGGCTCATATCGGGAACAGTATAAACAATAAAGTCGAACAAACGAAATACTGTCTCACCGGACTTCCCTGACTTGGATTTATTTTCAAATATGGTTTCTCAGCACAAATATGTTCGAGACGATCTTCCTGTAGTCGGCGACATTTTTTATCACAAATATCCTCCAAGTCATCCACTTGACATTTACACAGTCCAAGTTGGCGATCGAAGCCAACATAATCTCCATTGTTACAGACCTTAAACGAAATTTGCGGATTAAAATCTCACGGATACTCGGAAACAAAATAAATACTGCAAATGCAAATTTGACAACACCGGCATGGTGAGGGGAGGGGGGGGGGAGGAGCCCATTCTTCTATATAGAGAATTGCCTCCCCAGACCCCACTACACTCGACTGGTGTTCTTGATCGACATTTCGCTCAACGAATAAATATTCTGCTTTCTATTTGCCGATTTTGAGCTTTGTCATAAATGAGGGGGAGTGTTGTCCCATTAAGACTACATGTCATTGGGCATTAGAATAACTAAATCACATGAAATAGACAAGAAATGAAATTGCCACATAACTTTGTCAACGAAAGGAAGCTGGGTATACAATAATGCATTGGAAAGTCAAGCAAACGATTCATCGATCAACCGATTTCTACTTACCCCAGAAGTACAATAGTCTCTCCATTCATCGCTACTTAAACAGTCTCCGGCTTGAGATCGCCATGTCCCTTCAGGGCAGAATGGATACAGCTTTCTCACGCAATCCAATTCACGACCTTCCATGGCTCTGAAGCCTTTCTCGCATAAGCAAGTCTGATCGCTTGGCTAAATAAGTGGGAAGACTTGAGTTATAACTAACAGCTCCTTCGCTATTACTATTATTGAACGAAAATCGTTATTTACAATTTCTATTTTTCTTTTTCGCAAGATAGGATGAGAGAACGGAATGAATCGTGCGCCCGCGAAGCGGGTGTTGATCAAATAGTAAGAATCAAAGTTGCAAGGTAATAGGCAGTTGTAATACAGTGAATACATATATAATACATATCACATTTTTGTCATGCATGGGCATAAAAGATTTTACCGAGCTATGGCAGAAATCAACACCGTGATGCAAAGTGTACAATGATTACAAATCGGCCTGTTATAATGGTTTCGATCGCAAATCACGAGAAACCGCCATTATTGTAAAAGCGAGTAAATTACTTGAGCTTTTATTACGGCTATGACCCTTATATCAGCAACAGTTATGGTACCTACCATGAAGACACGATGTAAGCCGTTACACTGACATCTATCTTGACCAAGATATGGCTGTTTGGCTTGTCCTCCGCAATGGAAACAGGCTTTCTGTCCTGTAAGGTGGTTATAATGGTCAACTTGACATAGCAAGCACTCTTCTTTTCGGGAACGCCTCTCCAAAGGGTTGTATGTTTTATTGGGACACGCCGTTGGAACGACGTCACCTGATTTGCAATAATAACCAACAGGACAAGGGAATGACTTGGTATATTTCACTCCGTAGAGAGAGTTGTTCGCGAGAGGTTCGTCCGTCGTGGCACCTAGAAAAAAACCAAACGTAAATGGAATTTAATATGGGTTAATTTATACTAGTACGGGGATAGATTTATGGAACAAGTGAGTTCATATAACGATTTATGGTTATTAGGGAATAAAAAACTGTTCATCAAATTAAACAATCTTGTTTTATTTCTCGACGTTCTAAACACGATTCGGCCAACGCGACACGATTTTTCCTAATTTTCAGTTTTAAGAAAAAAATATTCTGACGTAATATTCAAGTTATTAAGATAACGGTGGTACATTCTAACTCGTACGGAGTGCATACTTCAAAAATTTACTTTCAGGAATAAATTTATTTGCTGCTAAGAATAGACCTATTTCTTCACGACGTTGAACGCGAAAATTCCGCGAAGATCCCAACCAAACTTTGCAACCCACGTTTGACATAATTATGAGAAAAGTCTCAAGACGAATAAAAATTTCCCACGCATTTCTGTAAGAATCTTTAATATCCGGTATGGTTTCGAATTTAATTTACGACATTACCTTTGAAACAGATAACACCCGCTTTACATTTCCGGCAAGGATACGTGGAAGGATCGTCGTTGAAGTGACCAGGTTTGCAGATCTGACAAGTATCATTTAGCGTTTTACGATGCGAGCCAGGAATCTCCTCGTAACCTAAATGAAAAATTCAAAGTTAAAAAAATGCGGACATTATTCATGCATGTGCACTGTTTACCCACAAATAGCTAAGATTACCGCTGATTTCAGCTTGGTTCCCAGAATACCGTAAGTGTTTGTGATGAATGAAAAAAAAAACAAATTCTAACACAACAGAGAGAGCATCTTGGAATGAATGAGACTGTTGAGCGTATGTTTTGAAATGTTTGTAAAATGTAAAGCCCTATGAATTTGACAACTTTTGAATAAATAATATTATTATGCAACACAATGTTTCGCACTAAATATTTTAGTTTTACCATTAATTTTATGATGCTTCTTTAGCTATAGTGTTAGATTTCATCCTTCTAATTTGAATAAAATGCCGTTGAAATCATCCTTTAAACGCCGTTGTCCAAATAAGAAAGTTTACGGTAAACGTGGTCATTAAAATTTAATTCTTCTTTAGTTAAACCAAATACTGCAATAAATATTTGCTATTCGAGGATGTTTCGAATTGTATTATGAACAACCACAACAGACATAAAGATATGCAACTCGGGGTAGTTTAGCGTATATAATTATGTACCTTTGCAAAGCAAACTGATGCATGACAAAGACGGGACAGACTTTCTCCTACGTTAACTTGCTCACTCAATGGGTATTTAGAATGGTACAGCAATGTAAGGGGTTTGTACGATGTGACATGTTTTCAAGGCACTTTGTCAGTGAGCCTCCACCCTTAGAACATTACCTTTGGGACATAAACTTGGTTTGATAACACCGCCAGTTCTATTCAGCAGTGTAGGATCGCAATAATACCCCATCGGGCATTGCAACGCATAGGATAGAGCGAGCGGACAATAGAAGCCAGAAGGACAGGTAATTTGATACATTGATCTCGGACAGTAAAATCCTGGTTGACATTTTCGCGGTTCAACTGATCCAGGCGGGCAGTAGGTTCCGTTGAGACAAGCTATGGGCGAGACAGTGGCGTTGAAAGGACATATGTATCCGCGGGGACAGGCATAACATTCTTCGATAGAACCAGCACCAGTAGAATTCCGGTATGTTCCATTACTAGGACAGGGCGTCGGTTTGATGATGGCTTCGTTACAGAATAAACCAACTGGACATGGACTGATGCTGAAATCGCTCATTCCTGAGTATAAAGAGATCAATATAGTAGTGATATTTTAGAGCAAATGAGAGGTAAGGGATGGAGGGGGTGAAGGCTGAAGATGTCTTCAAGGCAACGGTCAGTTGCCTTAAATAAACTAAATCACAGGAATAGGGACATATTTAATGATTATGATTATGAAAAGAAAGTTTTTACAGCGAATTGCAGACCGTGCCTCGCCAAAATTATTTAAAGGTTGGAACCCGGAATCCAAAGACTGTTACACCATAACAACTACTGTACCTTACATAATAAAACGTACCTGGCCGATTACACCAATAACCAGGCGGACATGGTTTACAAGTGGTGCTGTTCGTTGCCCCGATTGTGTTGGAATAAGTCCCTATCGGACAAGGCTTCATGGTGGCATTATATGGACAGTAGAATCCCACCGTACAAGCAACAGCTAGCGTATTATTCTCGCTGCATATTTTCCCAGCTGGACAGAGTGCGCAGTCAGACAGTGACTTAGCTCCAGATTTATCGATTACCAACCCCCTGGAGCAAGCTACTTTATCTGTGGCACCAGCAGGACAGTAGAATCCGTAAGGACATATTTCTCCAATTGTCTTATCGATGCCGTCCGGTGTTGGAGTGGGATTACCTTGATGGCAAAGATACCCAGCGCTGCATTTCTCTGATATTTCACCCCGCTGACAAAAATGTCCGACGATGCATGGCGAGCACTGCGTGGCGTTATACAATCCGGTAGTGTTCTTGGTGGTATATGTACCGTTCGGACAGAAGATTGGTTCGATGGTACCGCCGGGACAGTAACTATGTGGAGGACAGACCTCCGGTATACTAGTATTACCGAGGCAGAATCTTCCGGAAGGGCATGCGAAACAGGTATCGTTTCCCCTATTGGGTTGGTATAAGCCAGGATCACATCCTTTAGGATCAGCCGTCCCGAGAGGACAGTAATGGCCCGGTGGGCATCTGAAGCCCGTGGGAGAAGACACTTTAGTTCGAGCATCTTCCGGGCAGTAGTACCCAGGATCACATTTTCCGGATGGTTGATCAAGGCCAGTCTTGTCACAATACCACCCTGGTCGGCATGGACTGCAGTCTTTGATCGTAGCGGCCCCATCAGTACTTCGCATTGTTCCTTCTGGACATTTCTCTTCGCGGGTCGTTCCGTTAACACAATAGTGTCCTTTGGGGCAACGCTTGTTATCCCCATTACTTGGAGTTTTTGATTTTGCTCCACCAAGACACCGGTAACCCTCGGAGCAAGGTCCACTCACCTTGTCCAGACCTGGTCGGTCACAATAAAAGCCAGCATCGCATGGCAAACAGTCGTTCTTAAAGCCTCCTGACAATTTAGGTCTGTAAGTTCCTTTCGGGCATTCTTCGCCTTTATTGTTTCCTCCTGTACAATAGTGTCCTTTGGGGCAGGGCAGAGGATTTATGGTTCCGTTAGTCGGACAGATAGAACCCCGTGGACATGACAAGCAAGTTTCATGTTCAGGAGACCGAGCAAATTTCTTCGGAGGGCAAGGTGTTTCCCTTACAGCTCCTGCTTCACAATAATGTCCTGCTGGACATCTATATCCCTGAGATCCATTGACTGGGTTTGGAACCGTCGATCCTGCAAATTTATCAAGAAAGGAAGTGAGGAACTAAAATAAGTATCGTTCATATTATATTTTAATCCGCGACTTTGGTTACTGGAGTTGAACTTTCAGAGAGATAACATCAAAGCGGCCGGGATGGGATTTATTTGCTATTTATTACATGGCAAATGTGATTTCCGGTGAAATGGAGCTCAGTGATTGGCCGAGAAGAATATTCAGCACGCCATTACTTTCCCGTAATGGACGGGCACTTTCCCGTAATGGACAGGCGTTACCGGCGATCCCCTACGAGACGGAAAAACAGAGAAATTCTGAATGAAAAAGGCACAAATAAACGCTCAAGAGAAAATTTAATTGCTTTTAAAATTAATAAGACGTCTCCAGACAGTTTAGGTAAACTAAATAATTCAATATTTTGTTTTTGTTTTTATCAAATGCGTACCAGGATACTAATACGAATTCATGCATTTTTTGTTTGTTTCAAGTGCAAATGCATGCCTTATGCCATATAATAAACTTTTTATTAACCTCGCTTGCTCGGTCTTTACCGAGAAATATCAGACCTCGATCTTTTTGTACAAACCTCGCTCTTCGAGCTCGGTCTGTTCAAAAAGACTTCGGTCCGATATTTCTCGGTAAAGATCTCGCGCGTTCGGTTAATAAGTTAAGTTAATCTTACACCTAACCACAATAATGCATTTTAACCTAAGGCGGCAAAAAAACACAGCCACTAAGCGGTCAGCAGTTCAAAAGCATAGAAGCCATGAGGACCGTAATAAGAGCCGTGTTGCCTGGAAAATTTTGTCAGATAATTGGGACATGTACTTTTAACTCACCAATTAAACAGATAAATCCTGGGTTGCAATCTCTTTCTCTCATTACTCCCTCATTGGCCTGACAATATTTACCAGGGCTGCAGGGCTTACAGTCAGTCTCGTTTCCATTTTTCGTCGAGTTCGTATATGATCCTCTGGGGCAAGGTACCGGAAGATAGCTCCCTCTCGGGCAATAATACCCTCTAGGACATTCGCCTTCCGGTGGGTTCGGTATTTCAGTGCCGGTTTTGTTACAGTAGAAGCCTGGGAAGCAAAAATCTTGCGGAGAGCTTAGTCCAGATCTTTGACAATAGTATCTAAAATGAATTATATGACATAAAAAATAAGGTTACAAAACTTTAAGGCCGCAGATACTATGAATATATATGTTTGTAACTCTGAACATGACTGTTTGAACTTTACTCTTTAACCGTTTTTACCTTTGAGGGCATTTGAAACATTGATCGGCTTTCACGAGTTTCGTGACGTTACTCCAGGTTCCAGGCAAGCAGGGGAACTCAGTAGCAAACTTGGTTCCTCGTGGACAATAGTGTCCTTCCGGGCATTCCGAGCCAGTCAGGTCGTACACGGGTGAGTTAGTGTTGTCACAATAGTATCCTTCGTCACATGGCTTGCACGACGCGCTGTAGTTGTTTGGTTGATAGGTGCCGTTGCTACAACGTTTTGGCTCTTCAAAACCAACCTTAAGTAAGGTAAAAGGTAAAAAAATTAATAAAGTTGAGAAGAAGGTTTTGTAATCTTTAGAAGCATTTTTCTATAATTTCTACAAGGACATCTAAAGCCTTGTTTTCATCAATGTAATTCATTGTACGATGTTCTCAGTTCGTGGTCAGTTGTTAAAAATACTGTATCCGTCAGAAATGATGTTCTTCTCCTTCATTGGGTATAAACAACAGATCATAGAATATCGCAGTAATCGTACCGCAAAGGGTTGACCCGCAAAATTTATAATTATTTGACAGATTATAATGTATGACAGATTGTGCATTCAGCTTTACCTGACAGTAGTGCCCAGGTGGGCAGAAATATTGCGTAGGCCGAGAAGTCCTTTGTCCCGGTGGACAGTAGTACTTTTCTTCGCACATTCCAGATGGCGTAGACAAGCCACTTCTATTACAATGCATACCAGCTGTACATTCAATGCATTCAGATTTATTCTCGTGATTCGCACGTGGTAGATAAGTCCCAGGGTCACACGGCGAAGGGGATTTACTTCCGCTGGGGCAAAAGTGTCCAGGTGGACAATCCTTCTCTCTGGAAGATGCCGATTGAAGTGGACAGTAATAACCGGCATCACATAGAGGACCGGGTGTGGACATACCCGTAGTTGGACAGTATCTACCTTCGTCGCAGCGAGTCATATTCGAGGAATTCAGTGGGCAGTAGAAGCCAGCTTGACATTCATAGCCCGGTGGTTGAGAAACATTATTGCCACCAGGACAATACCAACCTAAAAACGAAATTATGCATTTTAATTTATTTTAGTAAATTATACTGGATAAAATCATAGATAAAACCAATAGACCCATTGTATATCGACTTTGTAATCCCTACGACAATGGAGTGTGGTTAGGTTTTTTCATTCAGTTGTGAACATGCCATGCAAGGTTATACACGTTATACAAGTTCCTAACCTACCTGCAGAACAAGGATCAGTTGGCAAAATATTTCCCCAGCCAGAGCAGTAATATCCTGGTTTGCAGTCTTGACAGGCGGAGATATTTTGTCCTCCCATAAGATTATTATATGTGCCTGGCGGGCATGGCCTGTAGTTAGGATGTGGAGTCCTGGATGGACAATAATACCCTTTTGGACAAACGAATGGCACGAAGTCTGTTGTATTCCCCAAGCAGTAATAACCACTAGGGCAAGTTTTACATTCATGTTGGCCTTCTTCATTATTGTACGTTCCTGGTTCACAGCCTAAAACAATGACAATTTAACTTTTTTGAAATCACCGCTGGATACCAGCTGACTAATTAAAGGCGAAAGACTAAACTGCTGATAATTGAAATTCCTTAGGATAATATTAACATTTCTTAACACAGAAGAATGGACACACGTGCGCACGAAAGACAGCACACAAACCCAGGCTGACTTTGAATAAATATTCGTTCAGAAAAAAAAACACGTGCACTCCTTGTTTAAGGTTTTTAAACCTATTAACCTTGGTAGGAAGTGTTTTTAAGGCAATGAACAGCAAGTATTATGCAAATGTAGGAATTTTTTACCTATACTGGCTATAGAGTTTTGCCGTTAAACTTCCAAACATAATTCCTTTCAATGAATATGAAGTAATAATGTTTTATATAATTTTTGAAAATGCTGGTTTGATTAATATAAAAATGGAAAAAAGTAGCATACCCTTGTACATCTCACTTTTCTTCGGACAGAAGTGCCCGCGCGGGCATATATCGCCAATAGTAACGTGAACAAAATGCGCTGGACAGTAGGTCAAGTTTGTCATAACTGGATTGGGCACGGCCGCGCCACGTGAACAGTAGTACCCAGCTTGGCATTCGCCATTTGGCGAGGTCAAATTAGAACCACGGCAGAACTTCCCGGGATCACAGGGTGTACACTGTCTTTCTTCGCTAAGCTGACTTGCAGCGCCGTATGTACCAGGCGGGCAGGCTTGCCAATCCGAGCCTGTTCCGTTTGGACAAAAGAATCCAGGCGGGCAAATTGTCTTTACAGTTGATATATCACCTGGAAAACGGTAGCGTTACGTTAAAACAAATGCGTTTTTGCCTTACGTTACGTTTCATTACGGGTGTACCAAAGGATATTGGAATATACTTCTATGTACCTTCGAGTCCCCAGCAACTCATTTTACTGCTTTTCCCTATACATCTCACTTAGTTATCGAGATATTTCCTCTGGAGAAATCTTATACTGGTGTTAGCTACTTGGATCACGCGAAATTATGTTCTATTCTTAGACATTCTAAGAGTTTCTTTACGTAATTACTTATTAAAAACAGAATCTAATCAAAGTCATGTGTTGCTATTAATTTTAGTTCTAATCAAACAGGATGGTAGCTAGAAGGTACTTTAATTTCGTGAATATTTCGTTCGAATGAAAGAGGGTTAGTGAGAATCTATATATAAAATTGTTAATGAGCCATTTACATGCGACAAATTTAAATTTCGCCTACCCGGAACAACCTTCTCTGGAAGACAATAAAATCCTGGTGGACAAACGTGGCAAATTGATGCTTTGGTATAATCGGTGTACATTCCAGCAGCGCAGGCTCTGTATATGTCGCTTCCTTGCGGGCAGTGCGTACCAATCGGACACTCAATAGCTGTCTTGTTCGAGCTGCCACTAGGACAATAATAACCAGCCTCACAATACCCTGTTGGCGTCGTCAGACCTTTTGTTTCACAATAGCTACCTGAGGTACACTGTATGCAATCAACGGATGCTTTTCCCATCGTGCTGTTTAAAAACGTGCCGGCAGAGCAGAGTTTAGGATGAAACGTTCCACGCTCGCAGTAACGTCCTTCGGGGCATGGTATTTGCCGTGGATCGGATGAACCTTCGATGCAGTAGAATCCAGCATCGCACAGACCAGCGGTAGCCGTTAAGCCGGTTTTGTTGCAAAAATGACCACCAGTGCAATTCTGACAATCACTGGATACTTGTCCGCCGTCGGTACCTCGGAACGTTCCGACTGGGCATTCTCTTGGTTCGTCTGTTCCTAATAGCAAGAAAATGTTAAATACATAAGCTGGTTTCATACATTTTCCATAATTGGAACACTTTGTTGCTCGTCATTTCTTCTGCGTTATTGCGAAATTGCTCAATTTTTTTAAATACTCGAACAATAACTGACGCTTATTTGACCACTATCTTTGAAGCCAATGTGAAGCCGAACTGAGTGCCAGTCCCTTTGTACGCTATCGTCGACCGTGAAGACGAAAACAATAGAAAAGGGCTGGCATGCACTGGTACCTATTTCGTCCGAAAAACGGCTTCAAAGATGGCGCCTTCCAGTTCATATAGAGGTCACTAGCGAGATGAAAAAAAATATTGAGAATTGTGGTTCGCATTAGACGTTGGTATCTTCCTACAAAACGGGTGAATGTAGTTGGGATCAAAATATCTTCAACATAATTTGGTTATAATTATTAACTTTACGTTTCTTTAAAGGAAGCTTTTATAGGAAATTTTGAGGCATTTCCCACCTTGAAGGAACCTTATTTACACACCAACGATGATGATTAAGGGAATAATTTATGTTATGAGCGTACTAACCTTCGGGGCAATAAGAACCCGCCGGACAAATATTGGCATCGTTTCCAAGATTTGGCGTTGTACTGTTCGCACCACGTCTGCAATAATACCCGGCCGAGCAGAGTCTATAGGGTGAGGTAAGCCCGGGTTCATCACACGCGAATCCACCAGTGCATGGTATACAATCGTCAAGTTCGGTCCTCTTCGTCGCGTTATTGAATCTACCGAGCGGACAGGGATATTGTGTATCAGATTCAGTCTGTCTCGGGCAATAGTGTCCAGCTGGGCACTCGTATTGTGTATAGTTCGTGACGGGTATATCTTCGCAGTAATAGCCAGGCTCACAACGCTTGCAGACAGATTTGGCCGCTTCGTTTTGGTAAAAGCCAGCAACGCAAGGTTGTGGCTGATCGCTGCCTGAGCACTTGTGACCTTTCGGACATGGCTTCCAGTCCGTCCTTGTTGCACGGCCATCACAGTAATATCCCGGATCACAATGATCAGTAGGAGCAGGTAAACCATTTCCACCGCAATACCATCCGTGAGTGCAATCCTGGCAGTCTGTAGCATTCCTAAACCAAGCAAATACAACTGCATGAAGGAATAGCATTCAAATCAGGTCAGACGAGAATGCCGACGAGAGAGTCGCAAGTAGCATTCTCGTTTGGCAAGCCATTCAGGGGAGATTCATAGACAATATATAGGCACTCTGAGATTGACGTTTACGGTAAACAGCTAACCGCATGCTAAAATTTCGTATTCGTCATTTAACAATTAGCTCTCTCAATGCTGGGAAATCTCGACGATGAAAATTGAAGCATTAAATGTAAACTAAGCTGTCATAAACCTGCAAGGCTCACTTTCAAATGTCATCGCCGTCAATCTTAAGGTCTCTAATATTCTAGTCAACGGCTGTTAGAGAGAAATAGAAATCCAAAACACCCAAATTAGGTGTAGCAAAACGTATGCTTTGGCTTAAACTCAACAATGTAGACAAATAAGCACCTACGTCGATTCCAAACATGCATCCTATATCATGGGAACAAATATATAGTCCTATAGCAAATATATATCGAATACATATATGCATAGCATATTGTTAAAAAATCGCGGTAATTTTAAGTACTAGTTGGTATTTCATGAGTGAACACTCACTCTATAAGCATTGTGCCTTTTTCAGGACTGACAATTTTTTTTACGTTTGGCCAATGAAGCCAAACATGGCGACCAATGACGCTAAAGCATTCCTCATAACTCATTCTTGATATTTTTAACAGACCGAAAAGGAATGATAAGAAGTTTAGGCAATATGTTTACACGTCAGACCGTGAAAAGACTAGTTAACAAAATATTTTACACAATAAAACGATGCGTGGTGAGTGTTCTTGATGTTGTTGTATTCTTTATTTTGATTTAGCCAAAAGCGATGACACTTCACGCATGACTAAAGTATACGAAGTTGCAAACTTTGCTGCACTTTGTTGCATTATAAAATTTCGCAAGGAAACGTTGGCATTTTATTAATTTCTGTGTCTTCCTTTTAGGTTTGGATAATTATTTTGCACCGCCTTGCCGGGAATAACAGTTAGTCTAACGTGCGAATTGTTTATTGTATTACATGTATTTTGAAAAAAATTCCGGTGTTACTTCCTGCAACACAAGTGCTCCTCCCAATCAAAAGGCCAATGCAATACGCTTGACTTCTCCAAAACGGTCGAAAATTTTTTCAATGGACGTCATTCAGTCCCACCTTTCATGCAATCAAATTCATAGGAATACTTGTTTACCTGTTTCCAGTTGTGTTAAGAAAAGTACCAATAGGACATGGTTGCGGCGCTCTGCATCCCCGCGGACAAAAACTGCCCATAGGGCAGATGTTCCCAGTGATGTTATTAGCAGGTTGCGGATCTATGGCAGCCGAGGTACAATACCACCCAGCTTCACATTCATGAGTAGGTTTTGACAATCTAGAAGTCTTGCAATAGGATCCAGGATCACACGGTATCGGGAATGATGAACCGTTTGGACAGTAGAAGCCAGGTAAACAATGGTCTATAATGGAATTGCCAATTAATTGTCGGTCATTTCGATAGAGAATAGGCGTACAGGTCATAATGGGCTACGATTGAAAACTTCATATACGAAAACATAGTAGCACTGGGTCTGTTTCCTTAAGTAATGGATAGGGTCTAATTTGAATGAAACCAATATCGCAAACAAAAGGCTCCAAACTCCAAATGTAAGGGATTGTTTATGTTATTAATGCTAGCTCTAATTCACAGTAGGGCGTTTTATAAGGAATTTTGCAGAGCTCCATAATAAATGTTTTTCATACGTCACAATTTATATAAAAAAAAAATTATAGAGAAACTGAACATTTTAAGCATTAATGCCGACCGACAATTAACATTGTTAATGATCTAAGACATATGAAAATAAGACTTAGAGGCATGCAGTGGCCTAAAGGTACAAATGAAGAGTGTTATTCCCATTCTGGCATTCTGCTTTCCATCAGTACCAAACTTGCTAGTTGCTAGTTTACATGACAAATCCTGAAGTGAATCAGCCTAATTTAAATTAAATCCAAATGGTTGCAAAGCACGTACCTCCAGGAGGCTGAAATACGTCGGCTCCACCAGTGCAATACCATCCTGCCGAACAGTTGCCGGTCGGATACTCGTTACCAGTTCCTTCGCAATACATCCCAGGTGTGCAGTTGAGACACGATGACCGGTTGACCTGAGCCGTTTTTGGATTGAATGTCCCAGGTGGGCATGGAAATTGCTTTGGCTGAGTCGTATTTACCAAGCAATAGTGACCTAAAACAATGGTAAAACGTGTTCGTTAATTAAGGCAACACATTCTTACCTGTCAGTGGAAGACCAGACCATTACTAAACACAGGTTTAGGTGATTAATAAGTGTCTCATGGTTTGAATTCAGAAAAAAATAAACTCCGAAGAATGACAACAACTTCAAAGAACCGAATAAATAAGACTGCAGAATAGTTGTTTTTGTAAGTTTAGATTTTTTTTTGATATATTATTAATTTCTGGTAAATGATTTCAGTGCAGATGCGTTAACATTCTTGTCGCAAATTCAATAGGAACGACAGAGCAAATCCTTGTCGGGGTTGTGAGATTATACAGTTAAGCATTGTCAAAGGCGCCCTATGTTTTGAACAGTAATTTAAAGGTTATAATAATAATATTTGGCTTATTTATTCAGCAATTAGACAACCCTGCCGCACCGTGCCAAATTCTAAACTTCCATTGTTACATACCCACGGCGCATTCATTACTGATATACGACGAAGCATTGTTTCGACAATAGTAACCAGCTGGGCATGATTTACAATGGGTTTTTCCAGGCCGATCTTGGTAGGATCCATCGGGACATCCGATTGGCATGACGGAGCCTTGCGGACAATAATGACCAATTGGGCAAACTCCACCAAAACCTAAATAAATAATAAAATAGGATGCATCGAACAACATAAAAATTTTCACATCGCAATGCTATAGATTTCAAAAATTTTAAAAATCTTGCTCTAAATGCATACTATTAACTACATTCTTTAACTTGATGCAAGCAGGCATGGTACCTAAGTCAAATACAGACTATACATTATTCTAACGACTATAATTATTCAATGTGGTATACCAAATGCAACGATCATATTTACGCGCATATTCGCAAACATGGAAGGCGGTATAACTTTAACTGCATGTAATCCAAGTAACTTTGTATGCTAAAAAGACTCACCAGTGTGATATCCATAGATGCTGCAGTTATTGGTAAAGCTACTTGCATTGCCAGTATTAATGGGATCGGGCCTATCGACGCCAGATTCACAGTAATAGCCCCCATAACATTGGGCTGTTGGTTTCGTGGCGTTCAATTTATCGCAATAATATCCACCATCGCAGGGCTCGCATTCAGACTCCTTGCTGAGGCCAGTAGAATTGCTGTAGGATCCTTTCGGGCATGCCTTCCAGTCAAGACCAGTTCCTGGCAGAAAGGAAAAGTGAGAATGTACGCTGAACGTGAGGGAGATTGTTAAAACAAGAGCTCGTAACATGCACGTACTACTAAAAAAATGCTGCAGAATAAACCTTGTAGGATGGACGACTTGTGCTTTGGAATAATTTTTTATCCTTGCGCCAAGAAAGATTCGTAGAATTCGAGAAAGTTTCGTAGTCACAAATTTACATCTCTCAAAAGTAGAATTGCTCAGGGAAAATTGCACCGTTTTAAAGAAATGAGAAGGGAAGAAATGAGACCACTGGCACTGCTTAACAAGGAAAGGCTAATATCTTCCTAGACTCCGTTTACAATATACTCACAGAAATAAAATGGGTGAAATTGGGTACGAATACCCATTTTAGCCATGCCGCGTGCCGAGTGTAGTGAAGTCTAAAATGTAGCCTGCACACCCGACTAAGTGCGCGCTAGGCATTCATTTCTCTTACCTGGTGGGCAGAAATATCCTCTCGGGCAAGCATGATAGCCAGACTGTGGATAACCAGCCGTAACATTGTTGGGTATACAGTAATATCTTTCCGGACATTGCTGGCAAACTGATGATCGTGTTGTGTTTGTAAACGAGCCCGAAGGACAATCTCTTGGGGTCTTGCTACCTATAGAGTAAACAACAATACATTTTTTGGTTAAGAACAAGCCGGTAAATGTTTGTTTTGTACATGGAAGACAACTTGAAAAATATGTTTGTTTTTTGAGTCTCGAAACAAGTCTTGTGCAGTTTTACATACTTAATATGGTGTATTCAGGAAGAGTTTAGTAAAACAAATGTACAAGTTTATAGTTGTAAACTACATAAAAATTTAGTTTCTAATTTGTCGCTGCATGATTTTCAGAGACCGATTTTGTATGGTAATGTAAATTAATGTATAAATTAATCTAACATTAATATTTTATAAACATTGGGATACAATTTAAAATTTCCCAAACTGTATATCATTTAAAACAATGAGTATAACACAACCAGTCCTTATCATGCTCTAGAGATTTCGGTACAGATTTCGGTACAGATTCACATTAGTCCGATGAGTTCGACAAAAATATACCTTCAGGGCAATGGAATCCAATTGGACAATCAACTTCTCTGATTGTTTTTGACCCAACGGGACAATAATATCCGGCCATACATCTTCCTGACGGCGAACTTCCCCCTGGAGAGCCGCAGTAGTAACCAGGAGTACAATTTTTACACTGGGATTCCATCCACAATTCCGTGATATTTGAGAATGTCCCCGTTGGACATAGTCTCGGTGAAGGACTTCCGGTGGGGCAATACCTGCCGGTCGGACATTGCGACTGCCGGGAGGATGTGGAAAACTTGGGACAGTAATAACCTTGCTGGCATAACGCGGTTTCGTTCGTCCAGCCGGGATATCTGCAATAATAACCTTCTGTGCAAGGAGTGCAAGATGACGAGTTCTTTAAACCTAAAAGAATTATGCATGTCAATTTTGCTTCGAAATTTGATTCAATTATGTTCAAGAGCAAGAGCAGGCAAGAGCAAGAGCAAAAGCAAAAGCGCAGTGTATTGTAAATGAATGACAACCGTATACATTGTGAAAAGAACAACCAATTCAAATTAAACCTTAGTTACCTTAAATTTAATCATCTAACAGAACCAATTTAATCATTTAACAGAACCAACTTTTTATTGGTTGAAAAAATTTCCTAGAGAACTTTTCTATTTTGGATCAATTCTTTTTTCTACAGATAATTTATTTTTTCGGGATTTAGTTTTTACTCGCAGTTCACATCAGTAGTCAATTCAGTTATGAAATCTAATAAATTTTCTATTACTACCGACCTATTCTTTTTTTGGTTTACCTGGTGTATTGCTAAATGTGCCTGCCGGGCATGGATCAGGAACAGCAGTGCCTTCCTCACAATAATATCCCTGGGGACATATATTTGCATCTTCCCCTTGGGACGGTGTTGATATATTAGCACCTAAAAAGAACGAACAAAATGTTATATAACTTATACCTAACTGAATTCACCTTTCGTAAAATAATGTAAAGTAATCATAAAAGCCTTTAGTCAGTAATTATTCTCAGGTTATATCGATGAATGAAAAGTTATGAAAGTGTAAAATGAAAGTGTAAATAATCACCGTCCATGAAAAAATGTCAAAGTTATACTCCTCTAGATCTGTGTCTTCATTGGTCAATACTTATCACGTGCTGGTCCACAAAAGGTCAATTTGGGTAACGAGTTTTAAAACATTTACTGACCGTTCAACAATGCAATGCTAATATTAATTAAAATCGTGGCGTTTAATTTTATCTAGTTTTCACTCCAATCACCAGTGAATTTACTTTTACACTAACCATATATCATAACATGCACTTATCTACTAAAGCCGGGGAACATGTGTTCACACTAACCTTCTTTACAGTAGAATCCAGCAGCACACAGTGTGTTTGGATAGGTCAGTCCAGGTTGACCACAGTAATACTTGCCAAGACATTTCGTACATTCTGACTGCGATGCGCGACCGGTCAAATTATTGAAGGTTCCTATCTCGCAAGCATATTCTTCAGCAAACGTTGTCCCCGGAGGACAGTAATACCCTTGCGGACAAACGTACGGATTGTAGTTCACGACAGGACTTTGCGTTGCATTGCAGTAAAACTTCTTTGGACACTGCTTACACGAGGATTTCTCTGGGTTATCTTGATACGTACCGGAGGGACATGGCCGAGGCTTACTATCCCCTTTCAAGCAGTAGTGTCCGACAGGGCATGAGTAATTGAAAGGAGTGGAACTAACTTGACCGCCGGGGCAGAAGTACCCCGATGAACAATTCCCGGTCGGAACCTCTAACCCGGTTCCATTACAAAACTTTCCCAGAGAGCATAATTTGCAAGATGACTTCTCGGTTGCCCCCGGAGAGTCCAGATAATACCCGGGTTGGCACGGATGTTCGAACGCTGAGCCAGTTGGACAATAGTGCCCACGCGAACACTCTCCTCCCGTTATTCCATCATTCGGAGTGGATACTTTGGCAGCCAAAGTGCAATAATGCCCGGCCGTACAGTTTCCGGTAGGAAGAGCGAGACCTGGCGTTTCACAGAAAGAGCCGCCGGAACAAGGTTCCATTTTATCAGATCCGCTCGGGCAGTAGTATCCTGGTTCGCAGCGTCCGCCATGCGTCGTGGTCATATTTCTGGTAGCGCTACCGTTGCAGAACCATCCAGCACTACAGGGTCCAGTCGGCCAGGATAATCCATCACCCTCACAATACATTCCCGGAGTACATGAAGTACATGACGCCGCTGAACGTTCCCCTAAAATATTGAAACGGGAAATGCACAAAAGATGAATAAAACAATAAAACATTTACCGACGCAACATACGTAACATTACTCTCCTCCATTAAGTTTGATCCGAAACACATACACCTAGTATCCTTTATATGCTATAGCTCATTTAATTTCCATGCAGTTGAAGAGACTCAAAGATTTCGAGGTTTGGTTGTTTTGAAATAGTTGCATTAAAAATATCTTCACGTATATAAATGTACTGGTTTCAAAAACAGTCACAACTAACTCAAAATGCTTTGCATAGTTGTTATGAAGAAAATTTTCACGGTTTTTCATAGTCTGTTGACTGTAATGAACTGCAGAGAAAACAATGCAGATTACTTTCCATACTTCAGAAGTGAATTGGATCCGACAAAATTGAATCGTGTGAACAGACCTCAAAGCTAACAAATATTTCTGCATCATCACTTACCCGTCAAGGCATTGTACGTGCCTTCGTTACAAGGATACTGACGGGCATAACGAGTGTTGTTTGGACAATAATGTCCACTAGGACACGAATTGTTGACAAAAGACACGGTTTTTGACGGGCAGTAGAATCCTTCAGGACACCGTTTACACTGCCATTGGCCCTTTTCATCGTTGTATGTTCCAGGAGGACATGCTTTAGGTGTGGATGTTTCACCAGGACAAAAATGACCTTCAGGACAGATGTCTCCAATGCCAACATACTGGCCGAGATATTTGACCAGCGGGCACGCGTAGTTGGTAGAATTGTAAGATCCGATGTACGGTTTCGCGACAGCGACGCCTGTAATGATATGGAATAATTTGATCCCCATTGCTTCCCACTATGCCTGTGGTCACTTTACACAATACGACCCGCCGCATACGTTTCTTACACCAACGTACGTGATTAAAACAAATGTCTGATGTGAAATACAGGATTTTAAACTTTGATATCAGCAAAATGAGTGAGACTCGTTTTCATTTTCAGAATGACAATCGCATACATCATACAACTAATCGTATATAACTCGTGGATAATTAAAAAACATTAAAATATGCAAAGCGCACACTTATCAATTTGGAAGAATAGAGAGATATTAAATTTCCATCAAATGAGTATAAATGCTAAGTTCCAATTAACACTCATTTTGCACTCCTCTCGACCAATAAATTCGAGTATTTGCTTTAATTACATAATGGTATATATGTATAAGTGCACAGTTTTTCAATTTAGGATTCTTCAGAACTATAGCAAATCCTAAGATAGTAATTTGAAATGTTTACCTGAAGTGCAATAGTATCCTGGGGAGCAAGGTGCAGTGGGCGCAGTTGAGTTGTTTCCGTCACAAAAGAATCCAGGGGTACAGTCTGTGCATTGAGTCTGAGAAAACAGTCCAGTTCTGTTGCTGAATGTACCTGAAATAAATCACAGGATGGAATTTGAATTTGAGTTGTAAACATAAGCATTGCAAGCTATTCTCAAGCTGTCGAAAAGAAAGATGAAAATAGATGTCTTCTATCTACACGTAAGGCTTCTCGAAAACGATTCAATAAACAACAAAAAACAACAAAAAGCTTTCATCATTAGCACGGCATGTTCGCCCTTGATTTCGATCAACATGCAAGCGTACCAGTATAGCACCACACCGCAAGAAACTCTCCTCCTATCAACTGACTCATACCTGCTTTACAAGGACGTAGGTCAGAACCAGTTCCTTCCGGACAATAGAAGCCGACTGGGCAGATTTCGTAACCTTTTGAATCATTCTTTACAGCACCGCTCCACAATAATGGCAAGCAGAAATATCCGGGGGGACAGGCCTCGCATTTGCTGGTCGAGGTCGAGTTAGTGAATTGTCCAGCAGGACAGGGTTTCGGCCGCGGACTTCCTTCTGGGCAATGAAATCCTTTGGGACAATCGTAAGGTGTGGATATACTAGAGTTGGTTGGGCAATAAGACCCGTTAGCACATGGACCACTGTAGTTCCCAAGACCAGGAGTTGCACAGAAAAACCCTGGAAAAAAACATTCATAGTTAATCCGAACATATTAATTGTCAGGGTAAAATTGAGAAATCCGCCATCTTGGATTGGATATGCAAGGTACTTCATTATATGTAAAACCATAAGATTTTTGTTGCCAAAACCTTCAGGTATGCTTTAAATACCTTCAGTACACAGCTGACAGTCTCCAATATCATCCTGACGTTTATTTGGTTGATACGTGCCAACTGGACATAACTGTGGTTTCTCGCTTCCACGTGGGCAGTATTTTCCTTCGGGGCAAGATTCCTGTTGCTTGGTGACGGAGCCAGGCGGGCAGTAGTATCCGGGTGCACACGAACCGCTGGTCGTATTCGCGCCATATTGGGAGCAATAGAAGCCCGCTGGGCATGTCTGGCATTCATCTTCTTTTTTTAAACCTGAATACGGACGAAGCAAACAAAGCATCAAAGGTCGTGAACGATTTCACATTGCATAGAAAAACAGAGCCACTGTACGTAAATCGCGGGTCTGTCTTTTTGTAGGAATTATGGAAATATTGAAACTTCAAAACATATCAAACGTATTCGAAACGGGGAAAATAATGAAGCGATCCTCCATTTATTGATGCAATATATTGTATATTATCAGTATCACGAACATGTATATCTTTCTTAAGCATACCTGTCTGTTTATTTAAGGTCCCTTTTGGACAATTGTAAGGTTCGCCAGTACCGTTGAGACAATAATGGCCTTGAGGACATATGTTGGCATCTGTTCCTTGATCCGGAGTCCCTGATTTTGCACTTCGACGACAGTAATAGCCTGCATCGCATGTTTTGTTTGGTTCAGCCATTCCTGTAAACGGAATCATGATATCATTGACCCCACATCAGTGAGCGTTTATATACCGCCTAACTACCTGGGTTGACACTGCATTATGAGGCAGTGTTTAGGACGACCCCAAAACCATGATGCATTGTCTCTTCTGCTAGTAAAGTCTAATTATATGAGAGCCGTAATGATCTAATATTTAATAGTAATAGTAATAGTAATACCCTCGTATCATTATTTAACGGCGTATATAGAAAGGTAAATTTGAATGTCGAATGTCGAATTGAATGAATCAGGACGTTTACCTACGCGGTAAAATATCATCATTGATATTTGCACAAACACATCGGGAATTCTTGCTTTCGAGCGGAAAGCATTTTAGAGTCTACCCCCCCCCCCCTCCCAAACAAGACAGCTTAATTCTTGTACAGGTTGATTGGCAAGTTGAAAACAATCGTATGGAGTTTCACAACTCCTAAGTTTCACAACTCATACTAAGGCCCGTTTCAAACGTCGAAATTTTCATAAGTCGTATCGAATTAGTTTCGGTACATGAATAGTTCTATGTCTAAAATGGGCCTAATAAACAGGTTTTATTGTGGTACAACCCGAACCCGTGTTCCTACACGATTAACGCAGTTAAATTCATTCTTTCATCCGAATTCGTTTGCGTCTCTAGCTTCTATTTTTCATTCATTTTTTGATTTGCCTTCTTCTCTTACCCCATTCCGGACAGAAATAGCCAGCCAAGCAGGGGACACAATCTTCTGGTTTGGTTCTGCGAAGACGGTTGTTATATGTGCCAGGTTCACAAGGATGATCGTACAGAGACTTTGTTCCATTGGGGCAGTAATATCCCCTAGGACACGGGAAACTGTCGTACGATGACTGGTTTTCAGGACAATAATAACCTTCCGCACAATCCCTGCACTTCGAAAGTCCAGCTACAGGCGCATAGCTTCCAGCTGCACATGGTATGGGTCTTTGGGAACCTGAAGAAAAAATTTGACTTATTTCAATTCGCTGCGCATATCTCGTTCAATGTACAGGACCACCGATATTATGTAGAACTATTCGCATATGCCCAAAAAACTATACTAATGTTTTGATAATAGGAAAAACAGGCATTCTTTACATCCCTCATATATATTTATTTAGCCAACCTAGCCAACCTATCCAAAAAAACATGGTTGTACACAACGAAAAATTGATCTTTTCTGAGGTCGATTTTACGTGTTTACCAAAATTATGCCAAAATTTAATCACTATGGGGACGTAAAATGATGGATTGTATATCTTACTGGAATCCACTGCATGCTGTCAAGGGCTTTTTGTTGGACAGGCATGCATAAGGAAAGAGATTGTTTCACCTATAGCTGTGTTAGAATCTCGTGCATTCGTTTATGTTCAGTTCGTTTATATTGCAATGTAATGTGGCAAAATATACCTCCCGCCCGCCATTATGGTCAAAAGATGCTTTTAAAACTTGAAACTTCTAGTAGTTAATCTGCAGCGTAGAACGAGAACGAACGAGTAGCCTCATTAACTGAACGAGAGTACGGTTCACAATCGTTCATATAGACGGTTTCCATTGGCTAAAACAAGTTTAATTATCATATTCGTTTCTAAACTTTAAGCCATAACATATTGCATATATATTTTGGTGATGTAATTTTGTGCTGTGATATCGTGTATACGGTTATAAATATTACCATGCATGTAACAGGGTGACGATAATTGATGAACAGTAATGGTAATTTGTATTTATAGGGAATTCACAGGGAATTTAAACAGTGACTCTGCAAACTGCAGCAAATAACCGTAATTTGCCTAGCAGCTACTGCTGATTTGCATTTCAGTTCCTGTGGCTGTGAAACTTATTATGCTCCTGGGGTTTAAAAATACGTTTTAACCGGCATGTTATGAAATTAGAATAACCACACAAAGTCGAGTTAAATTTAATGCTAATTATTTCTATATGAAGTTCCTTTCTATTATGTTTACGCACTTGGTTCAAATGTGATTGATTGATTCGTACATATATTCCTAAATATGCAAACCAATCAGCTTTTCATAATTTCAATGAAACATTAGCATACTTGCATATTCGTTCATTCTCGTTCTACGGTGCAGGTTAAAGCCTGGTTTCCATATAACGCCGACGTCGGCAAAGTATTATTGTCGGTGATTATTGATGAGAGTAATCTTTTGTCTTTCTGAAATCATTTTCTCCTTGGATGATTACAGAAAATGAGCCGGCGACAGGTCGACGTCATATGGAAACCAGGCTTAACTAGTAAAGACGTTACCTTCGGGGCAATACGTTGCAAGAGGACAAATTCCACCAAAGCCAGTCTCTTTTCCATCGTAATGGGGGCATGACGTATTATTATACATAGCGTCTACATCGCTGCTATTTCGTCCAACTGGTCGAGGTCTATCTACTCCGTATTCACACCAGTGACCGGGCGCACATTTTGTGGTTACATTGTTCATATGTTCTAGGCCACAGTACATGCCAGCCTTGCAAGGTTTGCATTGAGATACTTCATAATAGCCATTTTCTGGGCCGTAGGTACCACGAGGACACGATTTAAGGTCCTTACCTGTACCAGCCGGACAATAATATCCTAAAGAAATATGTTAATAATAGATTAGTTATTTATTTGGCTCTGCATGTGTCCAATCAGAAAGCGGAAAATTCAAAAGGATATAATTATCATGCACAGGCTGTGTTCAATAAAATTGTTCGACGGCATTCCCTTCTTAAAGTTAACGCTGATCTCTCATGACCTATGTACTCACCTTTCGGGCATATAACCGTAGTACCAGCAATCACACAGTAATACCCAGCGGGACAAGGCACGCACTGAACAGCTCCAGTGTAATTGACGTAACTGTTGTTACGACATGGAATCGGCTCCGGATTCCCGCCAGGACAATAATGCCCCACCCAGCATTGAAAACCTGGTGGTTTGACATACTTTGAACCACTCGGACAATAGTAACTGAAAGGCAAAGCGAAAGTAATTATTATCATCAGAAGTGAACACACAGGTTCCTCCTCTATGGGCGCTTCGCCAATACATGCATGCTTATAGAACCCCTTCTCACTCAAGTGCATGTCTATATAAATTACCTCAGCTCATCTATCTTTTTGTAATAAATTTCTAATTTTATTTACCCAGAAATCCTCCATTGTGCTTTGCACTATACTATAGTTACATCGGTATAGTTACGTTGGTATCTACATTGATTTGCAACGAAGTGCTGCTACTTCGCTCCCTAGGTAATTAGTATTACCTAGGATCTGGGCAGAGAAGGGGGGAAAATCTTTATTACTTCTCGTCCTTTAGTGCATGCGAAACTAAATGCATCCTTCCCCAATGTAAAAAGCATGCATATTTACGAAATAAGATGTATTTGATGCAATCATATCTGCACTCACCCTTCACCACACGGGCCTGATGGTTTCTCGAGACCATTACCATCGCAATAGCTACCAGGTGTACACGCAAAGCAATCGTCTCTGTTCTTTCCTTTTGTTATGTTCCTATAAGTCCCATTTGGACAGAGCTCCCCAGCGACGCTTCCGTTAACGCAGAAGCTTCCAGCAGGACACGCTACGTAGTCGGGACGATCTGCTCCACTCGGACAGTAGTATCCAGCCCAACACTTCCCAGAGGGCTTTGTCAATCCGTAATCATCACAAAACATTCCCTCGGTACAGTTTGCGCATTCTACTTTGGACTGGAGTTTTGTCTGGTTGCTAAATGTTCCGGGCGGACACTTTTCAGGCTCGGCCGTACCTTGCGGGCAAAAACGACCTTCAAAGAATGAAATGACATGTGAATTTAAATTCTATGACAGTATAAGGGGAATTCGTGCAAGAAAACTCGAAAATTATACCACTGGAGCGTGGATCCCAGGTAAAATGTTGAAAAAAGTTTGGTTTGGGAATTTTAAATAGATGTGTTTAAATAGATAAACGGTGCCCAGATCCTAACTCTCTCTCTCTCTCTCTGTAAGAAGACATGGAATGTGCATTTCAAAGCTAAGCGATCAATTTTAGTATTATATGGTTACTGTATATAGTTTTAATTATATTCTTATATGTAGTATATGTAGTTACCTAGACACACTTAGAAATTTATTACATCTTTTTTTGCTTATAAGGTGGCTACTATACATTGCACTGACTAAATAGTGTGCTGCAGTACATATAATGCTATTATAGCTTACCTGGTGGGCAGGGCCCTGCGTCTGAAAAATTGAAGGATCCAGGCTGGCAGATGGTTGTATTCTCAGGGTGGTATTCAGGCGTACCAATGTATGCCCCACTCCGGCAGTAATAACCTGTGAGGAAGGTTATAGATACAGTATAGTAGTACCATGCTTAGACGACCACACCACATATCACAGTAATTATACAGTTTATATGTAGGGGGTCTAGGGGGTCATCTAATTATACCGCACCCTCCAAACAGGGCACGCTGATTGGCTTCGATCATATTTCATTGTTTATGAACTAAGGCCTGTCTCAAATGTCGAACTCTTAATGTGCCGAATCCATTGTTAACGAGCTAAAGTTCTTGTTTAAGTTCAAATGATTACATTCGAATCGGCACATGAAAAGTTCGACGTCTGAAACGGGCCTAACTCCAAATTTTTATCTTTATATCATGCGGCTGTATTTTTTTAACTTTTCAACGGAACAAATAATTATTCAATTACCTGCATTACATTGTGATGAAAACATCGACTGACCCAGCTCCGGACAGAAAAATCCGCCCGGGCATGGACTGCATTGTGTGACGTTTTCCAATCCTGTTTCATTACTGAATGTTCCACGAGGACATTTGTACTCGAACGCTGTCTTTGTGCCGGAAGGACAGTAATGACCAACAGGGCACGAACTGTTCTTGAATAAAACCACCGGACTCAATCGATTGTCGCAGTAATACCCAGCGGGACATATCTAAAATTAATGTTGAGGTAAACCTAATAATTTAAGTGCAAAAATGAACGGCCGTTTTTTCAGAGTACAAGGTGTAGGCTTTGAAATGGACAGACTTAATATAACCAACCAAATTAAATTCCCAGGGGCACATTTTGGGAGCTAATGCAAGCAATTGAAGAAGATGTTTATACGTGATAGTAAACGGGACGGACCAAAGCTTCTCATATGGAACGACTATAAATATAAAGGCCAAAACGTCCATGGGGGGTGTCACCCCCTTCTCCAAACACCCCTAGCTTGCACTCTTGTTTTCCGCAGGAGCCACCATCACTCGCTCTGCGACTACGAACCTTGCAAGATCCTTTCCGTTTCTCATCTTGGTATTCGCCTGAATCACATCGTGTCGGACGTTCCGATCCGCTTTTGCAGAAATGACCTTCCGGGCAAATGAAATCGTTCGGATTAGGCATCACCTGGCCGGGCGGGCAAAAGTACCCTTCGTCGCAGTCATCTGTTGGTGCAGGGTTACCCCAGCCTTTGCAATACTTTCCCACCGTGCAATTCTTACACTGGGTAATATTCACATTATCTGCAAAGATAAATTATCAACCATGTAACAATAGCATAAATTCCGCATACATTCAAAAACATACTTTGGTAGTAACTAGGATGAAAATCGAAATACATGTTTATTAACGACGCTTTGGAACAGTTCATATATTTTTCGAGCTGGTTATGGATTTAGACATACGCCAGTGTAAAGCCGACTTTCACTCGAACTAGCTAAACTCATAAGGTAAAAAATCAAATATCCTTTCCATGACGGTATACGCATACACTGGACTCAACGCTTGGTTCTGGATAATATTTTCAAAACGACATTTGTGTAATGGCTAAGTGAGAGCAAAGGTGTGAAAATGGCTGCACAACTAATTGTATTTCGGCAATAGGTACGCATTTATCTCGAATTACAGCAGCAATAATTCAAGCGACCTATCCCGGAAGATATCCAAAGCCTTTTTCCAACATACGAGTGTTAATGATGCAAAATGGCGTTATACTCACCCCGTGTGTCTGCGTATGTTCCAGGTGGACAACGGGTGTAATTTTTGCTTCCTTCAGGACAATAGGCTCCTAAAGGACAGCGATCACCACCATTACCACCAGTGGGTGAGCCTACATTAGCACCACCCGTGCAATAGTAGCCTGGGAAGCAGTCTCCGTCGGGTTCATCCCTTGCTGCCGAACATCGCTTGCCAGGAGGACATTCTATTGGTGCGGGGGAACCTAATCGACAGTATGTCCCCGGAGGGCAAGGTCCACCACCTTCCTCGAGGTTCCCCGGTGTCTTGCTTATTGATCTGTTGCTGCAGAAGTAACCACCGTCACAGAGGCCTGTCACACTGCTCAAACCTAAGTCAGAAATATGGAAAACACTAAGAATATGAAGTGTATACATACACTAAATACACCAAATATTTAAGATATTTAATGCAACATATAAACCCAAATTAGTAAAAATGTCGCCGGGATTTTGAAAACTGATTTAAAAAATTTTCCACCTTTTTTCGCAACTTTTGGCAAAATTTTATGCGGAATTGAGTTTAAGTTTAAGTTTAAGCTGCAGAGCTTTGAACACTGGGCCCACGAGGTCGAACCATAAGCGATAATGAGTCTGCTGCTATGAGCAGATTCTATAAAAAGCAGTGTAACTCCCGTTAAATAAATCTGTTTCGTCTTTACTTGTGATTTCATACTCAAGTTTTGGAGTTCCGTTGTTACTAGCACTTTATCGTCGGATACAAAACACAACAGCAGACGAACGCTTTTTGTGTTAACTTGTATTGATAAGTGATGTCAACTAAATATTGAACGTGCAAGAATATATGAAAAGTTTTACGTTAAAGGAGTCAAAGACTATTTGTCCAAAATCACAACTTCGTTCAGCGTTCAAACAAAACCCAACAAAATGTCAATGCGCGGAGCCTGGCGCGAGCAAGGCAGTAACAAGCAGATTATATAATAAATTATTAAACCGTACCTTTAGTAGCACAATAAGAACCAGGAGTGCATGGCAGGCAATCATCCAGCGATGTACGTGATGTAAGATTATTAAAAGTACCTGCCGGACAAGGATTTGCCGTACTGGTCTTCGTCTTGTGCGGGCAATAGTAGCCCGCTGGGCATTCGGAGGGTGAAGTCGTATTAATAGTACAGAAGAAACCAGCAGGACAACCTAAACATGTTTCCCTAGCAGTTTCATTGTTGTATTCTCCCGCGGGACACGGCGTTGGCCAGGAACTGCCTTCTGGACAGAAATATCCTGTGAAACATTTTCCGCCAAAAGTACTATTCGTGGGCTTGCGGACTGGGGAACCCGCGGTACAATAATAACCTGGAGCGCACTTTCCCGTCGCCTCCGTCTGATTACCATAAGCACAGTAGTGTCCGGATTTGCAAATGTTGCACTCGTCGGCACTTCTCAGTCCATTTCGACCTGGTTCGGCGTATCTGCCAACGGGGCAGCGCTGGAAGGTCGATGATCCCGCTTCGCAATAGTATCCGCCAGATGGACAGCGTCCATTCGGACCACTTTTATCATTAGAACTTGGTGTCGCCGTTGATGCTTTCGTCTTACACCAATAGCCAGCAGCACACGGGCCGGTGACATTGGAAAGGCCTGACTGGACACAGTAGTGGCCAGGGGTGCAGTCCGTGCATTCGGTTTTAGTTTTTAAACCATCACGACTGCCAAATGTTCCCTTTGGGCACGGTTCTGGGGCGCCCCGTTGGTTTGTATTATCTCCTTTCAGACAGTAATCTCCACGAGGGCAAGGTTCCGGGTAATCGGTACCCCGTGGGCAGTTTTTGCCCTCTGGGCATGTTTTGCATTGAGACAATCCAGTTTCATCCGCATAGTAACCTTAAAATATAATTCGGTGTGCTGTTAAATGACCTGTGCTTATACATAAATAAAAGAAAATTAAAGTGAATAACAGATATGGGCTATTTATGCGGACGAATTTAATTTCGAGGCTATTCACATGCATGAGCCCAGTTACCAAAATTTAGCGTAAAATAGACTTTGAGAGGTATTGAAATGAATAAATTACATGATTCTGGTAGTCGTAGAATCATTCAACAATAGCATGGGATTGTTTTGTTTCAAAAAGACTTATTTTACTACCTCAAAATCATAGCCAAATTTTCGTAACCGTAAATTTTATATAAGAATAAAATTAAAAATCAAACCAAATTTATAACACACTGTTAAATGTTGTTTGCACAGTGACGATATTCAGTCGTGATATTTTTTGGTAGTCCAATCGTGACATTTTTTCAAGTAGGGTGTGGAAATACTTTTATAAGAGAATACGCGAATACTTTCAAAAAAACGTTTTATAATCGATTCATCGATGGATTGATTGCTTGAGATTTTTTTCCTTCAAGTTTTAGCGTCACTGCACGCGACCAAGATTAAATTTGATTATATAAATTGACACTCTTTTACGGTGCTTCAAGGTATCTTTTCAGTTGGTATGTAAGAAGCCTACTTTTGCTCGGCCCGTCCTTATTTTTTCTTCACGAGGTAGGAAAAAAATTTAAGGACGCATTTTGACATTGGTCCTTGAATGAATTTATAATTTGTCAATTTAGTGCATTTAGTGCATTTTTAACAATTTGAATGGCATGTATACCTTGATAATTTAGTGCATTTTTAACAATTTGAATGGCATGTATACCTTGATAATTTAGTGCATTTTTAACAATTTGAATGGCATGTATACCTTGTTCGCAAGGGTTATCCGGACTGCTTGCTCCTTTTAGACAATAATTTCCTCTTGGACATCGCCCACCATGACTGCCGTTGTTAGGCGTGGAGGAGGGTGATCCCCTCAGACAGAAGTAACCTGCGGAACACTCCCCTGAAACTCCAGTTAGACCAGTATCGTTACAAAATTTCCCATCGTCACAAAGTGTACAATCGCTCAATTTTTTTCCACTGTTTTCTGACCTAAAGACAATCAAAGCAACATCGTCAAAGCGATATTGTACCGCCGGAAAGAGCAAAGTTAGTAAAATATGTTTCAAAACATTGTGATGGTGCTACAGTACTTTGATTTACTAACCTGGCAAACTCAAAAATTAGCTTCACTAGGGTGGGAATCGAAAACCCGACTTTGGTTCACTAGTCGAATGCTCTTTCTACTGAGTAACTATTTGTCGAAACGATTGCAATATGTATATTATCCCGGGACTAGACCTAGTCTATTTCACACTTTCTAGTCTATGTATCCTGCAGTTATAGTAATATACACAATCACCGCTGTTGGAAAATGTTGAAAAGTGACGAGAAAATGCAGCCGCGCGAAGTTGTTAAAAAATTTCTATTACGAGTGGAAAACCCTCCCACTAATCCTATTAATTATGCACTAATTTATACAAAATATGCTAAATTTGAATGTCGATATTTTCACATCATGCAATATTTCGTGACGAAACTTTCCATTCCTAATAATATGGGATGCTAGCGCTCTTTCCGTTGTACTAATGAATTCTTCCAGATTGATGCGGGAATGGCCATTGAATGTATGGCAATAACACTCGTGGACTAAATAACTAAATCCTACCGCTTGAACCTAAACTTAGTCTACTATAACACTATTGGTGGTTAACTCACCACTCTAAAAATACCAGTATACTTAGGGACAAGGTTTGTTTAGCTAAATAAGGCGTACCTGTACGTCCCCTTAGGGCAGCGTTTTTCGTATGTCGCTCCTTCTTCACAATAGTGGCCTGGGTCACACAATTTTCCCCACTCTAACTCTCCTTTTACAAATGCTGGAGCGTCGCTCTCGGCTCGACCAAAACAAATATGGCCGGCATTACATTTCCCTGAAAAAACGAAGCACACATAGAACTATATCCATATAATACGATGATCATTTACAGCTAACCCACACAGGTATCTCTATCTCGCATATATTAACTAAGATCAACATTGTGGGACGTTTTTTAAATCTACATTTCTAAAACATGGTGTGACTTTTACAAAATTGCAACACGGAAACGACACGGTTATGACAAAATATCGCAAAGGTTAACTCCAAAATACTATAGATGCCCATCCAAGGCCATTTTCCTCATCCTTTTCTCTCAAAAATTCAGTTTTTGTGACAAGCGAGTGCAGTGACCTATATAGTGTGTGGAAAAGTGACCTAAAGTGAGCGTCTATAGTGGCAAAGCTATAGTTCTACGACAAAAATCGTTTTTGAATTTTTTGATAAAGATCTATGATAACCAACTTTAAGCATTCGCTCCTTTTAATTTACGAGCCAAACCGAATTTATATTTATAATACAGTTTCTGAAAATTTATAAATTTATATTCACAAAGATCACAAAATACGAACTTCAGGGCATAGTTCGGATTCTAATTCAGAATGCTGTAAAATCACCAACCTGTCGGCAAAGTGTTTGCGGCTCCCTGGCAGTACCATCCGGTTGGGCACGGTTGACAACTATCGTTGAGAGATGATCTTTTTGTATAATTATTGAATGTTCCTGGTGGACATTCGTATCTTCTGTGGCTCCCTATAGGACAATAGTACCCTCTTGGGCATTCATATCCAGATATGGACTTCATTTTGTTGCTGGGGCAGTAATAGCCAGCTTTGCATGGAAGACACCGGCTCTGTTTCTGCGATGGATTATAGAATCCTGGTTGACACGGCTGCGGCTCGGACGATCCTTCCGGAGTGTAGTATCCAGGCTCGGTGATGGTTTCGTTGGGAGTTATTGATCCTTCCTTGCAGTAATACCCAGCGGTGCACGGTCCGTCTGGACGTGGTTGGCTTGCCGTTGCGCAGTAGAATCCCGCGTCACATCTTGCGCAATCCTGGTTATTTGTAGCCCCGCCTGTCACACTGTAGGTGCCGGGAGGACAGGCTTGAGACTCGTAGGATCCAATGATGCAGAAACCACCACGAGGACAAATCTATTGAGAAAAAATTACATAAACATTGTATATGAATAACCCTACAATGCCACAACAGGTGTGTCATTTCCTCGTTCCAATTATTGTCTGACGTATAAAAAAGAACGAAATGATCAATCGTAAATAATCATTTCAGATATTTTCTCGCTGTTCTAATCATTTTGACAGAAATCGTCATAAAAATCCTATCATTTAGCCATTTGTTTTGGAAATACGATCAAATATAACCAGGAAGCCGCGTGAAGATGACTTCGCATCAAATGTTGTGAAACAAATTAATAAAATAGAAAAACACTTTTCGATGTTAGTAAGTACTATCCTGACGAAGGCTCTTCCGTCGAAACGTCGAAAGCGTCTATGTTAGGCAGTTACGTGTAAATTAACCTTACGGTAACAAAAATGTGAAATTTTATTTTTTGTTGCAGTTTGCAAATTGCAGTTTTTAAATTTTCATCCAAAAGCTATTCCAGTAATCTGTACGTTTCTAAATTTGGACGAGTCTCATCCATTCAGATAACAATCTAAATATATACAAACTATTCACTTCGAACTAAAGGTCCGTAAATATTTCTTCAAAATTGTCTAATGTTATGCATCGAGCTTAATCTTACCATGCCAGTAATTCCATCCGTAGGTGTACTCGTGTAAGCACCTCCCAAACACAGATAGCCTGCGTCACACTGAGCGCGCGGAGTTGGTAAACCAGGCGCATCACAATACCTAAAGACGACATAAAGTATCATGATAGTAACTTTGTTTGGCATTACATTGTATCATTGTATTAAGACATCGACACGGACTGATCACGGTATTTTAGGCCAATACGTGATAAGGTTTCGTTGGCTTTGTTCGCGAAAGCAAGAACAGTCGGAAATTATTATCATGCATAATGATAAAACAGTTGACGTTCCTGGAAATTAATATGTTTTTGGCCTTCCTGGCTGCGATATGGCTAAAATGAGTTCTGAACGTGTCTCTAGGTTCGGGTCTTGGACAAGTTCTCATTTACGCCTACGAATATCCAATTTTGTCAGATTCAATCCAATTCTAGCGTATGAAATGTATTCAGTTATTGATAAAGCACTCTTAAACCAGTACAGGACTGGCTTTCGTTTATTTGCCCCTGCATGATATACATGACAAGTCAACAGACCTTAAAACATCCATTAGAATTAGTGAATTGAATCCAACCAAAATTGGATCGTGTGAAAAGACATTCATATACATACCAGCCTTTGGTACAATTTGTGCATTCTTCAAGCGCTCCAAGATTTGTTCTGTTTCCATACGTTCCAATAGGGCACGGCTGTGGCTCGCTCACTTCTGGTGGACAGTAATACCCACGGAGACATGATTTCGGTACTTCGCTGCCTTGCGGACAGTAGTTGGTGATCGGACAAGGCGAGCAGTCATGAACGGTGCGAGCTCCAGTTTCATTGCGAAACGTCGCTGGCGGGCAAGGAACTTGAGTAGGGCCGTATGAGCCAATGATTGTCGAGGACACGCCATCGGTTATATTAGTCGGGCAGTAGTAGCCCCTACTGCACTCAGCAGTTGGCTTTTCTGATTTTTCTAAACAGTACAACCCTGCAGTACATGGCCGACACGACTTTAAACTGGAACCGTTTACCTCAGGATTAAACGTTCCAGCTGGGCAGGGGGTCTCCTTTTCACCTCCTATACACAACAGAGGGAAAAATAGTCAACACATGAAATACTACTCTAGGTTGTCTCAGATGAATTTATCTTTTGACAATTTTATATGGTCAATGTTAAAGGGACAATAATTAAAATGTTGGTTGAGATGACCAGCTTTATGGTGTAGAGCAACCCAGCTCAAGACTGGGTTGCAATCGCAACTAGCTAAGATTGAGACTGTTTTTCCATACCACGGATCAGGTTGGTAGACATTCGATTCACTGTCATCTTTTTTATAACAGGGAGCTTTAATAAATTTGAGTTCGACGATTTGAAGCTATAGATACGACATACATGACATGCTTTTGGAATTTGTTTAAAGTATATTGTCGGCAGGATTAGGCTTAACTTACCTTGCAAGCAATAATGTGCTTTTGAACAATCCGTAGCTTCACTGACATCTTTCAATCCTCCACTGCAATATTTTCCGGCCGGGCATGTTTTGTTTGCTTCCATGTCGTCAAATCCCGTGGCTTCCGAATCACAGTACCGTCCCGCCGGACACGAAGGACAGACGGATTGGCCAGACTTAGTATACTTGCCTTTGCCACAAGGATAAGGGTTGATGGTAGCATTCAAACAATAGTAGCCCATTGTACATGCAAGACAGTGGTTTTGATAGCCCGCTGCATTGCCATTCGACGTATTTCCTGTTATGTTCTTTCCGTATGGCATGTAAGTACCTAATATTCATAAAAAGTAAAGTTGAATCAACAAAATTTTTAATTCCATTACTTCAGAGACATCCATGCGTATGTATTAAATATAGGAATGGTGTAGATGCAAATATATACTTTCTTGTACGGAATAAAAGGCAAGAGTGAAAATATTGACTGTCTTCTCAAGAGTGAAAATACGTTTATTATATGTGTATAGAGATTTATGCACAGCAGAATGGTGAAATAAAAATCGTATTTCACTGTGTAAATTAATTTCATGCAATTTGATTGGACGTACGATATTTTTCACGTGTGAAAAAATGCCATACACGGCTTTTGATTGGACATACGATATTCTTCACACGTGAAAAATTGTCGTATGTCATTTTGGCGGCAATTTGTTTACATTTTCTTTCAAGATGGCGTCGAAATATAGGAGTGAGATTCAAAACATAATTCTCATATTCAAGATATTTTTACATTCAGCACATCTCAAATCTTTCGGAAAGAATGTCTAACTTTTATTGAACAAAATTACAAAGAAACTGAACGGTAATAAATATGTTTTCATGCATAAAGTTTCGATTTTGTTGTTCGCTGTGTTTTTGTATATTAAAAGCGTGTCGTTGTCAAATTGATCTCTATACACATTTAATAAACAAATTACTTCATGGTTGGCTCGTTTGTACGATTTTTATTATGCACTCGTTGCGAAGGATCGCGAACTCACTCGTTCGCTACGCTCACTCGTTCGTATTGCGATCCTTCACAACTCGTGCATAAAAATCGTACGCACTCGCCAACCATGAAGTAATCTCTATGTATTGATCCCAAAGTCCCAGTTCCAGTATGCCCGTTAAAATACAGTGAATTAGTTATGGAAATATATTAATTGTGTAATTTTAAATATACTAACTTTAATGGTATATTGATGTACTGTACGCTCATATCAACTCATATCAATTTTCTTACCTATAGGGCAAGGTGTTGGTTGCACTGTTCCGAGTTCGCAAAAATGCCCCAATGTACATTCTTGGCATTCGCTTCGGTCTGATTTGCCATAGTGCAGGTTGTACGTTCCGTTAGGACAAGGAAACTCTTGAGCAAATCTTGTACGAGCAGGGCAATAATAACCGGGTGGACACAATCCCCTTGGGTAAGGTTCTCCCCCAGGACAATAGCTCCTTTCAGGACATTCGGTGCACTGCTCAGGAGCGTAAAGATCCGAGCTGTTTGAATATGTACCAGGACGACATGGGTACTTTGTTGGTGACGGTGTACCTACAAAAGGAACAGATAAATCTGTTTAAATTAAGCAATCATATACAAATCATCTCAGGACTTCTATCTCTGGATCTCGTTCTACAGCCTTATAGTCATTTTAGTAAACGCATGCGTGTCCAATCCACCCTTTTAGTTAATATTGAAATCAAATTTGGTCATTGGTTTACTAAAATAAACTCTAAACAATAACACAACATATGACGAGACCGCTAAAACCTGTGGAATAGGCCAATAGGTTTACAAGTTTAAAAGGTAATGATATAATAAATTACGAATACAAACCTAACGGACAGTAATGTCCTTGTTGACAAACTTTCCATTTGTTAAAACTCACAGCTGTTGCCCAACCACACGATTTCCCACGTGGACAAGGTGTGCACTCCTCCGGTCTATTGAGGTCAGTACGATTAGTGTAGGTCCCAGGAGGACATGGATACTGTGATGGTGAAACGGTTCCATTAGGACAATAATAACCCTCTTGACAGGAGTCGTTATACGTCATTTGACCTGCGCGCGGGCACGCATACCCGGAAGGACAGGGCTCGCAGTTCAAAAGGTATCCGATCCTTGTCTTGGGATTATAAGTACCGGGAGGGCATGGAATAGGAGCTACGGTAGGTTGGTTTTGAGATCCATCGGGACAGTAGTGACCAACGGGACATTCGGTACATTGGGTGCCGTTCTTGAGCCCAAGACTGGAGCTATATGTTCCAATCGGACATGCGTATCGACGGGGAGCTCCGGTACCCTCCGGACAGTAATAACCTTTCGGACAGGTTTGACCCGACTGCGATCCCGCGGCGCAATACATGGTCTCTGGACACGGTTTGCAGGTCTCGATAGTCGTCTGCTGGGTAAGAGTGGAATTTGTTCCGGACGGACAAGGAAACTGGGTGTCATACTTCGTACCGGTTGGGCAATAGTGACCAGCTGGACAAGGGAAATTTGAGTAGGAATCTAAACCTGTATTCATGCAGTAGTAGCCTGCCGGGCAGGCCATGCACTGGGACGCCGTTTTGGAACCATTCAAAGGATTATAAGTGCCGAATGGGCATGGATGAAATGACCTTCCATCGCACCAACCCCCTGGTTTACAAATACCTAGACAAAAAAGCGGAAAAAAGGCATTGAACACATCACCTTCTGGCATTTGTTATGTCACCTCGATTTCAAAAATTTAACTGTTTTAAATTCAAATAATACGAAGATTCGAAAAACCATTATATTCTTTGTTAACACACACACACATTCAATAGAAACAACTAGATTGAATTATTTTCGTAGAATTTTCTTCTACAAAAGGAATACTGTACTATTATTGTCTTTAGCATGTATAATAATGTGAAACAACGAGGTTGTTTATCGCCCGTTTATACATTTATTCCCTGCTTTTTTTTATAGATGGAAACAAGCGAATAGTTATGAATGTTCCGACCTATAAGTGCTCTTATTTAAACATCCCCAACTTATCCACTCTTTTACATGTAACAAAGAAGAGAATCGCGCGCAAAATCGCAGCAAAAGTGTAAAAGGGCCCCAACGTTATGAATGTTACGTATAACCGCAACGCCTACCATCTGTTGGTGTTGAAGAAGCAGAGCCTTCTTTACAGATAAAACCGGCTTGGCAGGCGAGGCATAGTAAAGATGCTGGACCAGAATATGTGCCAGTTGGACATCTTACAGGCACTGTTAAAAGAATAGAAAGGGACAAAAAATAACCAATGATGCTCTTGAAAATTGACATAAAAAGATGACTGATGAAATCAACCATCTTCATGCACTGCGTTTTTGATTGGGACAATGGAACCACTTGAGGCTGACCTAACTAAAATCAATCCGCCTAATGCAAATAAACCAAGTAAACAAAAAGTTAAGGGAATTACGAATGTGATTATTATAAGTAACGTCAGATTATAAATTTATGTATTACACATCAGCAAAAATTCTATTGCAACGACATTAAAGGCATTTAATAATGAACATTATTCAAATTTTGCGATGCAAATATTTCACGAATTTACGAATAGAGTAAACGAGTTATTAAAGGCAAACACTAAAAACCAAGGGGCACTCTAAACCCACAGTCCCTCCCCCCCCTCAAACGTCCAACACTAACAACACCCTTTTCTCGACGGCCACAAATGACATACTTTCAACTCCCAGATCACTAAACATCCAACGCTTTACAACAATTTGTTGACTTCCACACGTCCCCAAGTAAATATTTCATCACATACCTGCAGGATCAGAGCATTGATAGCCCGCTTTACACGGATTGCAGATTGGCGTGTTCTTTTCACTGTAGAATCCCGGCATACATCTTTCTGGACCTTCAGTCCTTTTCTGGCAGGCATAACCCGCATGACAAGGGGTACAATCGATCTGTCCGCCTAGTGAATATGTACCGTTAGGACATATCTCTCTAAAGAAATAGAAAAAACATTAATTGTGCCATAAGAGACTTTGATGTTTGCAGCTAACATTGCTGTAGCTGCATGATCTACGTTATAAAACAACTCTCACGTTGGCCTAGTCTCGTATTGGCCCACATCGGGAGGCCATGAAAAACCTAATTTGAATACGTCATGAAAATAGCAACGCTATCGTCATTTAAACTCCTACTCATCACTTCCACCATGTTCGTTCCCTGGTTCTGTGCGTTTCTATGGGTTTCGATTATCGAATTGAGGCTGTGTGGCATATATAGTGTATAATTATCCATAAGATAGCTTGTAGGACAATATATGTAGTAAAAACGTTTTCGAAACGTCAAAATTGCCAAATATTGTATCGCCAACGACCTACATCGCTCGAGCGCTCGCTGCTCTTAGCAATTGATCTATGTAAAGTAGCTGAATGCGTTATGCAGTTTATGTTTCTCAACAAAGCTCCTGGATACGAAGCTGATGAACGACAAGCTTACTGGAATTCTCGATTTTTGTGCGGGCATTTGTATCCGGTGGGGCATCTTGTACATCTGGAGGAGTTCGCAACGGAGTAGTAACCATTGTCGCAGGAGATCACTTGGCCCTCGTCTGTTCTTGGACAGTAACTATATGAACAAACAAAACGAAAATATACCAATAAAATTATGTTAAAAAAAGTCCACCAGCTCGGACATCGGCATTAAATTGGAAGCGCATAAAATCAGGTCACTTACGATCCAGCTGGACAAGACCTGCAGGTCACCTGCTTCCCGGTAGAGTAGGTTCCAGGTTGACAAGCCACCTTAAAATCGCTCGTCGTATTTGAACAGGCGAATCCACTAGGACAAGGGGTACAAGTTGTTGCTCTACCTATCGAGTACTCCCCCGGACTGCAATCACGATTACTATTACCATCAGGGCTTGGGCACATTCTCCCGGGGGGACAGGGCGTGCATGACGTCTGCGCAGAACTCGAGTAGGTACCGGGAGAACAGGGAATTTCTAAGGCAAGCCTGAAAAAGAAAAAAAGGTCACATGAAAGCATCCTGCTCAAAACTAGCACTCGTTGGGTTAGTATAGTGATTAATTAATATGCAATAGTGGCCTTGGATTACAGATTTCACTTGGAAAAAAATTGAAATTCATTGTTTAATGCAAGCGGTATTGTTAGTGATCTTAAGTGTATTCTTAAGTGTTTGACAGTTTTTCGTTGATTTTCTTTCAAATTTCCACGAACGTTTTTATAAGAGTAAGGCAATTAGTTAGGCTATCCCTGAAATCGAGATTAAATTGTTACTTAAGATAAATCTTAAATCAGAAATGTGGGCAAATATAGTGGGTAAAAATCTTTCTTCACTGATTAAATTAAATTTACGCAATTTGATTGGACGTACAATTTTTTTCACCTGTGAAAAAATGCCTGTGAAAAAATCACCCGTGAAAAAAAACCCATACATGCACTGCTGCTTTTGATAGGACGTACGATAATCTTCACGTGTGAAATATTGTCGTATGTCATTTCGCGGCAATTTTTTGAACATGGCGTTAGTCTGCTCACAGTTATTAGAATATATATACATGGTTTGGAGACTAGATGGGAGTACAATACAACTCATTATCTATGTTATTGTCCAGATTTATGCAAAAAATGGTTCCTTATCCGCCACATGTCTATTGTATTTTAGTCCAACTAACCAATAGCAATGGCTTAACTTAGCTCCTCAACCGTGACTTGAAAAACATGTTAATTCAGACCTTACTATTGGTTTATTTGTTCAAAATACAATAGACACGTGACGAATAAGGAACAATTATTTGCATAAATGTTCCCCGACATAGATAATGAGTTCTATTGTACTCTTATGTAGTCTCCAAACCATGTATATTCTATTAACTGTGGTCTGCTAATGCACTCGTTGTGAAGGATCGCAGACTCAGTCGTTCGCTACGCTTACTCGTTCGTTTCGCGATCATTCACAACTCTTTTTTGAAGAAAACGGAAAAGCTCTGCACGGGTACGAGGTAGGAAAACCCAACAATTTGTGTATACATCTAACCTTATTGACGGACAGTAAAATCCTTTTTTACATGGTATGCATTTAGTTGCCTTTCCTGTCGCATACTCTCCACTAGGGCACTGAATCCTGGTTGGGTCAGAAGAGTTGGCACATGCATATCCCGGTGGGCAGACGATACATGCCGTCAGACCTGCGGTGCTATATGTCCCTACAAAATAGAAAAAGAATTCCATTAAGAAAATGGGTTATTTGCTTCCTCCGATGACTCAAAATACGGTATCGGTGTAAGATTATCATTACTGAGCATCATATCTAAGCAGTTTTATTTGTACATATATGAGCCCGAAATGGGTTTCCAGTTAACAGAAAAACCGTAAAAATTATTAAACTTTATAATTTGCTAGTTCTTATGAAATTCCTCGTTGTTATGACTATCGCTCTTTCTTTCATTACACCTACACTGTAGGTAACGTAACCACCAGGGAAGAACCTCGCCAACACAATCGTAAAGACCAAAATCCTCACTGCGAGAAAATATCGACGGAATAGTATTTATTATTGTATGCAGCACGAAAGGATGAAGGATGTGATTATAATGTTGAAAATTTTCTGTTTTCCACACCGGGATTTTTTAACTTGCAATAACCACGTACTTTCCATTTTAGGCCCATTTATACCATAAAGTTTCTCATCTTGACACATGCGATTAAATTCATTTTCTGTGTTTCTAAACAGTTATAAATACACGCTTGGGAGTTTGGGAGAACGAGAAATAATCAGTGGGAATCATGTTATTTCGAGTTCTCCCAAACTCCCACAAGTGTTTCTATAACTGTATAGAAATACAGGGAAAAATTTTTCTATTTTTTTTATAACATAACTCAATAAAAAGATTTTGTACAAATATTATAATTCGATTCAATTACAAATTCTCATTACATTACTTCGCTTGTCAAGTTCGGCGGGAATAGTCCCGTGTTTCTATACAGTTTTACAAACACACTTCTTGACCAATCAGCACGAGCGTACTATAAATGTTATATTATCAATAATTTTATTACATGCCTATATAGTCTTATTTTTTTTTCCTGCATTCATATTGGCTGCAGCAGCGGGCGGCTTTTTATGACATCTTGACGGTGGTCCAAAAGTGCATGTTATTCATTTTTTTAAAATTGATTTATAAGCTATGTAAATTGTTAGGAAGCGAAATCTATTCAGATGATAGTCCAATTTCAGTCTAAACGAGCATATGTTAATTTAGCCGTGTATTTTACAACGTTAATTGCATGGTTAATAATAAAAACATTGGGACAGAACATTTGATGATTGAAAAGCGCCTTAGCTACACTCACCGACTTCACATGGCTTCGGAGAATCCCTAGTACTTGCACAGGACGAGCCAGGTGGACATTGCGTGCACGACTCCGAGTTCTTTGTGGAAGCATACCAACCAGGGTCACAAGCTGCAGGAATTTTATTTTTGTCGGGGCATTCGAACCCGCGAGGACATTCGTTGCACTGTGATGAACTTTCAAGACTCCATTCGCCCTTAGCGCATTCGATCTCTTCGAAATTCGGTGCCGAGCAATAAAATCCAGCACGACACGCGATACACGCAGTGCCATCGGGGTTTGGTATCGTTCCACTTTTACAGCCTTCTGGCGGCTCACTTGACGAAGCACATATTTTTCCAGTAGTGCGGTTCGGACATTTCACGCAACCAATCACTGTAAAGAAATTTCTAAATGAAGCGTCGTATATATGCTACAGTTTCCCTAAATTTATCTGGTATATTATATATAGCGGTAAATTAAGCATTTGTTTCCTTGGGCAAACCATCCAGAAATACATGTAGTTGCACTGTACTGTACATCTGATTTCAAACCAAATGTCATTAAACAGTCTTTCAGTGCATGACTGTAATATTATGGCCATTGTTAAATATTATATATTTACTGAAAGGTATACCTTTCCATTTAGTTTAACGCTATCGTACCCGAAGTGAACGCCTGATCCGGCATCTTGTTTAACTTATATATAGCTTCACCATAAAATTTTCAAGAATGTTTGAAGGCCTATTGCTACATGATCATTCATTTTTGGTTGCAGTTAAATGGTAGTCATTAATTAACAAAAAAAAATTGATTGGCTAAATTTTCACTAGTATAGTATACTAAGTATATTGTAACTACTAACATGTATACAGTAAGGCGTCCATCATGTTACTGTACGTTCGCTTTTACCAACATAATACATAAACTCACGTATTAAACAAGTTAAAACTTACTGTTTTTAGTGCTGTAATAAAAACCAACGTCCGCAGCAAAAGGACATGGTTCGGGGCGCTTATTGTTAGGACAGCGTTGACCGGCTGGACATGCCTTGCATTCAAGATAGAAATCTTCAGAAAAGGTTGCTGCAAATAAGATGAACGTATACGACATGTAAAATTGAGCGCGGTCATCTGTTGTAAACGTACGGTTACAGTTAAAAGAAGAGGATACCTTGTAAGTGCCTAAAGCGATAGACACAGGGGAAAGCGATAGACACAGGGGAAAGCGGTATATACAAAGGATAGCAATAGACACAGGGGATACCGATAGACACAGGGGATCCTGATAGACTTGGCTCATTGGCAAGAGGCCATGCATTTTAGGCCCAAATACCCAGAGTGAATCCGGTTTTCCACTAGCGATACTTTTCGCGCGAAGCGACTTTGTTCCTTTGTATTTGAGCGATTTGTTCCAGATGGTTGCAGACAAAAGTTAATGTCGCTTCGCGCGAGAATTGTCGCTAGTGGAAAACAGCCTTAAAGCAGCTAGAGATTTAACCAGTTTTCATACCACTGAATGAAAATAAACGCAAAAGAGAGGATGCACGTAGACGTAGAACTTGCTCTTTACACACTATTTGATAATTGAAGAATAGCGAATTTACCTCCGGTACATGGAACAGGCGCCGAGGCACCAAATGGGCAGGCGCTACCAGCAGGACATGCTGTACAGTTGAATTTTGCGCCACCAAGTGAGTACATTCCAGCTGGACAGGGCACTTTCGCAAGCCTGTAAAATTTAAGGAAAATGTGCACTTGAGTGTATAAATATGGACTACCATTGAGTTTGCCGACTGCCCGCGTGCACATGCAATCACATGACGGATATTCCAAAACCAGTACTCCTGTTACCCAAGTTCATGAGAGATTGTGTTCGGAAATTATCATTTTATATACTGGTAATTAAATTTAGTAAAAAAAAGTGTGATGAAAATAACTCAAATTTTTCAAATTTATTAAAACCAATCGGTATTGCATGGTTGATGGATATACTGTAAAATTAGCATGTGGGGGTTTCGGATCGATGATATTTCTGAAATTATATATTACGATTATACATCCTGCAAATATAGCGTGAAATAAAAACATGAAATTTCGATTGTTTTATAAAGAAAAAGAGACTGGAGGCTGCACGATTGGAAGCTTTTTCCTCTACGAGGGTCGAAAAATACGGATATAAATCGTAATAATATTGTGATTTCCAGTAATGAAGCAACGGTGCAAAAGTTGCCCAGGTTTTGGACAACGCATATCGATCGTCATGGAATTACAGCAACTTACGTTGGATCAGGACAATAATATCCAGGTGGACAAGGCATACAGGACGTTCGGGTGGAAGAGCTCAGTGTTCCTAAAAGTAGAGAAGAAGGAAAATCGCGAGATGACCAATGGAAGAAGGAGATGACTCAGACAACAGTTACGTTGGTTGTATGAGTCATCCTAACGAATGAAAGGAATGCCCATGCAACATTTTGGTTTATTCTGCTGATGAAACACGTTAGTATATGTTAATACACGGCACAGTTAAACACTTTTTTATTACGCCTTAATTGGTTTATCTGATCACACGACGCCAGCGTATAATAGTCGTATTATTAGTATAGTATACTGTAAATGGTTATGTATCGGGAATCTTGTTTGCGGAAACGAAATATAGGTAGAATTAGGGGTGGGTTGTAAGGTACAGCATTCTATGTATTAGATCGTAATGCCCTCATTTACTTCTGGGAAGGCTATAAATTCATATTCATGCCGCCCTTCTCCGATAAATTCTCTCCGATAAGTCTAGCACTCACCTGCCGCACACAATTTACAATTTCCATCACCTTGAGCAGAAACATAGCCCTCTGAGCAATTGACAGGAGGTTGTGAGGGATCGATACACTTGTTTCCAGCGGGACAACGGAGACAAAACGATGCGGACGACTTGCTGTACATTCCTGTCGGACAAACTGTACAATTCGCCTCTCCTTCCGCGCTATAATAACCCGCTCGGCAAGCCTTGGACTCCTTTGCATTCACACATTCTCTGCCAGCTTCACATTTCGTACACGCGTCTTGCCCGGTGGCGTTATTATAGTGGCCTGGTTCGCAGTTCTCAGGAGCGACAAGGCCCGCGCGACTGCATTTAAAACCGGCCGGGCATTCGGAACACTTCTCTGAGCCAAGGAATGCAAAGGTTTTTGCCAGGCATTGTCTCGGTGTTGTACCTTTTAAGTAACAAGAACACGATGAATAGGTAGAGATATAAATCATACTTTGAACGAACATTAGGTGCAACAATGACACACATTTGTAGGTAAGATGTGCATGTAACATATTTTCTCTGCCTATTACATGAACACCTGCAGTTACCCTTCGTAAATTACTATGAGGGTATGGTGTAAAAATAAATGCAGTTCGTAGTCAGAAAACTACCAGGTATAGTCTTGTTTCGTATCTGAATGACCAACACGTACATTTTGAGGACTCTCCACTAATTTACATTTCTTAAAAGGAGAATTGGATGGCCAATTGTAAAAATTGCACTGTGTAATAAGATGCATAAACATGCCTGGCTCATCGATAGAATACAACATTTTTATCTAGCTACTTCAGCTATGTACGCGGTAATAAAAATGTTTATGTACAAAAGTACAAATGGACATTGTTAATATTAACCAACCGCATATTTACATCCGATGCCCTGGACCATGCGATTGTAACTCTTAACCACGATAATTTAAGTAGTTGAATCGTAGTTACCACCTAAATACGCGATTTTTATTGGCCAATTGCGCTACTGACTACAGTTGAAAGTTAAAATAACTATCTGCCTATACAAACGACCCCAGTCCAGTTGTATTTCCAATTGATCGACTTACCATTAAGACACTCGTATCCCGCAGGGCACAAGGTACATGTGCTATTTCCAGCCTGACTAAATTGTCCAGAAGAACACGGAGTTGGTTTGTCGCTAGCTGTTGCGCATTGCGAGCCCTCGGGACATACGGAACACGTTGTCTGATTCACGGTGTCCGCGTAGAAGCCGTTCTCACAGGGAATCGGGGATGCATCAGATTTTGGGCAATGGTGTCCGGTGGGACAGCCCTACAAAAGATTTAATCGGATTAATCTAAAAAAAACCCTTTTCAGTGCATGTTTAGTCGATGGCCTAGCCGCCTAGGGGCAAAGTAATTATAGCTGTGTGACAGAATCCAATAAAGTTATGGCCATGCCATGCATGTATCCAAAATGCTGTAAAAACAGTAGCCAATTTAAATTCGTTACGTCAGATTCATTTGATAAAACCAATTTTTTATCGGCTAAAACAACTCAAATGTGGTTAAAACAGCAAATTTTTTGGTCACTTGCTCATTGTGCTGCCAAAAATTCACCTTCGCAATCATAGAAGTACTGTAATGTGCACTTATAGAAGTAATCTGCGTCACCACAAACCTTGCAAGCCAGGCGATCTGACTGCCCGGTTAAATTATTGTACGTTCCAACAGGGCAAAGCTCGGGCGCACTTTGACCACCAGGACAGCTGAAATGGTAAAAAAACGAATTAAAACGGCGTGTTTCGGTTAAATCATACTATAAAATACTAATGCTATCTTTTCGACAATGCACTGTGATACAGTCAGGTTTTGCCATATTCGGTCTACAAAAAGAACAATCCGAATTTCTTGTACAACTTAAATACCATGTGAATCAACAAGAAAACATAATTGGTAGGAGGTATTACTATAAAATGCACCAGTTCAGATCAACATATCCAATCTCCAACTCACAAGATATCATTTAATGTAAATTAAGAAAAATTATCGGCTGGACTGAGACTTTTGTCCTCACTGTATATAGCCTGGGTGCATAAAAGAAATTTGGTCCTTTGTATTTCAGGCTTGTAATCATATTCTAGTGGCTCTATTGTGCATAAGAACAATATCAATTTTAGAATATTAAGTGGGTTTTATACACCCTATAAAAAAGGAACACTAAATATTAATGATATTCGCTTTCTATTCATCTCTAAAGATGGAATATACATGAATATTTAAATTGAATTTAAAAAGTTATTACTATTTTATAAGCAAATGATGGTTAAAATTGGGTGGTTGAGCTATATTGATACACTGTTAGAGTATACACAAGGCCTACAGTATATTCCTTATCTGCACTTGCACAGAAACCCAATAAAATTAACAATCACCATAGGCAATAAATTGAAAGCATTGTTTGCCAGTACCTATGTAATTTTAATTTGATAAGCACAGCTAGTATGTATACTATATGTACGTTGAACATTTGTGTTCTGGTTTGTTGTGGAATGTCACTAGAAGTACTGAAGTATTGAACATATATATTTTTATGGTTGATATATACACACAAATGTTACAGCTAGGCAGCTGCAGCAAAAGAAACATTCCATTCATAAAATATTTCAGAAAATTTTTTGAAAAATTCCCTACTTCCTTTGACCAATCAATTTTTGCCTTTAGAGTAATCCATTTCATAGAAATCTAATATTAATTTGTTGGTCAATTAACAGGATGTCGAGAATTGCTCAATATATATTTTGGAATGTTTTTATTGCAGTGACTACAAGTTGCTTAATAGGTTGCTTTTCTAACAAATCATGCGTAACATTATCACATTATGGTGCAGCAATTTCAGCAGCTAGTGCATCTGCAGTTCATATCTAAGACTCCATTTTTGCAAGATTATTTGTTTGAATATTTTCCTGCTCCTCCTATGGAATTCTTGTATTTATATAAGTATACCCCTTAGCCAAATAACAGATATGGCTCACGTAAGGTTTACTTTCAAGTAATGTGGAATAGCAACTTAACTTGACAGTATAACCAGCATTTATTGAAATTAAAAGGCTGGGCACGTGTCAATGGAAAATTGAAATATTCCATTAAACAATCTAGACAAACCAGGGCATACCAGCTATGTTTGCAAATGGATGAAACAGTTCATGAATCATGACAACTCACTTTTACAAAAGCATTATAATATTGAATATAGTTGCAATTGATGAAACAGGTGAGAGTTGTAGTCATTAAATGAATATTAAAGCCCAACATAAAAGGCATAAACAGTCATAAAACCACTTAATGTAGAATAAAATAAGGCCTGGATCACACAAGTTTGTCCTAAGAATCTGGGATCTATTTTATTATTTTCCGGCAGACAAAGGATTTTGCGCACGTACCAGTGATCCAAAGGGGTCCAGATTCTTAGGACAAGCGTGGACTGTGAAATAACATAACATAGCATACGTTGCTCTACGTGTTGTGCATTAATATATTCATGTTTAATGTGATGTGCATATATAAATAAATTTGGCCGCTTGTAGAGGAAATCATGATTTGGGATAGCCATACAGCTTACTTTTTGAACCGTAATACTTTAGACCTTGTAGATTTATACTAATATATTAATACTTTAATATATGGAAATATCGAAACACATATAAAATGGAAGTTTAATCTACAGTCCGACAAATCGGCTTTGCATAATTCAAACATTTGTCCATAAAATGTATTACTCCTAGACATAACTTCGTAACTAAGCAAAACACGGAAATTGAGACTCGAATTCAACGATGTTCTACATTCTGCCTTCGTTCAAGTACATATGAAACACCAATCCTTTAATTTTAGCAACTACATTAATAACATTTCAATAATATTTCACGGCATGTGCTTTACCGGCAACGACAAATGTTTGAATCACACAGTTGCATGAAATACTTACAAATGACCGGTACGACACATGATGCAGGCCGAGAACGTTGCATTTCCAACAAGAAATTCGCCTGGACTACATTTCAAACTAGCCAAACAATTTGCAACACACGTCGAACATTCGCACCGACCTTTAGAAATACAATAGAAAATGTATATAATTATATATAGTGTTTCAAGCCATCCGCTATACGACGATCAAAACACAATGTAATATTTGGTTTTATACCTTCTACCGGTGCAATGAAAACGTTTATTTTTATCAAAAGCGCTGTAAACAGAATCCAAAGATGCTCTCGCCTAGTCCTCGACTTCATTGTAGAAATACGCGAGGAAAGATGCTACTTTTACTATCGTTTTAGGTCCAGCGTAGTACGTTCATGGATGGATTTAATAATACAATTCCATTATTCAACTACCCTGGCTCTGGCATGTCTATCCAACTCCGCAACTAAGCGGGCTTTCATATAAATAAGACCTCGACAACCAGTAATTCAATGTAACAGTTCCCGTTTGCAATATTTAATGTTTTTACGAAAATCGACACGTACTGACAACTGAAATTCTGAATCTTTGAGGTTACTACATGCTCCACTTTTGGAACAATATTTATATGACGTCACTGTGCCAAACAGACAGGTTATTAATTGCCAATGTTGCCATGGAAATGTCAAAAATGTATACAAACTGCAGGTCAGAAAAGTAAAGTCTGAAAATACGAAGTGGTTTTCAACTTTCATTTATTTTGGCCAACGTTACGTACTTGAATTCATCCGGATGAAAGTTCAAAGTGAATAGCGGCCAACTAAAAACCGCAAATAAGCCTGCAGATAAAAAAATATAACTGGTTTATCTAGTATTCACAAAGATAGGTGATTGACAAAAATAAAATATTAATCGTCTCAATAATTAGGTATATTGGTACACATCTCCGTTAAAGAGCCTTTTTTGTGACATCATTTAAATAAAGATGTCAAAAGTGAAATTGTTAAAATTATTTGGCAGATATTAGTGATCGGTATATGCTTCTGAAATAAAGTGATCGATATGTTCATACTTCAAAATAATGTAAACATGCATGCATATGAACTGAATGGGTATCCATGCATTTTAAGAATTCAGAATTTTGAGAATTATTTCTATTTTCTAGCTTTCTAATTCTGTGCAAATTTTGTCGGGTCAGTCGGGAGTACTGGATAAATTATGTTTGTTAATATTTATCCCTACATATTGTTGAAGTTAAATTCTAGGAAAATATCTGTATACAAAGGTTTCCTTTAAGACTGCTTTATGATCAATATGTGATTCGTCAGCTACTATCGCTTTAATTCCCGAATTGTCAGTTTAGGCTAAGGTGAGCCTGGTTTCAGCAGCTATGGTTATTAAACTTTTTTTACTCGGAAATGCCTAGTTCCAAGAATAGATTTCACCATATATATTATATAAGACCACTCTAATCTAAAACCTAATAACGCATTTTCGTATACTGGTGAAACTTGCTAAATTCGTCATACAGCATTCCAGTTGCTCTGCATGTTTTCAAAACGTTTAGGTTCTTCGGGAAAGATATAATAAAACAAATAGATAAGAAAAACCATATGCATCACACGTTTGATTTAATTTCACTTCATACAGTGGAAAATGTATGACAAATGCTGACATTCATCAAAACAGTTGATGGACTATTTTTTGTATAGCTACATCTGACTCAATATTCTATGCACTTACTGACTTAGCTAGGTGAACGTAGTACATTTTTAAATTCAAGTTAGCCTTTTATGAATCGGGTACACTTTACTTGAGCTACGTAGCTTTCAGTATCATTTTTTTACTCTACACTCCTACAGTAAAACAAGCTAAACTTTTTTGTACTTTCGTACATAAATTATGTCATATATATTTATATACTTACTTGCTGATTAGAAATGGTTACAATAAACATTTTTAACATTATATACGCAGTCCTAAAAAATTGTGCATGAAGAGCACAAAGCCCTGTAGACTGAAAGGGATTCACATGCAGCTGCCGCATGCCATATATATTTTAATGAAATACAAAACAATACACATGCACTTTGTAAATCTTGACAATCTTAACATTTCTTGTCTTCCATGCCATACATTACAAGCATATATTGCAGCATAAAATTATTAAATGAAAAAAATGGTCAGTATATAAAATTATAGCCGTGATATATTCTAAAAAATATAGCGTTCGAAAATGCAAACAAAGCGTTTGTTTTTCATTTTCAGGTGCCATGCAGAAAACTTAATATGATTAACGTGCATAATTAAGATAAGAAGAAACCCTGGGATACGGGGCTTTTTCCTATACTATGCATATTCAACGCTATGAATCTCCTGTTTTTGAAGTCGTATCTTTTTTAAATATACTTTATTGCGTAATTCTTAAACATCTGGCCCCTAAACAAGTTCTGCATGTTACCACATTATAAAATACGGTTTCGTAAAATTACCCTTTGTTCATAGCCTCAGTCATGCAGTTTTACTTTCGAACACGCAGCATTACTGTAAGCTCGATCATAGCTGCATGTCAGTGATCTGAAACGTAATTATTAAATATATCCAATTATCCAAATATAGCAAATTTCTAAAGTTTAGGGTGTATAAAAGCATCATGTGTAAGAAGAAGTTTTATATCAGTATTGTATTTACAACTATTTCCTTTCGTTAAATACGTTATATAACTGTTGAGAAGTTCAATTTTTAGAAGACTTTAGTCCAACCCATCCACCGCAGATATGAAAATAAAACGTAAGTAGAATGCCATTCCGTCATTTGTTCATTTTTTCCGTAAAGTAATCTTTTTAGACTCGGATCGTTTTTTGTGTGTGTTCTTAGTCTTAGACATATGTTGTTTAAGACATATCCTACCTGACCTACCATGCCCAACGAATGGGCTTAGATGTCATCATGCTTTTTTCCTTATACAGCATCATTGGCTGTCATTCTGCTATTATTTTGGTCTATCCCGGTCGCTTTAGGAGGAGCGATCCAAATAAGTTACAAGTTCTTAACTGACCAAGCCAGGAACACTGTTCATGCGGTAGAAACAGCTAAAAAATCGTTGGTAATAATCATATATCATTATAAAGTTATTTTTATCCAGAAAATAAGTGGTAATGACTAATGAGAAGTTTTTTTGAATAGATAAAACAGCATAAATTTAACGCAAGTCAGATTGAGGAAGGAAGCTATAAATGGAATTCTATTTTTGGTGTATCTGATTGCTGGAATTACACTTTGGACGTAAGTTAAAGTAGTTGACATTTATTGAGTTTCCAGTGTTCCTCAGTTCCAACCATGCAACATGGTGGAATCAGTTTCGTTTTAAATAATCGCCATATTTGTTTACATTTTTCAAGCCAATCAGAATGCCTAAATTTTTAATACTTCATGTAAAGTGGTAAATAACATGTCTTTTTACCCGGCGGAAGTAGTCAAAATTTATGCATTCTGATTGGGTTACTGGAAATGTAAACAAACTCACTGATTGGTCGAAAACGAAATTCCCCTTGTCATTCCAACCTTTGAGAATCAATACAACTCTTTTCGTTTTCAGGAGAATGAAAGGCTAAGCGATAACCACGAACGTTTGAAAGCCTTCAAACACTATGCCAAGGATTTAAACATCACAATTGATGTCGTTGTGGCGGTTGCAAATCTCCAACGAGCAATCATCAATGTAATGCCAATGGCAATGGTAAGATTATAATTTTAGGTCCGTTTCATATTGACCAAGTCCAAGGCTACGTTTATTCGACCAGCTACAAATTCATTTGTAACCTAGGATTTAGTTATAGGAAAGCAGCAACAATATCAATGAATTTTTTATACTCCCATTATATGCACCCATTCTAGCAATTAGTGAAGACCAATTAGCCCGCTATTTCCAGACTAGCGCACACAAATATCCCATTTCGATCGAAAAAATAGCCAATCTGTTTGACATCAATGCATGCATGTAGTTTTGATTACGCGCGGAAATTTATTTTTATAATTACTGTTAGTCATTTACTTTATATCTCCTGTATTATTCAATATGAATAAACGAGAGATAAACGCAAACATTCCAATTACAGTTCACATCGGTGAAAATGAGTTACTCATGATCACGACAATAAAAAATATGCACGATCAGTTGAATTCGCTTCAACAAACGCTCTAGTCTTGCGTATATACTGAATTAAATATTTCGTGTACACGCGAGAATGTCTTTCTGAAAACTCATTCTCAGCATATTTTATAACAACAGAGTCAAAACCGTGGAAACCATGCAAGCAATAATACAACATGGAGCCGTGTTAACAATACGTCGAGAGTCAACAATCACGACAAGCAGATAATTCAAGCAACATTTCTTTCCATTTTGGAAAAAAATCTGTTTTTGATGCTCAACGACTTCAGTCAACGTTAATTCTCTCAATTGACAATAAAGCATGAGGGGTCAAACTATATACATAAACATAGTTCATAGTTTCATCGTATCGATGCTATATAAATAAAGTAAGCTTGATAAGTTATGAAATAATTCAGTAAAACAGTTAGGTGCATGGTAAAATACGTAAACATATGCATGTATAGCATAGTTCATTCTATACGACTGTCTTATATTATAATTATTATAATCATTATACATTGTATATACGAATAATTTATCATAAAATAATGATAGATAAACAGTATGTATGCTTTATATATACGTATAAATAGCTTCACAATGCGGATTAATTTGCACTGACCCCACTTATAACGTAAAGATACACCGTAATATAGCCATTAAAAACTTCGATACGTATATTGTGTGAGTTGCTTCATTGTAGTAAAGATGTTTACGATTCACGTACTAAACCTATACATGAATTTGTAAGTACCAGCCATGCATATAGTGTTAGCACCACGTACAGATGTATCCGTAAGTATAAAAGCCATCACTATTATAGTATCATTGACGTACTAGGGAATTTTAGGATGTATACCGTTCAGTGGCGTTGCCATGCAGACCTGATAGAGTTGGGTGGACACGGTGCGCGACCATGCATGGTCCGCACCGAGGGTAAAGAAATTTTAAAATTTGGACCTCTACCGGAAATACACCCGGGTGTTGTAACAAAACATAGCGTCATACTGTCCAAATTCTGTGTCATAGACCGTCGGTCCGATCGACGTTCAACCGTTTTCTTAGTTATGGGCATGCGCGAAATATAACCGAGAAAAAACAAGTAACCCGTTGCGTTCTGATTTGCTAAGATAAAAAGTTTGTATTTCAATTAAAGTGGGCGTGGGAAATTTAACGGTTTAAACTCTTTTGTTCAGGCGTTTAATAAACTTTATATAAAATAAAATGTGGGAAAAGAATATAAAGGCTAACAGATATAGGTAACTATAAAGAAAATATGGATTCAGCTCAAGACTAAGCAGGGGATATAATTCATAATCTGTAAGCTATGTATAATTATAAGTGTTTTATAAGGGTACGTGCTAACTTTGTTTATTCCGTATTTTCGTCAATTCATGACGTTGGTTTGGTTTTTCCTCATATTTACGAAGATTTCATGACTGCATGAGCTATT